CCAACGTATCGAATGACTCCGCAATGCAAGCCATCTTAGAAGTTCTTGTTGAACACGAAGGAAGAATAAATATGCATGGCTTGTCCATCCAGCAGCTAATAGCTCTCTTAAAGGAGTGCCTAAACTGCTCGATTTTCAGATGGTCTGGGAAATATTTCGCGCAAATGAGGGGGTTGGCAATGGGACAGCGATTGGCACCAAGCCTGGCCATTGTGTTTATGTCTAAGATAGAAGCCCCTGTTCTCGATCTCCGGCCACTACTCTACTGCAGATATGTAGATGATTGTTTTGTCGTCTTCTCTACGCAGGAGGAGATGGACAAATGCTTTGAATTATTGAACGAGCAGTCCGAGTACATAAAGTTCAGCCGGGAGAAACCGAGAGAAAACTGGCTTCCGTTTTTGGACGTTCAAATAAACCTATCAAGTAGCGGTTACTTGACAAAGTGGTATCGAAAGCCAAGTAACAAGAACATTCTTGTTCATTTCCTTTCTTCCCACCCTTCACACACAAAGAGGGCGATTGTGAGAAACATGTTTCGAACAGCCACCTCTGTGTGCACTACCAGGAAACTAAAGGAAGAATCGCGCGACTTGGCTCGGCAAATAGCCATCTCCGATGGCTACGAAATAGTAACCCCACGAGATAAGTTTACAAGGAGAACGACGCGCCCACGCGAAACGCTTGGCCAAAACAAAATCCCGTTTATGTTGCCTTTTATAAGCGATGAAGTAAGCGCAGCTATAAAACGATGCTTAAGAAGGGCAGGTCTAGAGGAATCGGTAGCGATAGTTGAAATACCACCGACTACTCTACGTCGCCAATTAGTTCGCAACCGCCTGTATGACCGTCTTTGTGGAACAACAAATTGCGTAATTTGCCCTTACGGCAGGGACGGTGATTGCATGAGTTCAGGTACGATATACCTGATCTCTTGTAATAATTGCGGAGATGAATATATTGGCGAAACGGGCAGACCTTTGTGTATCCGTATAAAAGAACACCTAGATGGCAAACGAAAACTAAGACGAAGTACCCCACTAGGCACGCATAGGATGCAAAAGCATAGCGGAGACGATTTTGAAGTAAAAGTCAATATTCTTGCACAGGAGACCAAAACACCAGCGCGAAAACTCCTAGAGGCTTTTTGGATTAATGCCAAAAACCCTACAATGAATAGCAGGGATGAATGCCAGGAGGTCATACGCGACCTTATCCCGTACGTTCGCATCGATTTTTGATGTGGGATGGTGCAGTCGTCAACCATATGCGACTATAATCAGCTGTTCTAAACTTCCTCATTGGAAGTCACGAAAAAGCGGTGGGTTTTTCGAGAAGCTGTTGATCATGTAATTACCAAAGAGTCTTTCGTCTTTGTGTAAGTGTTATTGAGGCGTTTGGCCTAGTAGATTGTATATCAGTATACCCATCCAGGCTCTGAAGAAGGCGATACTACCGAAACGTCAGCTAGCGTCGTATTGTATTGTGTTTTTATGGAAGTAAATGTATGCTGTTTAAAAACCTCGCGACTGCTGAACAAGAAAACGACACATTCATATTCCAATGCCGAGGTTAAGAGAAAGTCGATCCTGGGAACTATTACATTAACTAAGTTATTAAGCAAAACGAGAAGTAGAGATGGTAAATACATCTGCAAAACGCTTGAGGGTTCATTCAGTGCTCGTCTAAAGGCATTATTAAATGACTAGCAATATTCGATGGAACGTTCTCGGGCTTCCAGCATGTCATTCTTATTAATTTGTTTTATTACTTAGGACCTTTAAAGGAATAAATGAGCAGAGAACCTTGTAGATTAAGGTCGACAAATATTCGGCTGGATCTCGCGGACCGGACCAATAGTCGTGCCAGATGTCCGGTGTCTATAAACAGTTCAGAGATTAGAACAGAAAAGAGATTCCATAATGGTATACAACTACAATGGTCGAAGAACATGACAGACAAGACTATATATTACATGGAACATGTTATTGGAGAATTCATTTGACTCGCCTGGTGATGTTGAAGGCTTCTTATGGCTTCGATGACTGTTTTATCAGGTGTAACAATGCCACGAATAGACTTACTGATCAGGGTCAGAAACGCGTGGATTTTATGTGCCTGAAAAATTTGAACCCTTAGTTAATAATTGGATACGTTGGCGATCCATTTTGCTGAATCGCACATTTCACGAGTGAATTTCGAGCAGTTTTCCTTCTCTGCAGTCCTTCTGCAGCCATGTTCACCTCGGCATAAACTCAGGAAAACGTCGGACTTTTAGAGCATAGAGAGATTTGACAATTTTAGACTGTGCTTTTTGAGGAGCATGACCGATAGCTAATAACGTTTGCATCTAGGTAAGCTACTCGGTGGTAATGGCAAACGTTGTTTGCTACAATTCCATACTAAAAAAGAAACCTATCTGTTCGACGACGCTTACTTAACCCCGCGTTACATTGCCTCACATTTCAGTTGTAGTCTAAACGTAGTCGTCTTTCTTAAAGTTGAACTCTCAGTCTGTCGGATGAGCCGGCTATGGATGTTATCGATAACGGTATAACTTTAAAAGCTGACTGAAGTAGTGAGTGGATCCCAATTAACGACTGCTTTAAATGGCTTTTGAACTAGTGCATTACCCTGAACGACTTGGCAAAAAGTTTCGTTTTCATTAATAAGTATTGAAAATTATTTCCACTAGAAATTATTCTGATTAATCTTATATCGAGAAACTTGTTCTACTGAATCGATGAAATCTATTAGATAAATCTTCTTAAAAGAGGTGGTTCAAATCTATTAAGAGAAGAATTACAATGGAGTTCAACATTGTGGAGACATAAGCTCTAAAGATGAACATCACCCGGAGATCCTGTGCTTTCGTTACTTAGGACTCGATTAGATGATGCAAACAACAACCATGCCGCAAGTGAAAGTTGATGATCTTGAGGCATGAAGAAGGTCGAGATGCATAAATGTCGTCTTTGGGAAGGTCCAGGTAATCCAAAAAGACAAACCGATTTCTGATTCTGGTCCAAGCTGACTTCCACAACACCAACACATTCATATGAGCCACATATGGCGCACAGGTGTATCTTTTTGAAATGTTTGATGAAGACCACTTACCAATTTGACGGCGTGAATGAATTCCAACCACATCATTTCTGTTAGTGGATCCGCTGACTCTTTGGCGGATGGAACCTGCAAAGAATGTTGGACATTCTCGTCTTTTTTATTTACTGCCTACTCTTTTTTAATGCGTATTGTGTGAAATATAACCGCAATGAAGCTGAGAGGACTGCAAAACTCCGGACCGCTGGTGTCTGCGATGGGAACCGAACACGCTATTACCCTTCACGGGGCTAACGTAATAACCACCACACCATGTGAATCCTTCCTTTCACCTTTCTCTCAGCCGTATTATTGATCTATAATGTTAGACATTCTTTTCCTGTTAGGTAGATTAGCGGACAGTGATGGTGGTGTTAGCAGCACTAATCTAAGGATGGATTTGAAAAAATAAGTAGCAACACCAGAACGCTTGTGAAAGCGGTCTTGCCAGAGAGCTATTTCTACCTGCCAACTAGGGTTCAGCTGGAAGTTCTCCACTTTTGAGTTGGTTGGTTTTGATAAGGGTAATCAGTAGGTTTGGGACCAAACGAATGGACTGGTGCGTTTTACTGCGCCAAAATCTCTCTTATGTCCACGTTTATTGTTATTTCCGTTAACGAGCTGTTAAATGCACCAGAAAAAGGGAAACATTAGCAAAAACCTGTCTGCTGTGTAGATCCCCTCCTTGACACAAACGTTTCCATAATTGAAGAATTGGCTGGCACGCCTCAGTCCAACGAGTGCGTTCGTTTCCAGTTAAAGTTTTGCCTATATGTCAAAACTCACTAGTAATATTGATCTAAGAATAAGACCGATTACAATAAATTATTGTGTTTGAAAATTCTCCACCCATTATGCGTAGATGTGCGTGGGCGAACTATAAATATAAAGATAAAGCATCCAAACAAGACTGTTATGAAACAACTTAAATAAAAAGTGGACTGATAATTCGCTTTCCTTAATCAACTTGTGACGAAAAGTAACACGGAAAACGACAGCTTTCAATTTTTAGTTAGGATAGAGGACTGGCGACGTTGGTAGTCCCGAAGTTCACAAGCGTAATCGTGATGTCTGCATGCAGCTCAGTTCGCATACGATGATAATTCATTTTTTGTTGGAGGCGGTTAGTGGGATAACAAGCTCGTGATCATTCTACCATGAGTTCATATAGTTCTACCAAACGAAATAACCAACCGTTAAGGAAAACAAATAACTGAACTCGACCCTATGCAGACCTTTATTGAATATTTATTTATATGATCTTATAAACTGATCATCTTAAGCTGACGCGAAGTTGGTACAGGTCTTCGTTGTCGTTGTCGTTGTTTTTGATGTTATTGATCGATGGCTGACGTTTCAGCGACTTCGCCTTCCTCTGAGCTCTTTATAAGATCACATAAATAAATATATCAACTATCTATGCCGAGGTTTATAGAAAGTCGGTCTTTCGACTTTATTGAATAACTCTAATCGGTGAGCGCCGGTCCAGTAAGCGATGCTGCACCACTGTGCTTCACGACACAGGACATTAATAAGAGTAAAGAGCAGTTAACATCTAGTTTTTGAACTGCAGAAGTGTGGGATTATCATCGGATCAATAAGTTCCAACATCATTGGGCATGGGTTTTCCGGTCGAATTTCTCTTTTTTATCAAACTTTACGAAGTAGGGTAAACGATTATTCTTCTAAGGCAGTAAAAAAGATTGCTGTTGACAATCCAAGCTCGATGTTATTGGAAGAAAGAGTTGAGTAACTTGGCAGAAAAGATTTTTTTAACTTTAGGCCCATATTTGACTGATTAAAGACTTACATACTTGGATACTTGGATGGCCCAACCTCACTGGTTGTGCGGATCTCAGCATAATCTCCATTTTTTCGGAGTTTTGCTAGTTAAACCATTATGGTTCCCTGGAATTCTGAAGTAAGACTGGCCAAAGTCTACCCCAGATCTTCACTACCACAGGCAGCCACTGCCCTTGTGGATCAGAGGGAGATTTGCCACCGTGCGACTTTGATACCAAGACGGCGGTGGATCACGATATTGGTTTACTCTTAGCTAGGCTTCCTAATGAAAACGCCGGACTTCTTCTCAGGTTGGGAGACCCTGCCAGCAGATGAGTCTCCTGCTGTACATCGTAGTCCGACACCCAGAAACACCTCCCAGCCACAATGAGGTGGTCAACCGTTGGGCGATCTAGTTAATAAAGAATCATTATCATTGGAGTTTTATATTACATACATTTTATGCACATTCTTTATAAGTTTAAAAAAGTGTAGAGGTTTTTAAAAGCGGCAAAATCGATGACATTAGGTGAAAGTTTCACCAGCCATTCGCATCCTCGAAACGGTTTCCTCTGCCTCTGTCAGCTGCCACGAATAACGAATGTTCATTGGAAGACCGAATAAACTTGGGTCATCCTCTGATGGAATCGATGTTGCGACATATTTTTGAATTTCCTGAAAACTGATAGAATAATAGTTCATCTACGTAAGTACGATAAAGAGACGAAATATCTTTATGTTTATAAATTATTATCATATTACTATTAGCAGAATCCTCCCAACGGTTTACCGCCTCATCGTGGCTGGGAGGTGTTCCTGGGTGTAGGGCTGCGATGTACAGAGAGGGATTCATCCCCTGGCAAGGTCTCCCAAGCTGAAAAGGAGTCCGGCGTTTCCATCAGAAAGCCTAGCTAAGGGTAAATCAATACCAGAAACCACCACCGTCCTGGTATCAAAGTCGCATGGTAAATCTCCCTTTGATCCACAAAGGATGCAACTGTGCGTGGTGGTGAAGACCTGGGGCAGACTTTGACTAGGCTAACTTCGGGACTCCTAGGAACCACAATGGCTTAACCAGCAAATCTCCGAAAAATGGAGATTATGCTGGGATCCGTACAACCAATGAGGACGGGCCATTCAAGTATCAAGTATTAGCAGAATATTATTTTTCTAGATAAAATCCAAGAGTCCAAAAGTGGAACACAGGGCTGGATATCTCGTAATCACGTGTGATCTCACAGACTATTCAAAAGTGATATTTTCACGCGAGAGGTATATTGCACTTCCACATGAACTCTGCGCGGTTGATCTCCACGTGAAATACTCAGTGGAAGACTCATAGAAAGCGGTGAGTGTGGGAAGAAACTATGTTGTTCCCTATATGATTGAAATCCTACTTTCATTACCTAATACCGACTGTTGTAGGATAAACTAGCCGTTGGAAAACGGATTATTATCAACGGATTGTCATATCAGTAATAACGGTCTTGTGTAAAGGAGCCCTGCCATGTGAGGAGCGGCGCACCGCTGAAGAAGATCCGACTCGACATGGCGACGAAGACACCGTATCGATGAGGCGAACGACTGTAGGGGCATCAAATCGAATCACAGCACTGGTGAAGGCGAAGATGTCGACATGTTGGTCGGATAAATACGTGGTAGCAACATCGTATTAGCCTATCAATGAAATGAGGTGTCTTGGTTTTATTCCCTGTGTTTGATTATGAAGCCGAAATGAAACTGAAACGTCAGCCTTACTCAACAAAGAGTAAAGTAACACCTCAAGTGCTCAACAAGAATGTAGAGAAATATTTTCCCCCATTATTCAATGGTAAATAAAGATCAAGGTGTCAAAGGAAATTGTGTTACATAGGCAGAAATTGGTGACAACCCCAAAAAAACTGCATAAGCGGCTCGGCCAGATATTTTACGAGGATGACGGTCATCGCAATTTACGCCAACTCTTTGAAATGCTCGTGGATCAACAATCGCGATCCTACGTGATTTGTGGACTTCAGAAGAAAAAAGAATTTCTACTATTTAATAAGTTTGGTATGCAGTGGTTGTGATCTCGTTCATTACGCGGATGCCTCAACCTGCTCACGCGCTGGTTGGTCATCGCTCCGGGTCAACCAATCCCGTCGGCTCTAAAGGGTTAGGAAACTAATACAAGAGTTCATCGGAAACAAGCTAAATCGCAGTCCACGAAGGAACGCCTTAGTACGTTTATCTCAGGACTCTTGAGGGGATCTACTCGACCAGCATTCAACGACATTCGTGATGAAGAAATCATCAAGCAGCAGCTGAATATAAACGCTCAAATACTTTCGTGGGATGGTGGATGTGAGGAAACAAATCGAATGCAAGAAATACCGGGATGTATATGCATATGATGCCGGGTCATGTAATAATAGTAATGATAACTATTAATAATAATAGTAGTGGTAAAAGTGAGTTTCCGATGCAAAAAATTGCACGACGCAATTGAAGCGTCTTCTTGCACTATGCTTCTTCAGAAAAATTATGGAAGGTAAACCATTATAGATTGGATAAGTTGTGATGACCTTCATGTTGTCGACAGCAAGAAGTTCGACTCCTTTTGATAGCATTTTTCCGGACCTTCCAGTAATTTTTTCGCCAGTAAACAGAGTTGAAAGATAGGAGTCAAGCACTTGGCCATCGAAAGAATTCTCGATTCGTCCGCCATAGATGACGAACTTCAACAGGCCTCGAATAAACTCCCAATCGGCATCTGAAAGAACAACAAGTAGTGATGACTTCTATAAATGCGTCTTTTCGGAGTGGATTAAATCTAAGCAACGTAAAAACCCTTTTTCATCATCTTCTGTCTTGCACATCACTTGCATCACTTTATTAAGTCCTCATCGTTGATCTAAAAATTGTTAGGGATTTCTAGCAAATAGAAAGTACGACCTCCCAACGGTTTACCGTCTCATCGTGGCTGGGAGGTGTTTCCGGGTGTCGGACTTCGATGTACAGCGGGGGGTGGGAGGGATTCGTACCCCAAGCTGAGAAGGATTACGGCGTTTCCCTCAGGAAGCTTAGCTAAGAGTAAACCAATACCGGGATCCACCACCGTCTTGGTATCAAAGTGGCGTGGTGGTAGATCTCCTTCTGATCCACAAGGGCGACGACTGCCGGTGGTGATGACGACCTGGGCCAGACTTTGGTCAGGCTGATCTCGGGATTCCAGGGAACCACAGTGGCTTAACCAGCAAATGTCCGAAAAATGGTGATTATGCTGGGGCCCGCAGAGGTAGTGATGACGGACCGTTCAAGTAACAAGTAAGTAGGAAAGTACAGCATTCTTATTTTCGACAGGCAGCTCAGTATTAGCAATTACTCAATTTCGTACTAATGATGGATTTCATTGAAGAAACAAAGTGGAATTTCGATATAACAATAATCTGAATAACTGTCGACTTCAGTTCTTAGGTCAGTTCCATCCACTTAGCGTCACTTAGGAGTACTTTAGTCTCGCCATCGTTTTCTACTTCTATTGCAGTCCTGCCTGGGGATGGGCCTCTACGTATCTTCCTCGTGCTTTAAAATGGTTATTTCTTTATTTCTTCAAAAGGATTTCGTTAGCGGAAACCCACTTTCAAGCAGCGTATAGAATAATGATGAATAGGAAAGAAAAGGAATAAATGCTGGATTTCGCGCAACAGACAAACATGAACTTAAGCATGTAATTTTAGAATCCTTTTGCCGAATGGAACTCGACTCCAAGTAGTGATTTATCACAAACAACGCCATCAAGATTAAGTTGGAGGACACATTTCCATAAAGAATCAGATAAAAGTCAATCTCAAGCGTTATTATCACTACCGTGAAAAATCCTAGTCAAAAAACAAAAGGATTCTCTAGGTTCCACAAAGGTTGATGTCTTCCTGTAATGATGACGTGGGAAAGCAGCGGCACGAATTTTTGGTACTCCGAGGAGGAAATCTTTTCGAACCATTGAAAGACGAGATGTGGTTTACGCAACGTTCACAAAAAAGAAGACGTTTGAAGGGAAGAAGAAACTACGGATAAAACGGATTCACTAGATTCTTTGATGAGGCCTTCAATCAGCATGCGAGCTACTCGAACATCTGCACTACTGAACTCGTAGAATTTCGTCCACGCCTAAAATAATCAGTGGTTGAACGAAAAGATAAAATTAAAGCCGAAACAAAAAGTTATGTGTAGAAACGTTTAGAAGAATTTCCATGTTACCTGGGGGATGAATGTTCGCCTTTCCTGTAACAGTGCGTGTAACCATGCTAGTACAAAAATAATCTGATTAACTAGAACAGATCTCTTCACTTCGTCAATGTGCGAGTAGGTCCTGAGCAGATTGTTCCGAATTCCTGAATACGGTCATTCCAAGCACAGTGGTCATTTTGTATTAATTTCGTGATGAGACGAGGGCAGCATTACAACACCGCAGCGCAACACCCACTCACGCAATAGAATTCTGTTCAGTTGCGTTACAACTAATCTACCGTTTCCACATTCACCAACCTTCGTTTCAACCAAGATTTTGGCTTACAACAACCTTTTGAGTATTCTTGCTGGATACCAACCTGGTGGGGGCTCAAATGTGGTTTTAAGGCATTGTTGAAGCATTATCGCAGGAAATCTGTTCTCCTCCTCAGTTGTCATCCATAGGCGGAATTTCTCGTGTGGTGTTATACAGGCCAGCTCCTAAATTCAGTTGTAAGGTATGCTCTCGAACGATGGAAAATTTTGCCAAAAAGGAGGATCTGTGGGCTGTCTGGTATAACAAGGAACAAGGGTAACGAAACTGAAAAGCATTGTAATGAAGGTCTCTAATGGATCGATGATATACGTAAGTTTGGCACAGAGCTGATGATAAAAGAAAAAAGTGCAAAAGATTCAAAAGTAACGTAACACATAGACCTTCAGTGATAGACTTTTGAAGGCCATTTGGCAACGTACTTTCTGTATCATGGGGACGATGCTCAGCATCAGATGGACGTTACTGAGAAATAGCCACTGGCCGTCAACTGCAGCCCGACGAGTCGCCTCGATCGTCACCTGCTCCTGCCCCTGACCCATGGAGATCGCTGTGAACTTGTGTGAGCCAATCGTCTTCGAAGCTAGCTCTTCTAATTCCTTGAAACAAAAAATGGTTAACTACTCACTGAATTATAGTTGTTCATATTCTCGTTAACTCCAGTTTCTACAATTCGACAACAATAAACAAAACTCTATTTGTGAGCATTTTTCAAACCCTTCAATTCATTTATTTTTCTTCAGTTCCACTTAGCCAAATATATATATATATATATTCGTTCTATTAAATCGTATTAAAAAACACGAATACCATGCATAGTACATATTTAAATACAAAGCGGATATAGCGTAGTGGTCGGAGGAGCCCTGCCATACACATGGGATCGAGCAACGCGCCCCAGGCCCAAGCTGTTCATCTCTCTGGGGTAGGAAAATTGGTACCAGACTTATCTGGGAGGATAGCAGCACTGGCTCGATAGTTCGCTAGACCACCGCGAACCATTTAAAGGCCAGATATGCATTCAATCACCGTCAACAATGCTTGACGAGGTCGAATGCATGGCGCATCTCTCAGGGACAGATGAACGCCAAGAGTTTTTACTTTTAGCTTTCTATATTTATATATACATATATATTTAACATATATATATTCCAATAGACGGTTTTCATTACCCAGTATAAACACTGAGATTTACCGTAACCCTTCAGTTTCAAGCTTTAGACAGTGAAAAAATTCCAATGCTTTTTGAAGGAAGAATGCACTTTCCGCGGTGCCCAACAGAATCTAGAAACCTTGGAAACTTCAGAGTTCTTTTTAAAGGAGAAACGTTCCTTTTCAGTCAAATAACCAACAATGTGTTGCAACATAAATGTAAAATATTTATACTACGAATAGAGCAGTAGAGCAACATTCAAAACTTTGTGGAAACTATCAATTTTTAAAAAAAAAATATTAAAGGTGGACCATCTTCCCAAAATAGTATGAACAACATCACCTCTCACCTGTATCACCTGTAGTCCCGTTGATCATCGAGTGATTCGAGCGGGCGCCAGTAAATCTTCCGTTCTTCCTTGCCGCCTGCAAGAGTAGCCCAGTGGGTTCTAGTCGCTCTAGGGACTCGTCGAGCATCATATCCTTCTTCTAGGCTTTTCGCGAAGGACTTCGACCATCGGGACGGTGGTCTTCCTGCAGTGGGTTTAGCATCCCGAGGAATCCAATCACTAACTGCTCATGTCCATCGGTTGCCATTCATACGCATTACGTGTCCGGCCCACCTTATCTTCGACTGCTTGGTGTACAAAACGGCATCTTTGATTTTTGATCGTTGACGCAGATCGGTGCTTCGGATCCTATCCCTTACTTGTGTGAAACGAGGTAATCCTAGCATCGTCCTTTCGACTGCGCGTTCGAAAACGCTGAGTGGTCTTTCGTCCTGCTTACGTAGCGACCAGGTTTCTGACGCATATGTTAGGGCAGGAAGTACCGTTGAGTCGAAAAGGTGGGAATGGAGTCGGGTGTTCTTTGTTCTCTTCTCTGCAGCCTTGATGCTTTTGAAAGCTCCCCAAGCCGCCCGTGCCCTTCTGCTCAGCTCTGGAGCTAAGTCGTTCATCATATTGATTTCCCGAGCTAGATAGACATAACCGGAGCATTCGAAGATATTCGTTCCGTTGAGTGTGAATGGGACACATGAAGCCAATCCGTTCTTCATAAACATTGTTTCTGTGAGATTTAGTCAAAGACCAATCTTTCCACAGACTTTATCAAAGTCGGCAAGCATACGTTCCGCTTGGCTAATGTTTGGCGTTACAAGGACGATGTCATCAGCAAAGTGAAGATGGTGTAAATGCCGACCATCGATTTTCACTCCCATATTATCCTATTCCAATGTTCGCATGACGTTCTGGGGGATGGCGGTAAATAATTTTGGCGAGACGGTATCGCCTTGCCTAACTACTCTTTTGACGTCAATGTTAATATCGTTGTATAATGGTAATAACTGCTTGTGAAATTTTTGTACAGCTCACGAAGAATTTTTATGTACTGACTAGGGACTCCTTGAGTATCAAGGCCTTCAGCGACTGTTTCTACCTCAGTTAAATCAAAGGCCTTCTGTAAATCGATGAAAGTGAGACGAAGCGGTCTTTTGTACTCTCGCGATACTTTCCTTTTCGAAACCCTGCTTGCTCACATGGCTGTCTTTCGTCCGATGTTCTGTCAGTTCTGTTTAGGATGACTCGAGTGAAAAGTTTGTAGACGACAGACAGCAAACAGATTGGGCGATAGTTGCCGATATCGTGTAGGCCACACTTCTTGAACAATAACACAGTCTTGCTGGTCTTCCACTGAGTAGGGACTTTGCATTCAGAGAGGTAGCGTGTGTAGAGGCGAGCCAATGTGATTACGAAAACTGGTGGAAGGTTCTTCAGGTGTTTTGATCTTATCCTGTGTGGACCTGGTGCTGTTCGATTTTCCACCGACGAAATGGCATATCGGATTTTGGAAGGGAGAACCGGTGGTATCCATCCTCCTCTGTTTCACATGGCAGAAGGCAGACGTGGCCATTGAGGAGATCTGAGTAGTATTCTTGAATGATTTTCTCCATTGCCTTTTTGGACGCTGTAACTACTCCTTCAGGGCGTCGGAGTGCAATCATTTTGGTCTTGCAATTGGCGAAGCTTCGGTGGGGTATGCGAATGCTTTTCCCATCCTCTGCAGCTTCAATCATTACTACTGCTCTTCTCTCTTTAAGATCTTCTTTTATCGCCTGTCTGCATTGTTTTGCAAGTTCGGGGGTTAGTTCGCGGTTGCTTGCAGCTCGTGCGATTCCACGCTGGCGTATCAGCTCGAGTGTTTCTGGAGACAAAAGTCTCTTGGTGACTTTCGAACTCTGAGCTTTCATAGCGCTAGCATAAAGATGCTTCATGAGCTGATCGTATTCATCGTCGATGTTATCAACAACGGCATTTTCCCAACAGCCGACTAATGAATTGAATAAGTCCCGGTTTGCGGTGGTTCTGGGACTTCAATTTTTGAATTTAGCGGCTTTTTCTCCTTTCCGCGAAAAATAGTATCTTGCACCAAGGAGGCGATGGTATGATCCCGTTTAGAATTTTGGAACAACAGCGACATCGGTTAGGCAAGACCTTCTATTTATTATGATGTGGTCTGTTTCGTTATGGTACTCTCCATTGGGAGACTCCCACGTCCAGCGTTGAGGGTGGGGCTTTTAGTTCCAATCCGCGGGTTCCAATGTGATGTTCTTCAGATGTTCTTCTTGGTCCAATCTGGGCGTTGAAATCTCCAATGATGACCTTGAAGAATGTATGGTCTTCTCTGTAGAACTTCTCCAAGTCCATATAGAACGCTTCGACTTCTTCGTCATAGTTTGATGGCGGCACGTAAACAATAAACGTCCGATTCGGGTTGTAAGATGTTCAACAAATAACCAACAATGTGTTGCAGTATGAATATAAAGTACTTATACTACGAATAGAGCAGTAGAGAAACATTTAAAACTCTGTGGAAACTATCAATTTTTGCAAAAAAAGATATTAACGGTGGATCATCTTTCCAAAATAGTGTGAACAACATAATATTTAGAAATTAGGTTTCTAAGCGAACGAGAAATACTAGATGAGTTGGGAATCTTACTTGACTGGGATCGGCTCCACCGGCGAGGATTAGCAACACTGGTTCGCGATTGGAGCTCTCGGCTAGCACGTCAGAGAGATCGAACGGTGGGGGATTGATGGAAGGAATAGCTGTAAATCCAGACTCAGATGTGAAGTTCCAGTACTTGGCAATGATAAACAAATACTACTACTTCCATTTGTTCGCTTGATCCACAAAAATAAATATTGTCCATGTTGGGAAAACGAGGAATAGAGTCAACACGATGTTAACTTTTTACTTACTGCTTATTAGAATTTTTAATAGCAGGACATTACATGTGATACAACCACAGTGATACTGAGATATTTGCAAAACTTCGGACGGCCGGTGTCTGCGGTGGAGAACGTAGCGAAAACGATATTACTATGGTTTCCGGAGGTTTACGTGTTGACCACCACACCATGCGGGTCTTGCGGATTTGTGCACCCTAGATCAATCCCGTTGACGGGTGATTGCTGATGGTGCTGATAGATAGGACCAGCTGAGAAACGGGCGAAACGAAGGACTCATAATGTTTAAGGTTTTGTTTTCTGCCTTCTATAATTTTCATGGCAGGTTACTAAGCGAAATACAACCACAACGTTGCTGAGATATTTGCAAAACTCTGGACCGCAGGTGTCTATGGTGCGGAATAGCAAGTGATCGATAGAACTAGGTGAGAGACAGGCGAAACGAAGGACCCGCATGGTGTGGTGGTGAACGCGTTACTCCCCGGAAAGGGCAATGGCGCGTTCGTTCCCCACCATAGACATCTGCGGTCCAGAGTTTTGCAAATATCTCAGCAACGTTGTGGAATGACTCATAGTTAGCAACGTTGATAAATCGAGATGAAAAACTTAGCGACCTATCGAGTCGCAATCTTGCTCTCTACAAATTGGCTTTTCCATTTGATTTTTCCGAAATTTTATTCAAGCGTGTCAAGAAACCGACGATTGAAACGTAGAAAACCTATCTCAATATTTTGAACCAGATACCACTTATTGGTGAATTGCTCCTCATTCTACTAGGCTACACAATGATCCTTATCTTAAGTATCCAGTGCCTTGTTCTGATTGCAGCAAAGAAATCGTAGAAGATATTTGTATACAAAACGCCGTTAAAGTCCACAGCTAGTACGAGGGCAACTATTTTTTTTCTAATGAAAAAACTGAGCTCAAGTAATTTGTGAAAAAGTTTGCATAATAACTAGTGATTTTTATTTAATTACAGGTCCTAACACTTAAATTTGTTTCGGTGTCTTGTAACCGTCATATTCGTAGAGGTGTTCATAGTCGCATATATGTTCTCCTTCTGCGACTTCAACACCTGCTCTCTTTTCTTCTCGTTACCTAGTTGAATGCTGTTCAAGCGTGATTTTCTCTGGAGTTCCAATATTGCCTGGTCTTTGCATCCCTCATCATAGGCAGTGTGACCTGCCCTTGTGAATCGAAGAGAAGTTTGCTGCCTTATGATTGGGACCCTTTCTAGAGGGTAAAGAATCGATCGAAGGTAATCGAAGCGATTGATTGACCAACTGATAGGACTACATAGAAAGCCTGTAGATGGTGTTTACATTCCAAATATTGCATGTAAACAGTTTTTTTGAATAATCAATAAGTATAGCTTCAAATGTAATATTCTTCAAACTCACATAAGGTCTTCAACACAAAATTTAGCATGGCTGAATAGAGACGATCAGGTCGAGTGGCTTGGATGACCAGCACCTCGAAAAGTTTATCGCTTTGACATATATTATTTTATGTTATTTCTATACAGAAAACCAACGGTATTAAGGAGGTCAACTGGATGGTGGAGGGTGGAAATTCGCAAAAGATATGTATAATATCCAAGCCAAGTTCGTTTCTCAGTCGATTTCTACAGTATGTGCTTGTTAAAAACATTTCCGGATTCCGAATTTTTCAAAGGTTAGTAGAACTGCAGTTTTCTTGGAGGCCAAAGAAAACAACTGATCTCGAAAAAATCATTGCAGCGTCTGCTTTTTTCTTTTCTAACCACAGATAGCTTAAGTCTAGTCAAGTGACAACCTGGTATATTTCATTTCTTAACAGATTTTTAGGTTTCCATTGAAACAAACTTTCTGAAACGGTGTGATCTTCTGCTCGATGGCTGGCGGCATCGAGCTCTCACAGTCGACAACTCTGCTAAACTCGCTCCAGGTGCCCTGATCGGACAGTTGCAGATTATGGAACAGCGTCGGTAGATGAGTCTGGAATGCGGTGCGGTAATGACAACGACATCATCGACGATCTGGAGAAGCAGAATATCTTCATCGTCTCGGCGTATGTCACTGAGCGCTACACTTTCAACAACAGCAAGAACGAGCTAAGAATATTGTTATTTGTAAGTGAACCCAAATAAAAGCAGAAAAACAACTGTTCCTGTTGAACTGATGTGATAAAGAAAAACAGAAGTACTAACACATTTTTAAGCAGTCAATAAAGAGAACGGCCTTTCATTATGAAGAGACGTGTGAGCCTTAGCAGAATTGCTGTTTGGATGATAATTCGTTAGTCGGGCAGGATTTTATATGGCAAGAGAATAAAGTGATTCCAAAAGAAATTACAAAAAATTGAACCAATTTCTACATAAAGAAATGAAGAGAAAAACAGTTTTACTTCAGCTTTCGGTTCCGATGAGCAAGTAACTGTACAGGAAGTGATAGTTAGTAGCACCACAGGGGTGAAATAGCGCTGAGTTCAGACATTGTTGAAATTATCGGACCAGTATGATAATCGTCTGGAATAGATGGAACGCTAAGCAAAGCTCTTTTAGATGGCAGTTGTCGGAGGCACCCTGCAATACACATGGGCTCGATTTCGTCGCCTTAGGCCCACCAAGCCTCCAACCCTCCGGGGTCGGTAAATCGGTATTAGACTTATCCTCGAGGATAGCAGCACCAAACGATGCTTAACGAAGTCGAATTCATGGCACGTGCCCAAGGGATTGACCAACGCCGAGAGCTTTATCCTTTATTAAATTATGGGATCGAGGATATCCGAAAGTTACCACAGAACAAGTGGGCATGCAGCGTTTTTTCACAAATTTGCTACCTTTACCACTTTGTACATTATCATGTTTCGGTTATTTTTTCTAAATTCCATACATTGCGCTTTGATTTGATCAAATCCAAAAACCAATGTTGTGAACTGCATAGTTACTCTCATCATATCGATAAATCTACGCATACTGAATGGACAACTCGTTGGCCGATCAACCAACCATAGAAGGAGAGTAGACAGTCTCAATGTATCGCCCACACTAGCGGAAATTTCGAGCAACAAAAATAAGTTACCTGAATTTTGGCTACAGCAGCGTGTCTGCTCGGGTCGATCCATGAAATATCTTTGACCGAAGATTGTGGTTCGTCGATGATGACACCAGTAAAGAGTTCCCACTCCTACGACTTTTTAATCAATGGATGAACACAATAACGATTAGAAAAATGTTTAGTAAAACAAATCAATGCATAGAAAGGATGAAAACGTGTAGTGGTCGTTCCTTCTCGTTATCCAAAAACTCGTCCAAAATATACGAAAACCTCTTCAAATCTATAATTTGCATAATCTACCTACCTACCTACTACAAAAGCCATTCTTCACGACTTCAGCAAATCGAAGAATGCAATTAATAATGAGTTAGAAAAAATAAGACTTAACCTTCGCCTGAAACATTTTCGGTAATGTTCCGTGGATGAATGACAATGCAAACATAAGGCGATCAGCTTTGAATAAAGCTCTTGATATGTGGTAGAAGACAGCCAACTGTAATGAGCGCATCAGGGTTTCGATCCGTGATGAGGTGCGATCCTGAAAAGCACAGCCTTGTAGGAAATTCACGAATTGAGTGGAATTTCTGTAACAGGTTAAATAGGGTCATATTTAATCTGGAGTTACGAATAGCTTAGCGGTAGAGGTGCAGCTTAATACTGGCGTGGCCCTGGTACGACTCGACCAACGAACGCTCCATCCCTCCTGAGAACTGAGTGAAAGAAATGCTTCCTGTATCACCTGTAGTCGCGTTGATAGCCGATTGACTCGAGCGGGTGCCAGTAAATCTCCCATTTTTCCCTGTTATGTGCAAGAGTAGCCCAGTGGGTTCTAGTCGCTCTAGGGACTCGTCGAGCATCATATTCTTCTTCTAGGCTTTTCGCGAAGGACTTCGACTATCGGGACGGTGGTCTTCCAGCAGTGCGTTTAGCATCCCGAGGAATCCAGTCACTAACTGCTCTTGTCCATCAGTTGTCATTCATACGCATTACGTGTCTGGCCCACCTTATCTTCGACTACTTGGCGTACAGAACGGCATCTTTGATTTTTGATCATTGACGCTGGTCGGACCTTCGGATCCCATCCCTTACTTGTGTGACACGGGATACTCTTAGCATCATCCTTTCGACTGCGCGTTCGATAACGCTGAATGACCTTTCATCCTGCTTAAGCAGCGACAAGTTTCTGACGCATACGTTAGAGCAGGAAGTACCGTTGAGTCAAAAAGGTGGGCACTGAATCGGGTGTTCTTTGTGCTCTTCACTACACCCTTGATGCTCTTGAAAGTTTCCCAAGCCGCTCGTTTACTTCTGCTCAACTCTGGAGCAAAATCGCTCAACATGTTGATTTGCAGACCTAGATGGACATAACTGGAGCATTCGAATTTTCTTTCGGCTTCGTTGATTGCTTATATCTCAATTGAATCAAAGGTCTTTTTTAAATCGACGAAAGTGAGACAGAGCGGTCTTTTCTACTCTCGCGACACTTCAAATGCTTAGAGCAGCATAATATCTGAAGTCAAACCACATTGTAATAATTGGTTATATTATTGTTACTATTAGGTAGAAAAAATAGAGAAGTAATCGTCACTAAAACAGACCTGACATTCAGTTATGACTTTTCGAAAGATGTTGATGATTGTGGTTACGTTAAAATTATACATGTGGTTATGAAGATGAAGATCGCAAAACACAAAATACAATGAGCTGGCGAACTCGGCCAAGGAAAGGTAGGCGTTTCGCTGCTAAAATCGTATGAAATCATAATCATGGAAAATATAGCGTCTTCATAGTAAGAAGAAAAGCCCACAGCCATTTGTTCTTGGTTTTCTCCACCGAGATAGCTGGAGCAAGACCATGGTCAAATATGTTAATCGAGTTAAGACCCATCAACCCACTTTGTTTAAAAATTTCGCGACAATGAGAGAAATATGGCTCATAAACAAAGTTCTACATTTCCATCGTAAACAGCCGTTAGTTAGCAATAGTTTAATAGTTTAAAAACAAGTCCATCGTAGACCCACCATCCAATCAAAATACGGTTAAGAATGCTCCTTAGTTTGGAACTAATGGAGTCCAACAAATCCTTACGTTTTGCCTAGAGATGAAGCCTGCGCCGTAAGGTACTAATAAATTTTCAAAACCATTCACTCTGCTTATATCACAGTTACTCAACAAATGCTTGGAAACCTTATGATCATTGTTACTCTATAGATAATGCTTGGATGAAAACTGGAATTGATATATTACTCACACTTAGGACTGCTTTTAAGATTGATATTCAAATTTTTCACTCTTTACCTTCTTCACCTTAACATTTTTAACGAATCTCTGTAACGTGGGCAACAAGCGAGTTAAGTTACCACCAACAAAGTGCCTATCGCTGCTTTAGGCTACAGATTCCCAGAGTAATCGTTCACTCAACGGACACCAAGAACATCACAGGACGAGGCAATCATAAACTTCAGAGAAATTGACTTGCAGCTTGTAATTTTGATTAACGCGAGCATACTTACATGCTTAAACAGTAGTTAAGTATAACAAGTGCTTAAAATTGGGGGTAACAAACCCATCGGAACTACTCTTTTACTTCACCTTCGTCTCAAGGCAGCTACAAGGTTATCTTTGGTACCCGTTTAAGCCGCTGTTCTTACCTATTAGTGCACCATGTTTCCTCGCCACTGTCCTACTTAAGTCCTCTCACATGAACAGATACAGGGAAACTAACACTATTTGTCAGCGGACGTTGTTCCCCAAGGGATTCCCAACCAATTAGTTGTGAAATTACGTGTTGCATCTTCAAAGGTTGGTTAAGGCATTTGAATGTTGCACAAATAAGACACTGCATATGCCCAGGTGAATTCAAAAGATATATTTATAATTACTGCTATACCAGATTGAATCAAATGTCCCGTATATTTGTAGGTATATTGTTGTCTTCATGTATGTGAGCTCTTGTGTATATGAGTGTCCTAGGGACGCAAAAGTCTACAATAGGAAAGAACTTAGCAATTTCTAGCAATTTAGGTCATAACATGAGTGTTAGGAAGATTAGATACAGCGTCACCGAACTGGCTGGGACGAAAGCGGCGTGCAACAAAGGTCGTTTATGATATCGGAGAAGAAATATTCTGAGGAACATGGGATAGTAGAAAAGTTGGCCCAGCTGGCGTTGTCGTCAACAAATGCTTGCTCATAAGCATCAGCTCGTTTGGAACAATAAACCATTCAAACGAGAGTTTTATGGTTAATAAGAAATGGGCATTATTGGCTTCCACAGGATTTCGCCGCTTAAGCTCAAGTAAAGTGTGGTATCGAGCCATTGTCTCCAATGCACAAGATTCATCTTCCAGGAAAAAGAACAGGAAGACGCGAAATTCATAGATCAAAATTTGGAAACCACAGTACTTTATGATTTATTGATTTTTCGACTGAGTTTTGATGAAATTCCCGAATTGGGTACAGAGTTTTCCAGCTAATATACCGGTGTGGAGGCCGCGGTGGGCAATCACTAAAAGTCGCAGAGGTTGAGAAGAACATTTGTGGTAACCATCAGGACATCGCCACCTACATTAGCAAAACACCCGTTTTAAAAAACAGCTAATCGTTCAAGAAATAAGGTAGCGAAGACTTTCGACTTCTAGTCCGATCTTTTCAAAAGCTATGTCCATTTGAGTCCATATAGACGTTGTCCCATTGGTTCTCTCTTATGCGAAATCCAAAATATTTTTACATCGCCGAAGAACCTTACAGCACTTGGCAGGAACAGGCTCGAATTCGAACATCTGAAGAACCTCTCATCTATCTTCATCGGAACACTTGCTCTGTTGTTCACTCTTGACTTTTCAGGAAGTAGAGCTACCAGCCAATGAAAGCGAACGTGAACTATGTTGTGCACAAAGAGGAAGCCAGCATAACGTTAAAAACTATTTCGTAACATGCTCGCTGTCTTGTACGACAAATGTGGGCGATTATTATGAGAAAAAATCTAGGACACCCTGCTCCATTGCAACTTTTTCATTTTTCGATTCCTCCTGCCGTACTGTAATGCTTTTAAAATATGCGCAATTAACCGGGAAATATTAGGATCACCTTCTTTTAGGTTCCAACTGTGAGAGGAAAATCGAGATAATAACACATATTGTTAACTTCTGATCACCGACAATATCGTTTAGGTCAAGGTGCCGATAATGAGGTAGGCCAAAGACGTAATGATTGTTGATGACAATCACTGCACAATAGCCGTTAGGGACAAAGTCGCATAGGACGCAAAACGTACAACGGAGAGAAATCATCGGCGCGGTGGCTAGACTTCCTACCAAAGAGAGAATAAAAAATGATTCTATACATGTTACTTAGCGAGTAGAACCTGTCTTGGAACTGCGGCAGGTGACATCTACAAATGGATACTGTACAAGGGAGTCGTTGGAATCACTTGAAGACTACCAAGAACAAGAGCTCATGACATTCAAGTAATCTAAGTGATTCAACACCCGTTTTTTAGGATTCGCTGACTTTGAACTATACAATTATAGACGGTAGTATAGTTTTCCAGGTTTGAAAGGATCTATGGAACCCTGCTGATAAACAAAACAGCATTTCAATTTTTTAGAATAACAATCCAACACTAAGTAGTCTATAAAAAGAGTCTGTCAAGCTTAATTACCCCAAAGGGAAGTTACCGAACCTGCAGTCGCTTACAGACAAATGGCACCTCACAGAACTGCGCCACTATATCAAGCGAGAAATGGAAATAGATTTAAAATGAGTACATCGGCAAGCTCTTTGTGAAGCTTTTCGCTTTCCATAATGCTGCGACTGATGGTCTCGGCGTTTTCTTTTGACTTGTTCAGTGAGTTGAGCAAAACTGCATTACCCAGCAGATTCTCCTCGGATGATGCCAGTTGCTGAAACAGTATGCCGTTTTTTTAAGTGAAGCATTTTGTACAGATAGTTCATGTAGTTTTTTTTATGTCATCTTCGGATAGGTTTATAAATAGCTCAATTTCAATCCACTTGTAGTTGAAAAGTACGGGTATTATGAGGCACTCCATATTTCCTTCCTTCGGACTACTTTTTGGGCTTTTATTTTCCATATAACTAAAACTGAAGCGTGAAAACAAAATTTACACAGAACACTAGAAGTGGCTTACCCTGAGTTTAACAGATGTCAACACTCTCAAATACATGGACCCCGCAGTGAGGCTCGGATAGTTGCTGTCGATCTCACACCATATTGAGTGAGATCATTGCGCAAATGGCCCAAACAGTGATTTTGCTATTCTTTAAATTCTTCCATGCAAATCATAGAGTGGGAATATCCAATGAATTGAATGCCAATCTACTAGTGGCTTCTTTTCTTTCCAACGTAGTATACCTCTTTCAGAATTTCGTCTCGATAGAGTTCAGCGTTGATATTGAGATTATCGTCGATGAAAACCAAACGTATTGTTTTATTTGTAATTATTTCTCCAACCGTGAGATTTTCCGCTCTCCGGAATTGTTTTCTCATTGAACGAACCATTTGATGATGGCCGTTTTGAAGACTGTGGGTGAGGTCGACTCTAAAAATCCAATCAAACCACAAAACGTTTTTCCATCCATGAAATGTGGAGATTTGCAGTAATTCATTTTAACATTTATTTGGTTGGTTTCGCTGAGCCGCACAGCTAACTGTAGTCCAAACACTTCCTTGGTAATCGATTGGACCATTAAGTGAGATAGCTGAGGAATTCCACTGATATCTTAAGGTTGATGACGTCATTCCAATGTACTTTGCTTCACTGATATGCTAAGACAATGGTGCTACCAAATGATTTTTCTTGGTATTTTTGTTGAGCAAAAGCGAGGTGGCAAAATCCGCCGAAACGTCAGCTTAATCGTGAACAAAGAATAGTAACACCTCGCGTTTGCTCAACAAAAATACCAAGAAAATCACTTGATCAATGCCGAGGTTAATAGAAAGTCGGTCGTGGCAGGTGCTACCAAATATTTATTTGGTTGTCGCTTCAACGTCTTCGCCTTCCCCAGAGCCGATTATCCATGTCGATGATCTAGAACTGTTCGTTTTCTCGATAGGGCGCATTCGTCTTCGCATCGAGTCTGATATTCTTCAGTACAGCACCGCTCGAATGAGGCAACCTCACCCGGCTAAGCGCTTTTATACAATATGGGGGTTGTTGATAATGATTGGTCGTTGATAATAAATTGTTTTTCAATGGACAACCTATCCTGCACCAGTCGGGTTAAGATAAGCCTACACATAGCAAAGCTGTCATTTCAGCTAACTCTCCGGCTGGTATTTCCACACATCTATCTGGTGTTCACCGCACGATGACGACTAGAATTTTTTTTACATGAAGAATTCTTATGTCGTTTCACAAAATAACCTCCTGAAGCACATCAAACTGCAAAGGAATTTTTAGCAGCGGCATGTTAGTAAAGATTTTCTCCGTAACTTGTCGTCGAACGCTTGAAGAAGTAGCAACCGATTTTTCGACGTCTTATGGTAGACGGCGCTAAATAGTGTAGAATTTCGTATCCTAATTCATTCATTTGTTCAATGTTGCTCGTACTATGGGTGGTGCAACAATGTTTTTCTACAGAATCAGCATGTTTCGACAGATTAATAGCCGTTGCGACATAGACTTGGTCAGGATTCAAAAACTTATAGTTAATGATTACACCATGAAAGTCACAGTAATACTCTCTCCAAAATAAAATTCGGATATGAGCAATGTTTTGGTGCTTATTCATCGCCCAACTTTGTGCAGATCACCATCAGTTGCCATACAGCGCCCATATTTCTCGTCGAACGATCACAATACGATTTGGTAACAGACAGTGTCTCCGACTTCTTAACAACAACTTTTCCTGCAGGTAAACAGAAGTGAGCGCAAGTGTTTCAAGATCTCTTCGTCTTCTATCACAATGATAAACAAATTTCATTAGATATATCAATTAAAAACAAGCCATTAAAGAGGAACGAGTGATAACGACTACATTAATGTAGTTCAAATTAAGTTCGCGCGAAAATCACCACCTCAAGTATCTATTAACTAACACGGTTTTAAAGAATTATGAAAAAACAAGTAAACCTGAAGTAATAACTGCTCAAGATTTTCCAGTTCCATTTTTTTGGTCTCCGTATCTCGGGCCAACGAGCTTGATTTCTCTTCCAGTTCCGGCCTTTCGATTTGAATGGCAAGACCAAGGAGCTGGAAAAAATTCCATTCACTTCTTCATCGTCCTTTTTTTGCCTACGGTAATTTCATTTACACGGATTTTTGCCACAGTGCAAACACATTCAGTTTTCAGCATTCGTAGGTTTCACAACGTATTAATGATGTTTTCTCCTAATCGTTTTAATAACCCTGGCAAAGAAGATATGTAATTCTACGAAAAAATTCAAGTTATACGACACCACTATTCTTAGCTCGTTTAAAATCATTCAATGTTCTCCTTAATTGATGGGAAATCTTTTAATGAAATTTTCGACCTGAACTCTATCTTTAGAACCACAACGTTGCTGCGATATTTGCAAAACTCTGGACTGCAGGTGTCTGTGGTGAGGAACAAACGCGCCATTGTCCTTTCAGGGGAGTAACTGCATAGTGTGGTGGTGAACGCGTTACTCCCCTGAAAGGACAATAGTGCGTCCGTTCTCCACTATAAACACTTGCGGTTCAGAGTTTTGCAAATTTCTCAGCAACCTTAATCGTTTTATTTAATGCCTACTCTTTTTTAATGGCAGGGTATATTGGGAAATATAGCGTTCGTTCCCACCGCAGACACCTGCGGTCCGGAGTTTTGCCATTATCTCAGCTTCATTGAAGTTATCTCAGCAACGTTGTGGTTGTATTTCGCTTAGTACCCTGCCGTAAAAATTGTAGTAGCAAAAAATAAAAAGGTGAAATATCTATCCTTAGAAATATTTTAGCAGGATAGAAGAAAGAACTTGTAGGCTTTCTGATAAATATGCAGAAGTCTAAAATATATAGAAGGAGCGGATAACACAGTGGTTGTGGTGTCCGTTATCACGAGTATGATGCTAGTTGGATTCATGCCCGGGCCAACCAAGCCTCTTATCTCTCCGGGGGTCGTGAAATTGGTACCGGATTTGCCTGAAAAAAAATCACTCTATGCAATAGAATTGGGAATACTTCAGCCCGGCTATCTCTCTCAAGACCCCAGGGAGAATCACTTGACCAGCATTTTATGATATTCAATATGAAATGGAGATCCTCAAGCAGCAATAGGAGCCACACGTAAAGTTGTAAGATATTCTTGGACAAGGGATGTGAGGAAACGAATCCAATGTGAGAAGTGCTGGGATCCGCAAAGTAGACGTGAAGATGGATCAAATAAAATAAAATATAAAAATAAAAAATATAGAAGCATCTGATTACGACAGTCTTTTCGCTTTCCCTTAGAAACTCTAGGCCTATTTTATGAACGATCTTCGGCTATTATAGCTTTTCTCATACTCAAACCTTAAGCATAATAGCAACGGGAAGAATTGATTAACCAACCTGACAATAACCACCCAGAGATTATTCCCCACAGCCGTGGTGAATTCCCATTTTTGGGTAAATTTGTTTACCAAAAAAACTTCTTTAATATGGAAACCTAGATTTTTAGGTTGAGAAGAATTAAGTGGTTCCGATCGTGAAAAATTTCCCACCCATGCAAAATCATAGTTAAAAGTGGCATATGAACACAAACATAGAAGTGGTGGTTTGCTTCCACATGAGCTGGAACCTTGATCAATAATGTACTGCCAACTAACCTGAGATGTTAGTCCGCTTCTCGTTGTAGTGAAATTTACTTCAGACAATACGTTTCGGATGCTACTCGGTATGACGATGTGCTCGTTTTTTGTACAAAGAAACAACTTGAAGTCGGGATGATAGTCGATCTGTTTGTCAGCAAAGGTGATCACCTTAATCAATCAATATCGTTTAACTCAACAACAAAATCAAACAGTTGCAGCTAGTATATGATTTTTGTAAGTCGAAATCAAAACTACCATTTTTGTTCAAGAAGGATGAAATTACAAAATGCTTGCTACAACTACGTTTAACCACAATAACGCTTATGTTGGCTTATGGAAGCTGACTTCGGTTTCAGAGCTACGTTGTACACTAAGGATTCGTGCATTCATTCCATGTCCATACAGATTGCTTGTTCAAGAGGATAAAACGATAAAAAAAGGATAAAACTCTCAACGTTGAACAGTCCCTAAGGGATGTGCCATGCATTCGACTTCATTGAGCACCGTTTGGAAGTGACTGAATGCATAACTGGTCTTTACAATTACTCGCGGTTGCCTACCGATGTATCGAAGCCACGCTGCTATCTTTGCAGACAAATCTGGTACCAATTTCCGAACCTCGGAGTGGTGGAAGACTCGGTGCACCATGGGCGCGGGACCCATGTGTATGTTGCAGGATAACCCCGACCACTTCGCCACATACGTTCAAGAAGATAAAAACCTTTATTCGATATATAGGTGATCCCCATAACTCAGTGTGCAAGCCAGATATGCATTCGTCCACTTCTAATAATGATGTCGGATACATTGCGCATTGCAAAAAGTAGATAGTGCTGAACGTGTTATACGTCCTTTAATGATATGTCCTCAACCGAGTCTCTCATCATCACCCAACTCCAGACCAATACGTCAACTACGTCCCTTCTTCGTGTTATTGCGCATATTTGTGTTCCTATTACCCTCGTTTCTTCACTATAGATGAGCCCTCAGTCAAATATTCACCCGTTCTTGTACCCAGGTTCAAAATTGTTTTCTTAAAATATCCAAGAATTTTTTTGCTAGTTTATGTCCATGAAACTTCCAGATTCCTGCAGTCAAATACCGCTGATACGACAACGGTTTAGAAATCACTTATAGCAAACTACTGTGTTTTTCTATCCTCATCACTAACTTTATTTCATGTGAAAATCTTCCATTCTCACAAGAGATTTTAAGAAAGGTAAAATACGAGGACGTGATTATTGATGACAAAAGCAGTGTACCTGACGAGGTCCCTGAGACGACAACTCCCTTCTGAATATGGGCACGAGAGTAGCATCGATCTCACTGACGTCGTCGACGATGATCGTTTTGCCGAATCGAATCCCGAATTCGATCTATCAACGTACTCATCCAAAACCGGAATTTGAAGAGAAAATCGGAATGAATGTTTGAGTGGAAAATTGAAAAAACAGAGCTCTAAAAATAGACGCTAGGCTTGTTCAAATTGTCTCTCGTCCTGGTTTGCCCACTTTTAGATCAACTTATCCACCCTCTGAGAATTCACACAGCTGTTTAGAAAGTGCAGTTATTCTTTTTAAATTAACAGCAGTTAAACTTTATCTTAGTTACCGTAGCCATTACAAACTATGTGGTCTGTCGAAAAGTTCACTTCAATAAGAAGAGCCTAATTAGCTTTGTTTTGCAAAATAGTGATTTTGATTCGCAACGACATGGAATGGTACTGTAGTCTTCAGCCTGCAAGGATAAATAAATACTGTAGTTGGTGCCAATCTTAAGTCTACCCATGATCACGTGCGTAGCTGCATTGATTTTGCCAAGGAATGAAAATCAAACCTGAGTGAACAGATCACTTTGCGCTGCGCGAAGCAACTCAGATTTCTGGATAAAGGAATGCAAAAAAGTGGCAACTCGTCCAGTCGGATCAATGATGAGTGGCGTCGGTGAGCCGTTGAATATTATCACAGTGTTTTCTACTGACAGTGAATCGGCCGGTAAGCCATGATTCCTCCAGTTCAACTACAACTACAGAATAGTCAGTACCACGTAACGACCTACTGGTGCTATGTCTGGAATTACACACTTGAATTCGACTCTTTGCTGATCAGACAAGTTTTTTCCATAAATTTTTAAGAGATGTGAACGGAAATTTTCAAAGAATTCCTGAAGAGTGGGGAAGACTTGCTGGTGGAATAAGCACTACTGTGCAATATTGTCAGGTAACCAGAAAACTTTCCCTTTGGTGGTTCACTAATTAGTAAAGGGCAAATCCTGTCTATTCGGGCGTCTCAAAACAAGACAAATTATTCCTCACAGAACATAGGCTTGTTCACCTGCTCAGTCTCCATGGCACAAAACGCAACTGGACTGAAGTTGTTCAAGTTGCTGTTCTGCTGGAACGTTTTCAGAACATCGGTGCGAATTTTCTCCGAGCATCCGCCAAGGTACGTCACGAAAGCAGCCGTAATAATCGAACAGCTTTCAACCTTAAAGAAGAGGAAACAGCTTTCAACAGCATGCATTTAGCACTTCATTAGACTGTTATTTTCCTGATTGAGCAGATTTTTTCATCGGAATTCTGACGGACTCATACTAGGAAGTTCTCTAGTCGTCGTCATAGAAATCACGCGCTCTTATAAATTAAAGGGAGTTTTACTGCTTACAACCACTTTTCTGCCAGAATAATAGCCGTTTTGACTTAAACTAAGCTGAGTTTCTGGATGCAAACGCTGGTTTTCCCCTTAGCTTGGGTAATACCTAAAAAATGAATGAGCAGTTCATCATCCCGGTCAATCATACTAGGAACACAAATGAGGATGTTATGTGCGACACCTTAGTATAAAGGATAAAAGGATAAAACTCCCGGAGTTGATCAAACTCTTTAGGGTTGCGCCATGCATCCGACTTCACTACGCATCGTTTGGAAGTGATTGAATGCATATCTAGCCTTTACAATGACTTGCAGTTCTCTACCGATGTATCGAGCCAGTGCTGGTATCCTCCCAGACAAGTATGGTACCAATTTTCCGACTCTGGATGGAGGGCTTGGTGGACCATGGACGCGGGGACCGATTCAATGTGTTTGTTGCGGGGCGCCTCTGACCACTGCGCCATACGCACCCGTGCACAGTGTAGTAGAAAGAAATAAGAAGGTATCCTATTTTTTTTCATACAGGTCGAAGAACTACCATGGGCGACCCCAATTCAAGCACTTCCACTTATAAAACGAGAGTCTCCTTTCCATACCATGCCTACAATTGAAAAAAATGGTCAGTTGGTAGTTCAGATACCAGTAACCACGATGTGATTGTTGGTGCCAACTCAGGCAGCATTTAATCAACTTGAAATAGATGTGTCTGACAGGCCAAAAAATTGATGAAATCTTACATTATCCATTTCCCGTGTCAAAGATTCCATCTGTATTTGCCATCGTGAGAATTCACCTGCAAGTCGATCCACAAGAGTACCAGCTACTGCTATTGTTGCCTGGAAAATCTAGCCTGCAATTGTGTACGACCTAAAGGAACAGTAATCTAACAGAACTTGTTCCTTCTCCAGGTCGATTTTGATTTGAGTCGCTTCCTTCATGAGACCTTCAAATTTCTCCTTTAATGCTGCCACCTTCTCGTCTACGGTAAGTAATCCCTTTGAGAGCTTCTGGATTTGCTTTTCGGCTTTCGAGAGGTTGCTGAAGTTGAATGAATATTATTTCGTACGACGTAAAGCATTGTTTTTTGTAGTAAAAAGAACGTTATTTACATTGGTTGTGAAAGCACCAGTATTATTTGCATTTTTTCGGAAATTTGCTGGTTTGGCCATTGTGGTTCCTTGGAGTCCCGTGGTCAGCCAGGCGAAAGTCCGCCCGAGGTAGTCACCACTACAGGCGGTCGCTGTCCTTGTGGATCAGAGGGAGATCTGGCCCTATGGGACTAGTTTGTTACCAGAACGGTAATGGATCCTATTATTGGTTTACTCTTAGCTAGGCTTCCAGATGAAAACGTCGGACTCCTTCTTAGCTTGGAAGACCCTGCCAAGGAGACGAATCTCCACGCTGTACATCGCACCCCGACACGCAGGAACACCTCACAACGTCGATGAGGCGGTAAGCCGTTGGGAGGTGAGTGTCGAACTATGAATAACAAGTATATATCTTCTAGGCAAACTGCGTCGGGAACTTTAGCGGTCAAGAAAGAGACCTGCAGCAAGTCTCCTTACAAAGCATAGAAGTAACAAGATAGCGTTGCGATTAGTCTCGACACATTTTTCAAGTTCCCCTACGAAAGCTTTCGCTCAGACTTACCTAATTAGTTCATTTTTCTCCTGTTCCAGTGGCGAAATCTTCTCAAGAATCGCTGAGTACTGTAGGTTTGCGGTGACCCATGCGGCTAACGGAGCCGCGGCAACCGACGCACGTTTGGCGTTCTGTAATTAATTGCATGCCGGCGACTATCAGCGTTAGCGACTTGCTTCAGCGGAACCTTTGGGTCAAAAGAAGCCTGCTTGCTTTGTACCAACGCTGAGACTTTCTTGTGAACGTCTCCAGTGATGCGATGAGCGTCAAAGTTGATGATTTCGTCTTTGACACTGCTTTTCGAAAGAAATCTTAACATATTGATGGTTGAAAATCGATGTTAAATAGACATTTAAGCAAAATACTCCGAAAGAAAGAAAGCAACAAAAGAAAACAGTAAAAATAACCATTTTTCCTCGCAAGGCTCTTCCGAAAGCTGCTAGAAATATGCTTTACAAATGCTACAAGGTCCATCATTGGTTAAGAGGTGCCTGTATATTTTGAGGATTACATTAAACTACCGTTGTTGCTATGATTTAAAGAAGCGTTTGGCGCAGTGGTCGAAGGCGCTGTGCGACATACACATGGGATCGATCCGCGCGCCCGTAGCTCACCAAGCCTTGCATTCTTTCGGGGTCGGTAAATTGGCACCAGACTTGTCTGCGAGGATAGCAGCACTGGCTCAATACATCGGTAGACGACTGCGAGTCCTTGTAAAGTGCAAATATGCAATCATTCATCTTCAATGATGGTTAATGAAGCAGAATGCATGGCGCATCCCTCAGAGATTGATCAACGCCGAGAGCTTTAACCTTTCTTATCCTTTATTTCTATGATCTAGATCACTAAGGCTGAGTAGAAGTCCCGCATTTTCACTCGGAGTTCCAGCTATTAATAGTTCGCTTTTTAAAAATTCCTTATGTCACAACCCACTTTCGCATTGCTTCCCATGAAGTGTCCAGGATACCCATGAAAAGCAGTACAGCCTGTAATATATCTCTTATTGCTTCAGGTGGAGCTCGCAGACTTCGAATCTCTGACAGCGATTCCGGTTTGATCGATCCGACCGCAGATCGCGCTTCCTAAAAAGTGGTAGGCTGGTTGTCGTATGTTTGGAAAGCAGTGATTTGTTAAGATAGTGTTTTTATCAGTCCCATAACTCCGGCACCAGCATATGAAACCCAGAGAGATGAGGATTAGCTCGGAAGGCGAGATCGAACCGATGACGATAATATGTACTGCATGGGAGCTCTAATGGCAGCGCTTCAACTCTGATGAACACATACGGAAAAGAAAAGCTTAGCAGTTGTTTAGATCATCACAGCATACACTAAAATAAATTAATGAATATGATGGCAGACAGAGCTGCGTACCTTCAGCAATGGTTCGACATCTTTTAGTTGCTCTTCGATTTTCTTCTTCTTCTCGGCGATTTTTGTGTTCTCCTCTTCAGTGGCGGCACGCAACTGTTGCATGGACGTCTTCTGATCCTCGGCACCCTGAAATGCTCCTGAATTCACGTGATCCCAATCAAAATTCATGCTTTGCAAAACTTTTTTCCTTCTTGTTTGATACACTTAAGGCAAAAGTGACTAAATACATTTCAACATCCACTCTGAACTCAAGTTAAAATTGTTCACTACACCTTTGTTCATTACCTTGCCCAATAAAATCTGAAGGGTTTACGAACGTCGAAACAAAATATTAAAAGACGAAAAGAAAAGAAAAACAAAAAAATAAACAAAATGACACAAAAAATGGTAAACAAAATGAATGATCACTGAAGCCTTCACACTAACAACGACATTGGTTTTCTTCGACATGTTAAAGAAGCGCGTGCACCACACACCATTGTGAAGTGCAAACGTTTGTGTTTTTCCTATAGCGCTTGCTTATTTATTTAGATGATAGGTTTCCATCTTCCGTGTAGAAATCATAAATTCTTGTATTCCGATCCGCTGTTCTGAAACTTCTGTCCATGAAGGCAGTCGCACTCACGTGTGGATTCGGCTAGGGCTTGAGGATATGCCACCTCCTCTATTTAAGTCATATTTTGGGTGCTTTTAGAGAACTTTTTTCACGAAAATACTAACTAGCTGTGCTAGAATAAGGGTTAGCAGGTCTCTGTCACTAACAAATATAGTTCCTTCAAGATCGGAGGTAGGTTTGTTGCCTTGGGACTGGGATTTTTCCATGACGACAGGGAATTATGAGCTTCGCCGATCCAGCAAACTAGAACAATGCAACAGCATGTGCTTGCTTTGTTAAGCGTTAATAACAAAAAAGTAAGTAGACGGGACTCATTCTCTCCTGTCTAATTAGCATCTCATAGGTCTGTTCACCCCATTTCAATCCACTTTTAAAATTCAACCATCAAAATGTCCCAATGTTAGTCTTCTTACCACTTTCGAATTCTTAGATAAATTCGCCGATTTCACTGCCAGTGGTTTTCGCTGAATCATTTGGTTACACGAACTCTGTGACCATATTTGTCTCCGCGAAAGTTAGTGGTAAACTCAAATCGTCGACTAAGATCATTTATGAGAAAAGTCACAGACGAATGTTGGCGTCATTTGAAGATCTATCTGTCTATTTATAGCCAGTAAGAAATTCGGATAGGCATGGCGAGTAAACTCCATTTGCCTCTGTCGCAGAATAGCCTTTCAGTGGGGTCCGCACGCTCAGAAAACACGGAGAGTGTCTCACATTAAGTGTGAGACTTTTATTTTCTTTTACTCTTTCTTCTTGCGAGGAGGTAGCTACGGGTACCTCGTTATGTCAGGGCACAGACAGGCTATTAGGTGGGCTTCAGGGTGCTAATGTCCAACTTCACTTCAACTCAAAGTTTAGATGAACTTTACACTATGCATTGGAGTTCGACGCTTTGAAATTCCTTTCGAAATGTTGAGGCGATAAACAATGGCGAAGACTCGGCAATTAACGGAAGAGCATACATCAAACTTGAGTTGAAGATTTCTCACTTTTAAGCAATCGAGATAATTGTGCTAAAGCCACGCCCTAACACAGGTAGGTGGGTGTGGGGTTCTTACACCACTTCTTGATAGATTTGACGAAAACGAGGGAACAAGATAATGGTGATGGAGACAGAGTGAAGGCAACGTCGTACATCGCAGTCTAAGCGAAATCAAAGAACTATCGAAAAAAAAGCTCAAAAAAAGACTGAAGGGTTCAGTCCATATAACAATTCATATTTTAAAAAAAGAATGAAACAAAAAAATAAGGCCGGGTTGAAAATCAGATGGATTGACGATGTTCGTTTCAAGAACTATACACTGAGTCAAAATCACTATGAAGTGGCAGCTCGATCAAACTTATCAGTTCTACAAGCATAGTTTACAAATGGGACGTAGCCTTAGTCAAAGTGCGAAAAAATGCTGAAGAAAAACAGGCAGCTTATCTAAAGTCCTAACTTCCTTCTTAAAGTTCTAATCACTCGAACTTCCCCATTTCTCTCATAATGAGAAACTGTCATGAGATGTTTTAAATAAGCTGTAATTTTTATTTACCGCTTATTCATTTTCCATGGTAGGGTGCTATGTGAAATGCAACCGCAACAATACTCAGATATGAGCAAAACTCGATACCTCGTATGGGTTCGAATCAGCGGTTACCCTTAGCAGGGGCTCACTTGCTATTCAAAACACCAACCGAGGATTTTATTCAACCTTTTTCTCAGAGGAATTGTCAGCACAGCACAAATATGGTGCAGTGACAGTGAGCTCTGAGTAAGAGTAATCGCGAGTTCGAAACCCAAATGAGGTTCTGGGTTTTGTTGAAATCGCATCTTTGGGATGTTTTAAGTAGTTCATACAGTTTAAGATCACTGACATAATTTTAACCATGAGAGTTGTTTTTCTTATTAAGTGCATAACATTTGGCCTACTCTTCCATAAAAAATTTTTCCTTGCCTCATTTTTTCACTTACGCAATGGAAAGCACTTTGAACTGACCGTCATGCTTTTGCTGATGTCCTTTAGCGCTTCATCGGCGTCTGCTTGTTTTTCGGCCAACAGTTTGCTCTTTGTTGCTGCCATCTTTTGCATGAGAGCCACTTGCTCTCGAGCTTCAGTTAATTTCGATACGCCAGCCTTCAAAACGAAAGACGTTCTAAATTCTAAGCAATTGAAAAACAGGAAATCCTGAGCATGGATTTCAATTCGGTTCACCAACAATCCCCAGTGGGACCCTGAGAAGTAGATGAGTAGCGGACATTAATTGGCATGTCTTTTGCCTCTATGAGTGGAACAATAGCGTGGAAAAAGAAAAGAAAGAGTGGAAAATTTTTTGAGATAACATGAGACATAGGGGGAGAGTAGCACAATTGTAGTGATTCCGTTCATTATGTGGACAGCCGAAATCACCCAGGCGCTGTCTCGTTGCGGCTCCAGGCCCACCAAGTCTTTAGTCCCACGGAGTCGGCAAATTGGTACCAGTCTACTCTGTAGCAAACTCACTCCCTTTAATCCACGCGGAAGCGTCTCAGAATGGCTATCTTATCATTCCGAAGAGAACAGATTCAACCAGTTTTCACCGAGATGTGTGACGAAGACAAACACCCTCAACCAGCAGCTGAATGAAATTCGAAGGCCTTCGTGTACTGTAGATGTGAGGAAGCGAATCGAAAGCGAGAAGTGCTGGAATCCGCTTTGTGTGATATATGTTCAAATAAATTAAAAACAGTCTTTATTTCAACGTATTAACATTACATTTTGCCAGTTGTTCGTGCATGAAACCACCTATATTCGACTCTTAAGAAGATTCCCAATTCGATTTAGTTCCTTTTATATGCGTGTGAAAAAAGACTCGTTATTGTTTTTACACTTCCCTCAACAAATGTCTAGGCAAGTAAACCTTTCAGATGTTGTGTAAAAAGTGGCGATGATTCATTTTCACAGTTCTGGAAGAACTAACACGTTTTTTACGCTTAGTTTTCCCAGGCGTACCATCTGAAATGCTCCACAAAACTTGGTACTTCTGTCTACAGCAATAATTCTCACGGAATTTCACCTATAAATCATTACGGAGCGGCATACTCTGGAAACAGAGAAACTTGTCCCAAAAAGCGCTTCAATGCAAGCTGTGCTCACAATGGCAGAAAACAGATTCACGCAGACAACACCTGGTACAACATCTGCTCTAGGAAATCCACTGCTTCAGTACAATAGACCCTACTGAAAAGATCTGATAATCAAAAATAAGAGCAGGGAAAAATGCACTGGAATCAACCAAATTGCTCCGCCATGCGTCTGTTGAATTCTGCGCACAACGTTGCGAATGTGTTTTTTTTTTACGACCCGTCTTCACATCTACTGTCTGGATCCCAACATTTCTTATGTTCGATTCGCTTCCTCGCATCCATCAACTTCGGACTTTTCGAGTGCGGTTTAGGCTGCTGCTTGAACACTTTCCTTCCTTTATGAGCTTCGTTGAACGTTGGGCAAGTCGATTCACAATGGAGTCAGATACAGACGCGCTAGGGTTTTCACTAGGACTTCCCAGAGAAGTCTGGTACCATTTTGCTGACCACAGAGAGATTAACCGTGGTATACCCGGGGTGGGGTCGAACCAGCACTATGGTCGTGATGAATAGTGTCGCTACTACTGCGTCACTCGATCTATGCAAATGTGTTAAAAAATATAGATTCCTGTCCACCTTTAGCATTATCTTACAGTAAAATCGAGCTGGAAAAACTTCGAATCTCACTTTTAGTCGTTCCAGTCGTCCAGCAATGACGGTTTTCTTCTTTTCGTAGATCGAGGCGTAATTTTCGATACAACGTTGAAACTTGTACGGTGATTGAACTGCAGGAGGTAGAATCGTTTCAAGATGACTGCAAAATTTGAAAAAAGAGTGGACGAAAGAAATGAAAAATAAATGAACGAATGAATGAATAAGCTAACAAATAGGTAACATCTCGAAAAGAAAATGAGAAAATATTGCCATTAGGATAAGGCCAATAAAAAGATGACCGTTATACATGACCAGCAAGAGATGACGTCATGCAGAAATCCCATCGAAATTCCGAGCAATTTTAGAATATCCAAAAAGAGCAGAAAGATAAAAAATCATAAAAATCTTGCTCAGTGAGAGGGCGAGAAAATCAAAAGTTCAAAAAATGAAAAACAATATTTATACCTGAAAGCTTGGGTGGTGTTCTCCGTAACTTTCATTCCTTTCTTTTGTAAAATGAACGAAGGCATCTGAATTGTACTTCCTACCTCTTCAATACTCATCGGCAATAAATTTGCCACAGTGTCCCTTTCAATGGTCCTTCAAGTCCTTCAAGCTACTTCATTTTCATTTCTATCGAAGTTCAATAAAACTAGTCTAACCACTGATGTAAACAAAAAACAAGTCATTTTCCTTCTAAAGCTTTAAGCACTCAAGAATGTTTCAGAGTACACTAGAAAGATCTAGAAAAAACTATCACATATTTTTGTGTATGGTTGCTGCGAAAATTCTTCGAGGATCACCAGTTCTCGCCGTATGAAACACGGTTGGAACGGCCGCGTGAGTCATGGGGATTTCGACATTTTAATCTCTTTTATCTAATCAATACAACAAAATACCTTATCTCAGCTTTTTTAGTTCACATAGCGGCAAATGTGCTGATATGAATTTTCTTCCGAACGATGAGATATTCACAAAAATCGGCTATGGAATATTAGCCGTCCTATACCACTCAGCTGTCTCCACATTGCCCCCAGATCTTCTCAAATTCCCGATAAGTCGCGTTCGAAACTATGTGACGAGTTCTCCCAAGTGGACGACAAGGAGTTAAACAGAGAGCGAAGCGACTTTTTACTTTCTCCGAAGCGGGGGTTATTTAGGTGATGCGTTTTCTGTTTTTTTTGCCATGTTGCCATATAAATTATTAGTTGTTGTAGGTGTTTAGGAATTTAAGCGCCCTAATCTTTTGATGAAGAAGGATACCACGATGTTTTATCCACGACATAGTAACGTTGGGTAAAACATGTTTAGGCAGGCTGCTGAAATATCAATAGCTACAGCGGTAATGACCTATTGAGCAATTTCGGCAAGTAGTAGAGGCAATGCAGAAAAGCTTTGCAAGAAGATCTACAACGGTGCAAGCAGAAGAAAATACTGGAAGCAGCAAGGAAAAGAAGCAGTCTGAAAAAATGCCGTCGGGACTTGTGTGATTACAGTGTTCCACTGTCAGCCCTGATGAACGAAGATGGGATCGTCAAAACTTTCCGACATGATATGGAATTATTAGTGGAAATATTCTACACCAACCTTTTCCGTTCTACAATCCCCACCCTGTCCCTAATATCCCCGCTGGAGAAAAACCACCTGGAACTCTTCCGTCGGAGGTTTTAGTTGCGATAGAAAGCATGAAAAGAGGCACAGCTCCAGGCCCCGACAATATCACTTCCGATTTCCTTAGAGCTGGAGGTCACAATTTACATGTACTTCTCGCAAATCATATGACAGGCTAAGCAGGATTTCGAAAAGGATTTTGCCGCATGGACCACATCGAAACCGTATCCAGGATCACCGAAGTTTGTCGGGAATGCCACTTACCTCTAGTCCTAACCTTTGTCGACTATGAGAAAGCGTTTGACAGTGTCGAAACGAATGCAAACCTACCAGCGCTCGTCGACCAAGGAGTAGAGCCGTCCTACATAAGGACTCGTCCGACTGTTATCGGAACTGTACTACGGAAATGCAGCTTTTCCATCGATCTCTTACAATACCCATAGAAAAAGGGGTTCAACAGGACCACACGATATCGCCAAAGCTGTTCAGTGCCACACTGCAGTGGATAATGAAGTCACTCGATTGGGATGAGAAAGACGTACATATTGATGGAAAATTTCTATCAAACGTTCGTTTCACCGACGACATTGTCGTCTTTTCAAGAAGTACTAGCGGAGCAGAGGTGATGGTTAACGAGCTCAATGAAGGGGGAAAAATCGGACTTCGCATAAATGGAAAGAAGACCCAGTTCATGAAAAACCATTAGTGCGAAGGCGAAAAAATTGAATTGGATGGCTCTCTCTTTGCACAGACCACCTCGTACGTTTATCTTGGGCGATCAGTGAACATGGAAAACAACATGAAGGAGGAACTAGATAGAAGAAGGGCCGCATTCGGGCCTCTCAAAGAAGCCACCGACCAACTGAAGGACCCGTAAATCCGCGCTCATCTCTTTGATTCTACGGTCCTCTTAGCGCTCTGTTATGCTGCAGAGGCATGGGTTGATACTTCATCCACGTCAAAAATGCTTCGCACTACTCACAGAGCGCTAGAGGGATGTCTTCTGAAATATAACCGGTACGCTCAATATGTAGCCGGAATGCGAAGCTGTCACCTTCGAAATCTCATATCTTCGAGATCCAGGAGAATATACACCGACAGCGAAACATAGATGGGTCGGTCACATAATGAGAAGAACAGACGACAGATGGACGAAAAGAACAGTAGAATGGACTCCAAGAGAATGCAAACGCGTCCTTGGACGACCACCTACATCTTGGGCGGACGTGTTCGTAAACAAAGTTAATCAGCTGTACCAGCAGCTGCAATTTTTTTACAGATCACGGTATGAGGATCGCAAGCGCTACCATGCTCGAACAAGACCACCACCATGGACTACGATTGCGAGAGAAAGGAACGAATGGCATATTTGTAGGGTCCGCACAGTTCGTGAAGACGGACCGTTAAAAAAAAAAGTACAGCCAATGGAGACTTTCAGCAGATCGTCGATACCCAGAAGCTCAGTTTAATGAATTTAGAAGACAGAAGAAAACAATAATGAAGAAATGATCCCGTTCTTGTTACCACTGCTTGGGTTCGTTGACGACATGTCGATGAAAACATGGGATAAAACTTCTTCCGACTTAGTGTCATGGTCGAAACGAGTGCAAATAAAGGCATTTCCCGAAAACGCCGGCACTAGAAGGACGCTACTGGTGCTTTTCAATGATTGAAAAACAAGTAATTGTTTTCGGTATAGACTTCTTTAAAGCTAACACCGATTTCTAGCATAAGTATACCCACGACCATCCCGATTTAGATTTAAAAATCCCTGTGTTGGATAAGTTAGAGGATTAACTCCCACTGTAACTTGGAGTTCGATAGAAGCACACCAACTCTTATGCTAAATTAAAACGTTCTTTGCGCACATTACATCAGAGTAAATTTTCTCAGAGTTCAAGCAGACCTGTAGAACGCTTGTCCTTCCCCAACTGTCTTGCCAAATGACATTGGACTGCTTGAAGATCGCCGGATTTTCGGCAATTCTCGCTTCGAACTCCGTGCTATCCGTGTCCAGCACCAGACCGACATGGAGAAGTGTGCGAACTCCTAGAATGAAAACTGATAAACTTTCTGTTCCAGATAACAATGGAAACATGCCTTTTTCACTGCAATTGTCTTTTTGTGGGTGAGTGTACGATTAAAAAAACTACGCATCGTTGAAACGATCACTCAAGGTCTTCTCCGACCAAACATTAGCACTAAATAATATCCATTTACAGAAGCAAAAAGGTACTGAAACGTTTTATATAGTGGGAAAGAACCTATTCTCCTCATAACACCAAGTCGAGAAGGAACAAAAGTACAATAAATGAAAGACCAAGAAGAGATCATTTGAAACTTCAGAGGTGAGATTACATTAGTTGCACTAGGCAGTGCAAATTTCTACAAGTAGCCCGAAATCCAGAAACGAACGAGGAGTTTTAAATTCTTCTAGAATTATCAAAAGTGAGAAAAGGAGGACAATTAGAAACAGTGGGCTGTTAGAAGCAGTGTTGTTAACCTAAAATTTCTTTCAATTTAGTTAACATTTTAGTGGACTTCGCCGTTTGCAGGACCTGTAGAGAATCAGTAGGGATTTATGTGCACACTATTCCACTAAGTACTTCGATAATTCTAACGAAAAAGTTAGAATCAAGTTTATCACCGCATGCTAGACGGCTTTTTATTTATTAAGGTCGATCAATCCTTGAGAGATTCGTCAGGCTTTCGACTTCATTCGCAATATCGCAGAGGTCATTGAGTGCCCATTTGGCCGAGCAGTGCCTTGTGGGTAGATACTGATATATCACCTCGAGCTTTCCAGCAAAATCTGGCACCTACTTGCCGACGAATGTGGATGAATGAGCGCTAGGTAGCACAGGTATGGAGCCTAACATCTTGTGTGCATTACAAAGCACCGCTAACCATTGCGAGCCTGTTTCTTTCCTATTCACGAAGCATTTCTTTCTGCGAGAATTTAAATAAGAACTGAGCTCATAAAAGTTAGTTCCACTTTTGTCCTTTGAGATCTGGGCTGTTTCGCTCCCGACCAAAGAAAGGACTACTAGAACGGCTTTGAAAAGTATGACATTCATCGAAAGATCAGTCAGTGTGCAGCAAATATATGCCAACCTCATCATGCTTCATAGAGAAAGTAATAAAGTAATAGTTCGAAGGTTACAAAGGAGAAAAGCTCACTTTATAGAATAACGAGTTAGGTGCCTTTCGGTCATCACAACATCTAAAGGCATTGATTTCGATGCATGGATGGGCACAGTGGTCATAGTGCATTGGCATCAATCCTTTTTCTAGCATAAAACTTTCGCGGTATAGATTTGGTATACAGTCGTTAGTTAATCAGACGTTGCTCAAGTGTTGATCAAATTAATGACAGGCAAAATCTAATCAAGAATTTGTATGAATTACAATATCCTGAGTTTGTTCGACACTGGTTTACCTTCTTCCTCATTAGAATAACCTCTAGCAATTCAGACCGAACTTTGAAAGTACTGACCACAAAACAGCGATGAGAACATCGACAGTCGTCTCTCACCTTTTCCGTAAGTGGTAGAAAAAAAACCCTTAAATCATAACTGACTATGTGCGAAATACTGTTGCACATCGCATTGGAAGCCGTCCTGGCTCATTTGATCTCTTAGCGCTGTTGAAAGGGCATCAAGCTCCTGTGAGAAAACTTGCTCATGTATAACTTCAATTACAATGGAATGATTTCCGTGGCAAAAGAAATAAACATATGTACAGAGAAACTTTATATCTAGTTTTATTAGTAACATTGCTCTCAACCAACTTGTGTACTGAAAAGACCCGTAACGTCGCCGCTGCAAATGAGGCCATTTACTGCTTGAAGAAACTGAGGTCGGAGAATTTTATAGTGTTCAAGAAGGAATACGACATGCTCATTATTAGAAATAGCCGTTTGGATCGCCTGAAATGATAAGCATTAAAGAATACGGTGGCAAGTCATTTCAAAATACACAAGTTGTCAAAAATACCTTTTAAAGGAAGGAGACAGTGTTAAAAAAAGAAACTTTTTGTTAGATATCAACTTCATCATCTTTAACCTTTCAGTGGTAAAGTGACATTAGTAGGTATTAGCAAATTCTCGCTGATTTCTATAACCCTTAACACCTTGGCATCTTATCTGTATCCCAGAAGCTCCGAAGCTTCAAAGTGCGTGCCCGAAAGCTGTCCAAGCAGTGGGATTTAGCTCCTAGAGCTTCCAATGTTATATCCTCGTCACCGAAATCGGAAACAGCATCACAACGTCTGTATGCCGTAGTTTATTTCCGTTGTTTTAGTGTTTTAGCGAGGCGTACGCATTCATAGACTATTGTGGTCTGTCGTATTGTCGTCTTTGTTACAGGAGATACTTGTAAATTTCCTAGCTACTAAATTCACGGTTTGTAGAGCAATCAACACACAGGACATAATCCCCACACGGACAAGCACAGCCGTGACTCAATACATTAATATAATTACATGTGTGCGAAAGGGAGGAGTGCTTTGGTCGTTCAGGACCTTACTGCAGCGAAAGCACCAAACTACAATGTACAGCAAGATGTTAACCTCTTCATCACCTGGCCGACTTTTCTCCACGAAATACACTTAAAAAGAAATACACACGTACAAAAAATTAAAGTCATTTTTAAAGAAACCCATTTCTGATGACAAAAAAATGACATCAACATTTCAGCAAGTCCTTCGTATACTCGTTGATGCTCTTTCAGAATAAAAAAAAAGACGTTCTCTGTTTGTACTTTTTGTGGCGAAAAAACCCAGTGGTAACAACCTGAAGGGTTTGATTCGGAAGTAGACGAAGAGCTAATTTGTCGGAGGCGAACCTTAACTACCTCAACTGCTTTCCCCCAATTGTCAAATTTTGGTCGATCCAATGTTCAAGATATCCGCATATAAACAAGAACACCCATACACGTACGCAAAGGTATATGTAGAAGAATAAAGAACGTATGTGTCAGCCCGTGACAGGAGAAACAAGGAGTTCATTTCTTGAACCCACAACTAAGGAAAAGTGTAGGTTTATCGAGACGAGAAAAACGAAACCAAAGACCCACATGGCATGGTGGTAAACATGTTAGCACTAGGAAAGGGTAATAGGTTGTTCAATCCCCGGTTCAGACCCTGCCGTCCGGAGTTCTGCAAGCATCTCAGCATCATTGTAATTATGTACGCTCATCTTTCGCTTACCCTTACTCTTTCTAATAAATGAATACCTGCACGTTTTTCCACGGATCACTGAAGGAACCTCTGTTCATAACCAATGCAAAATTTTTTATTTCGCATTTCATTATATTTTTTGTATCTTAAAATATTTTCTGAGGAAAGTTTTCACTTTCGTTGTAGGCATATCTATTTTGCCGAATTAAATCTCACGGAACATATAGGGAGCGGAGAACACAATGGTAGTGATGTCCGTCATCACGAGCATGGTGCTAGTTCGATTCCACTCCGGACCAACCAAGCCTCTCATCCCTCCGAGCTCGGGAAATAAGTACCAGACTTGTCTGGGAAAAAATCACTCTTTGCAATCAATTTGAGAATGTTCCATCTCGAGTATCTCAGTAATCCAGGGAGAATTGCTAGACCAACATTCTATGACATTTTTGGAAGATCTTCGTGGACAATGGATGCGAGGCGAATCGAACGTGAGAAGTGCTGCGATCCGCACAGTAGACGTGAAGATGTGTCATATAAAATAAAATAAATAAATCTAACAGGACGAAAAGTAATTTTAATAGATAAGATCCCAATATCCGCCGAGAAAAAATGCAAGTAATTTGACGTTAACAGGAAATCTGTGCTCATCAATATCCCCAGTCTGAAGACACGAATTTTCCTCCTCATGTCATCTTTTTCTTTCATAAATATTTAGAAATACAAACGCTTTTTAATTCCACATCGAACTGTTTCTGTCTGTAATTTGGCGTGATTCTCGGTGTGAACACTGTCATTTCGTGCATATTGGCGATAAGTCGAATTGCGTCCGCTCTGCCGAGGCCGGGACGACCAGCTAAAAGTACTGAGCCACCTAAAAAATTGGTTACTATAAAAGGATGCCACAAAAGGAGTTGAACTCTACATTTATCACTTTTCAGTCCTTGAGAACACAACCGTAATATCTATTTTTATGTCCAACGATAAATCCACGTACCACAGAACTTTCGCTTCTTAAGGTTTAAAAAGCAAATGAATTCATTGGCTCCCATTTATTTTCTAATCGAAAATTTTTAGCGCTACTGTGGAGAAAAGCCCACTACTGCTTGAAGAAAACTCAGTGAAAAAAGTGGCTAAAACTCCAGTTCGGGAGTGAAAATTTAATGAGAACGAATAGAATAGCCTTTCTCAAAGCGGCAAATTTCTCGGAAAAAACGAAGAAAAAATAAAAATGAAGAAAAAAAACCGCTGAAACGGGAGAACCTGGTGCCGTCAGCGCTCTGTCCACTTTGGCGCACAACTCGCACATCTCGTCAGTGAGTACGTTTGAGAAGTTGGCTGTTTCAAACTCTAAAAAAATTTCAAAAACGATCGATAATAAGAGGCATTAAGCTAGGAGGTTTAGATGGAAAGTGAAAAATAAGGCACCCATTGTTGTTCAATCTTACGACGATAGACCCACTTATTCGACTTCGACTTAGACCGTAGAACCGTAGAAGTTACTGCGTGCATACCTGGGCTTGTAGGCTGTAGCAAGACAGGTGTGGTATGGTATAAGTGTGTGTGTGTGTGTGTGTGTGTGTGTGTGTGTGTGTGTGTTGCAGGCACTATTTACCAATGAGCTGCATGTGCTTTAATCCAAAAGTTCATGATTAATATTTAAGTTATTTCAGTGTATTGCTTGGTCTAAGAGCTAGGAACTGAATAGGAAAATAGCTCGAACGAGAAAAATCATAACAGACACCAAAGCATCTTACCGTATCGATTGACAGCTTTCTGTAATAAAACCAGATAATCATGCTTGGAGTGTGGAATTAGTGGCAAACCGACAACGTTGTGCGGTGAAGGAACCACAGTTCCGTTAGTGACAAAAACATGGTCTGAAAAAAGGCATGGTCCACTAGTGAGGAATTTAGAGATAAGAGATTACTTTTCGAACTCTTATGTATCACACTTTCCCTTCTAGTTTTTCTTGTAGTATTTAACGGCTTTTCAAATTGAGAACTTATGGTTCCTAAGACCGACTTTCTATTAACCTCGGCATTGGATGATAAATTCGCCGTTTTGTCTCTCAGCAATCGCAAGGTTGTTAAACAGGATACGTTTACTTTCATACAATAACATACATACAACACAATCGTAGCTGATGTGTCGGCAGTATAGTCTTCTTCAGAGCCGTGTTTACGTGCCTTCCACTGAGGAAGAGCCGCTGATCAGAGTCTCATATGGCTGACGACTCGAATATGGTTGAGAACTTACGTTAATCTTCTTCTTTTTCTGCACACTATTGTTGGGTATCAAATGCTAACTAACGTATTAAAAAATAGAGAAACCATTACGAGATATCGAATTTGTAGATCATTCTTATAAGAATTCAGAGCGGTTCGATAACGACACCAACAGAAAAACTGGGGCAGATCGACGAACTACTTGGAAAGCCCATCATCTTATGACGAACGGACCCTAGAGCTTCTCCTACTGGCCGCTAGTAAAGGGTGTTTTTTCCTAGTATCCCGATATAACCATGCTAGGCGTTTCCGGATCCTCATCAAAACCACTCGCCGATCCTTATGCATCGGAGAAGAAGTCAGATGTTCCACGACTAGGACTACCCTCCAAGACGGCAACGGTTTTGGCAAAAGTGATTCACGCGGTTAGTTGAACAACTGATTGAAAACGATAAAACATCAAGCTTGATATCTATAATTCATCTACAATTTCTTTTCATTCCTACTATCAGGATTCACACACTGTGTGGATCACAACATTTTTTAAGTGGCTGTCGTGCAAATGTCGCTCACGAAGATCTTTGAATTAGCGCATGGGTTCGGCAGCCAGTTTTAGATTTTGCCTACTTCATAAAACTGTTGAAAGCCGGTTTAGCGTATCCTCCCTGGAATTCTATGCAAACTCTATTACAACTTTCCGTCAACTTCACGATAGGCAATTAATAATAGTTAAGTTTTAATAGGCACCTTTGTAAGCTGAATGGAGTTTTTGCCAGAGAAGTTTGGTACAATTTCCTGAACCGGGAGAGATGTGAGGCATAAGGAAGGATCGAACTGGCAACAATGCATGTGCTCTAACACGTCTCTAACAAATGTGCCTCAACTCCTCTCATTATGATACTGTGTATTAAAGTGTTTTTTCGTATAATACATCAGAATAAATCCGCTAACAACCATTTATGTGTCAGCAGAGAGGGCGTCCACCAATTCCGATCAAGCGACAAAATCTATTAATATCACAGAAGCTGTGAGACACGACAACCGTTATAGAATTCCTAGGTCTTACAAGAAAATAGGAGGTCAAAATAGAAGAAAAAATAGGATTTTGGAACTACCTATACGCATTTTTGCAGCAGGTATTACGTAAGCGAGTAACTCGTCGAATTTTAGCCCATGTTCTTTAGTGGCGAGCCTGAAAATGAAGTTCAGCTGTTAGAAGGAAAGAATGAATTAAACATAAAAAACAACAAAAAACAGATTACTGTAGAGGCGAAAAGAGCTGCAAGAAAAGAAATTTTCACTTTCAACCACTAAATGTGGTAAACGCAAGTCATTTCAAAAAAAATAACAAGTCAGAAGAAACGCTTTCAGGGTTTATTAAAGGTCTCTGAAAAACTCTTGACGAGATTTTTTCTGAGTTAGCTATTTAAAAACGTTTCAGCCACATGAAATGTTCCTCCCTTGGAAGTAGACTTCATGAAATCTCCTTTTCCAACAGAACAAAAACGAATATCTAATATGTTGACTACTTCTTCTCAACTAAGGTCCACAAAGAAAAATAGATAAACAGTTTTGCAATAAAACTCTTAGCGCCGATTTCCTGATTAGTGGGGTTTCCAAACCAAGTCAAATCAAAAGTCAAAAATTTCAATTGAGATTCTAAAGAAAGTGGAATTTACCAAAAATCGGTTAACCCGCATAAGTTTTTATGACAACGAATTGCTTCTGAACAGTGTTGCTGCAAAATACAAAAGACCTATGGTCTTATAAAGTCTGATGTCAGTTTAATATTTAGAAGGAAATCATATCCGACCTGTCCTTAAAAATTCGTTTCGATTCGGATGCGATCGCTTCGATCGCTTTCGTCTCATCGGACAACTCGTATCGCATCATGCCCATAATCCACTTTGTGAGATCACGTGGTGTGAAAACGTAGTGGCCTGTGATTGGTCAGCTAATTCTACTGAGCATCAAATCCTCAAAACCAACAATTTCTAACTGTTTTATTTTCTATTCCTCTTTTTCCTTTACAGTGAAATTTTCCCGCTTCTTGTTTTATTCGGTGAACAATCCTTTTTTTTTTAGAAATCTTGGTGAGTGTGGTTACAAGAAAAGTAAAATTGATTTTCTTTTCATTATGCCCATAATAGCCGGTAATGAAAGACAGTGAATGTTTGCTGAGCTAGACATTTTAGTCGAGGTCAACTAGGGTGGGCGAAATACGCTATGTACATGGTACTTGATACTTGAATGGCCCGCCCTCACTGATTGTGCGGGCCCGAGCATAATCACCAATTTTCGGAGATTTTCTGGTTAGGCCATTGTGATTCCTTAGAATCCTGAGGTCAGCCTGGTCAAAGTCTACTCCAGGTCTTCACCACCACAGGCAGTAGTGGCCCTTGTGGATCAGAGGGAGATTTGCCACTGTACGACCTTGATATCAGGACGGTGGTGGATCCTGGTATTGGTTTACTCTTAGCTAGGCTTCCTGGTAGAAACGCCGGACTCCTCAGTTTGGAAAACCGTGTCAGATATGAATCCTCCGCTGTACATCGCAGTTCGACATCCAGGATCACCTCCCAGCCACGATGAGGCGTTAAACCGTTGGGAGGAACACGCTATGTAATATTTACTAAATAAGGAAAATTTGAGCAAAAAACGCTCTTAGCGTTTGATCTGAGAGAAATATAGATGTTGATCATCCTTGCGAAAAATTACTGAAAAAATTCTGATCTAGGTTCCCAGGATCGACTTTCTATTAACCTCGGCATTGGAATATGAATGCGTCGTTTTCTTGTTCAGCAGTCGTGAGGTTTTTAAACAGCATACGTTTACTTCCATAGAGAAACACAATACAATACAACACCAGCTGACGTTTCGGCAGTATCGTCTTCTTCAGAGTCTGGAAGGGTATACTGATATGCAGTCTACAAAGCCAAACGCTTCAATACCTTCAATACAGTACGTCAGCTAGTGTTGTATTGTGTTGTGTTTCTCTATGGAAGTAAATGTATGCTATACCTTTTTATTTTCTGCCTACTATAATTTCGCGGCAGGGTACTAAGCGAAATACAACCACAACGTTGCTGAGATATTTGCAAAACTCTGGACCGCAGGTGTCTATGGTGGGGAACGAACGCGCTATTGTCCTTTCCGGAGAGTAACACGTTCACCACCACACCATGCGGGTCCTTTGTTTTGCCTGTCTCTCAGCTGCTTCTGCCGCGAAATTATAGTAGGCAGAAAATAAAAAGGTATAACATTGTGATTTCAACTACAGCCGCAGCTTAACTGGATTCTATGCCGATTTGGGCGCCCTAGATCAATCCCGCTGACGGGTGATTGCTGTGGCAAAGATCGATAGAAGTAGCTGAGAGACAGGCAAAGCAAAGGACCCGTATGGTGTGGTGGCGAACGCGTTACTCCCCGGAAAGGACAATAGCGCGTTCGTTCCCCACCGCAGACATCTGTGGTCCGGAGTTTTGCAAATATCACAGCATTACAGAAGTTAGAATTACACATTTACCTTTAATTGTTGGGCGGAAATTTGAACGAACTTCCTCATAAAGTCGAACCATCACTGAAGCCATTGCTTCGACTCGAGTCGAAGATCCGAGAGGACCCTAAATCACTTTACTAATAAATCATTTACACATTATTGAAGCTATTAACCAATTGTCGTGGTGTAGTTAAAGCTTGGCTAGAAGTAATTCAAAAGGAAACAAAAGAAAACCACCTGATCATTCAGAAGATATAAAAGAGATGAAGTTTATAGTTTGACCATCTTTGCAATAAACTTAGCAGAAGCTAATTTTCTGCACTACAGCTCCAATGTGAAAGAAAACAAAAAAGTCAGTGATTTAGGTCATTTTACCTCCATAATTGGCATCAAGAAAGCCGAGTATATGGCGTTTAGGTCCTGCTCAGACGGATAGCTGATGGAGATCGTCCTTACTAACGACATCAGACGTGGAGGAATTGATGACGACTGGTTCGATGACGGAGCCATTGAAGCAACAATCTGAAGCGTTTCTTCTTTCATCTTCTTTTTTAGATGTTTCCTTTTTTATTCAAAAATCTAATTCATCCAGACAGAACCACTGTCCATCAGACACCATTTTTTTCTTTTAAGCCAAATTTATTTCTGATGATGATGAAGTTAACTAGAAATCACGAAAAGCTGAGACGAGCTCTGATAATTCTAGTGCACTACGCTCGAATGTATTTCATTATTGACGAGAGGTGTTCCGACAAGTAAGTAGCAGATCTCTTTCTTAACAAGCAAACATAACTTGTCTTTTTTCTATTAATTCATTCCCAGAAACTTTTTACTATTGGAAAAGTTTCACCTACCTGCACATTCTCGAGTCCAATCCAGTCAAGATGTTCGTCGTAATAGCCTTCGTAGGTGAGCAATTGATGTAAAAACGCCAACATTTCATTCGTACCGTACTGGAAAAGGCCTAGTAGTCATAACGGTCCTTAAGGATTTGCGATATGATAGCCAGAACCATGCCCAAATTCATGGTCATCGAACACAAGACACTCGCCCATACCCACGTACAGTCCTCCTACATCGCAGTTCATTGGAGTTTTTGAAAGTCGAACTGCGAAATAACCAAATTCAATGCCCTAACTTTAATTTACTGCTTAATCATTTCCCATGGCAGAGCACGAAAACAAATCAAGGATCTCGGTTGGTGCAGTGGATAGCACGTGAAAATCGGATAAGGATAATAGCGGGTTACAAGCCTAGCTGAGTTTCCGAGTTCTGCTTATACCTCAGCATTCCCGTGGTTGAACATGATAACGAGGCAGATTTTTGTTCGAAAGCCCAGATAACTTTAGGTTCGCTCAATAAGAATCACATTGTTTTGAAGGTATAATCTATGGTGGCCTGTGATACAGGCAAAACATTCTCCGATCTATGAAGACGGTTAACTGCTTGTGATAGCGGTCAAGAAGCATCAACCGAATGGGTTCAACGAAACCCCGGTAGAAAAAATTATCTTTAAATTTAAACTCTGTATGGATCACTTTAACTAACTTTATCCGGTGCAGGAAGATCGATGCTCTTCAGGTAAAGGATGAGCCACGGTTTGTCTTTAGGTCGCAGAACTCGACCTGATGGGCTGCTTGTCTGCACACAGTGTTGCAGCAAACACTGCAGTATAGAAGATGCTCTAGAAAAGAATATACAACGAGTGTAAATTAATAATACGACCAGACTATGAAAACAACTTTTCAGTGCTAATAGAATGAAAAAAATGGTCGTTATGCTTTTTCGACGGGCACGTGCAGGACACTGGTTAAAGGCGCACCGCAATGCAAAGGTGCTCGTTGGTTCGATAGTACGTTCAGCAATTCCGTAGAGAACAATGGCGCTGTACCTACGAAACTGACGACGATGAACACGCTACTGGAACCCAACTACACTGCACTACAGACGAAGTTTTGTAATATATAAAAGTAGAATCAGAAGATTTAGTATTACCGGCTTTGAGCACTTGAATGGACAATCGCTAGTTGACTCTGGTTATCTTCGGCAAAACAGTGCTTAAGCAGTTCTTCTTTACCACAACCATCTGGTCCAACAACAAGAAATGGCTGACGATTAGTGCTTGACAACCACGATAGGACCTGAATTGTAAAGCATTCAGTTTTCATTACCATCTTCTTCATTCCCTATAGTGTACATGTTTCTATTTTATTTTGTACATTTACTTTTCAAGAGAATAAAATGCTTCCTAAGTTAAGTGCAGACGCAGATTTTACCTCCTCTAAAGGACAAGTTAAAAAGCAAACCTTAAACAAAAAGCTCGAAGCAAATCGAATGAACACATACGCAAACACTCCACTTTTTCAAGGGATAACGTTTCACGTAGGGGACGTGTAGTGCATTGGTGGCAGGCGCCGTGCAATACACACTGATCGATCCCTGCGCCCGGGCTCACCAGGCCCTCCATCACTCCGGAGTAGGCAAGTTGTTAGCAGACTTGCCTGAGAGGATAGCACCACTGGCTCCATGTATAGGTAGGCCACCGAGAGTTATTGTAATGGCCAGGTATGTATTTAATCACCCCCAACGACGCTTAATGAAATCGAATGCATGGCACATCCCTCAGGGATTGATTAACGGCGCAAGCTTTATTCTTTTTACTTTTTTCAAGTTTCACGAGTCGCACGATCCGTTTATTGATCGTTTTCAGCAGGACATGTATATTATTACAATGGTAAATATTAGAGCAATGTAACGAATACCAATTAACAGAAAAAACCACGACTCCAACAACTCTTCAGAAAGATGAAAGCTAAGCAATTCCTCGTTGTTCAATCTAACGCGCTCTCGAAAAAATACAAGATAAGGGCCTCCCCTGCCTGAGCAATAAATAAAAGGTAGCAGAGTTAAAGTCAATAGATAGTTTTAATGATGCTGAGATATTTGCAAACTCCGGACCGCAGGTGTCTGCGGTGTGGAACGAACGCGCTATTGTCCTTTCCGGGGAGTAGCGCGTTCACCACCACACCATACGGATCCTTCGTTTCGCCTGTCTCTCAGTTCCATCGATCTTTGCCATCAGCAATCATCCGTCAGCGAGATTGATCTGGGAAGCCCAAATCGGCAACGAACCCAGTTAAGCTGAGGCTACAGTTATAATCACAATTTTAACTTATTATTTACTGCCTTCTCTTTTTAACGGCAAGGTATATATTGCGAAATATAATGTTTAATTTGATTTGATTCGATTTGCGCTAACCAGAGCAATCCCGCTGATGGGTGATTGCTGATGGCAAAAAACCGATTGAACTAGCTGAGAGACAGGCGAAGCGAAGGATCCGCATGGTGTGGTGGTGAACGCGGTACTCCCCGGAAAGAACAATAGTGCGTTCGTTCCCCAACGCAGACGCCTGCGGTCCGGAGATTTGCAAATATCTCAGCATCATTTAAAGTTATATTTCGCAATATATGCCCTGCCGTTAAAAAGAGTAGGCCATAAATAATAACTTAAAATTGTCAACAGATAGTTTTGCACGCTGCCCTCAATCTACACAAAAATATAAATACCGTATCCTTATTTGATTGCGCTGCGGCCGTCAGAATAAACGGTTTTGTGTCAGTTTTCAACTCGTCCAATTTCACACCCATTCCGATATCGTCATGATACCTAAAGTGTAGCAAAAAGATCAATTATAACTTCGTAAAAATTTGCACCGTCCAGGTGTTCTGATATATTGAAGAAGTTTCGTAACTATTAAAAAGTAGATTTTTTCTACCCGACCCCAAATCCCATCTTGTGGGGATCCCATAGATTTTTTCTTTGGTTTTTTTCGGCGGCTAATTGACGATCTCCTCTTATCCATGATAATGGTTGATGGCTGTTCAAACATGATTATCTTCCAGACCTCAAGATGGCCAACCTAGAATGCCTTAAACTACATCTTCACTATTGTGCCGCCACGTTTTTTGGATCGGATGGATGTGTTCCATGAAGAGTTTGCTACCAAACTCGGAAGGATAAGCGAATTAGTTAAGTCGCGGCGGTGAAGGACCAAGGCCTTCTTCGCGTACAAAACATACAGCACTGCGAATTTCTCCGAGCCTTCAGTTGAACTATATACAAGTTATGTTTCTCGTAACTAACAGTTTCACGGCACTAGCCTCGCGAACTTTCTTAGCGGTTTTCTCGAACTCCAGCTAGACCATTTATTTATTTTTCAATTAGGTAATAAATTAAAAATGCCTCATCAACGAATCCGATCTGCTGTCGAAGTAAACGAGATCTGGATTTTCTTCGTCCGGAAGTGTTATGCCTAAACGATGCCATTTCCACTAATCATTGCGTTCGTTGCTTTCTTTTTCATCTCCCGTTGATTAAAGACAATAAGAAGTCGATAGAAACTGCCTCTAAAAGAATTCTGCCCAAAAATCAATCAATAGTAACTACCTTGAAAGACGATTGAGTTCGCAAACTCCCTCTTTTTCTCCGGATCGATCACTGACGAGAGACCACGATAGAGACCAACGAGGAATTGTTGCTTTGACTTGCTCCCTCTATAAAGAAAACAGTTTTTTTTTAAGAATAGAGAGAAAGGCGAAACGAAGGACGTGCATGGTGTGGTGGTGAACGTGCTAGCTCTCGAAAAGGGTAATAGGGTGTTCGATCCCAACCGCTTACACCTCCTGACCGGAGTTTTGCGTATATCTCAGCATCATTGTGGATGATTCCACACAATACCTTGCCGTGAAATTGTAGCGGGGAATAAATAAAAAGTTAACAAAGTTTTTTTCCATTCATGACCGCTTTATGAAATCAGTTTCTTCTAGTGAACTCAAAATATTCCCACATCTATTACGTAGTGCAAGCATGACGGTCCCGAAAAGAAAATTTCTAATTTTCTCAGCAGAAAGCATTCAAACATAAGTCACAACTTATTTCTGCAAGCATCTGCCAGATCAATAATCGACATAATTCAGATTTGAAAAAATGGAAAGGGTGAGAGGCATGTGAAATAGTGAAGGAACGAGGAGTTGAAGAACGTTTCCCAATTCACAAAACTCCATTAAACTCTGTCAGGAAAAAAGAAATAACCGATACAATTTTAATTTTGCTCACTAAGGGCTTTTATCGTATAACTGAGCAGTAATAAATACTTAATAAGATGTCCCGTCCACGCATAGCACGTGGGCTTAATACTTCTTCCATTAATGTCGCTGTTTCGTAAACATAGCCCAAAAAATCTTTCGCGTTCTTCTTTTGGATAGGATTAGCCAGGAAAGCGTGTACCGCAGTGGTTGGAAGTGATCTGCAGTATACATGTGGTCGTTCGCTCAAGCCCATGCCACGAGCTCTGCAGGCCTTCTTCTATGTATACAGGGTCGGAAAATTGGTACCGGGCTTGTAAGGGAGGATAGTAACGCTGACCGAACACATCATTAGGCCACTACGAGATATTGCATAGACCAGATCTGCATAGTATAGATTGGGACACGTCTAATAACGCTCGATGAAGTACAAGTCATAGCGCATTTCTCAGGCTTTAGCGTTTGCTCCTTATGGAGTAAGCGTGTGGAATCAGAGGTTGTCACATAAATGCTGTTTGAAACGTTGGGTGGTGGTCGCGCATGGCTTTTCCTAGGATCTCGAGATAGTCGCAATAAGACTGCTGGCTTTGGTGGATCTGCTGTCTTGCAGTTAAGATTCCTCCCGTACGGAAATGATTCTTGCTATTAGTCGCCCGACCGATCATGAACAATTTAATGGAATTTTATCTTTTGCAGTTTCAATTTAGACTGAATCTTATCCACTATCTGATCTGTTTGGCATGTAATTAATCAGTTTTTCAAACTGGCCTACATTCAATGTAATTGGGAATAAACACTATTTTGGCTTATAATTTAATATAGCTCTGACTAGTACAGGATAAATTTCCATGAAGAAAACTGGTGAACGTGAAAAAACAACTGATGAACAATGGGACCCAGAGACATAACGGGGAGGACTTTGAAGTACGTGTCACGATTCCCGCACAAGAATCGAGGACACAAGTACGTAAAACTCTCGAGGCGTTCTGGATTAACTCCCACGACCGACCTTCTATTAACCTCGGCATTGATCAAGTAATTCTTCGCATTTTTATTGAGCAAACGCGAGGTGTTATTATTTTGTGTTCAATGTGATTTATTAGAATTGCGGCCGAGTTTCTCACTATCTGAACCCATTTCTAAGATAACCTTACGTAGGGTCGCATGTGGTTTACGTGAACTTCAAAATAGACTCCGCAAAAAAGCTAGAGATGAAGCGCTAAATAGGTTCAAACACCAAGTGGGACCCTACCAATAGCACCATTTCCTCCGTCGTTCTTTAGACAACGAGAGCCCAATAATGAAGTTGACGTTAATCTTCGGATGTTTGTGAATGGAATTCTCAAAGTCCTTAATCACTAACGCGCGAAAAGATACAGCTCAAACCTCACTCCAGTGCGAAAACGTGGTATGCGAGAGGTACCAGAGCTGATAAGGTTAAAAACCATAAGACTTTCCGTTAGTGATAAGGGTGCAGAGCTTGTCGTAATTCCTCATGAATTAGATGTGGAGATAACGAAAAAACATCTTGAAGATGCTTCGCTTTATCGCCCATCATCTGAGGAGGAATTCAAAAGTAAATACCGAAAATTGAACCACGAATGGGCCAAAATGGCAAAGGATGCTGGTTTGAAACCTTCAGTTATCTCTCAACTTAAAGTTGACTTACCAACATGCCCGTCTTATACTTATAAAAACTCATAAGTTAGTATCCAGCGATGATCTTGCGTCTACCGATCCATCACTATTTAAGGTTAGACCTATCGTTGGCTGCGTAGACGGGCCAACGGAAAGGACAACATGGTTTTTAACCCTAATATTTAACCATTTGTTGAAACACATTCCACCCCATCCTATGAATACCCAGATGTTTCTGGATCGTCTACGTACTGCGCAGCCCAGCAGCGCGTACGTGATGGAGCCCTTCGACGTTACCGCCCTTTATACAAACGTGTCGAATGACTCCTCAATGCAAGCCATATTCGAACTCCTTACACAACACGAAGGAGAAATAAACATGTATGGCTTCAAGATAAAGCACCTGATAAGACTCTTAAAGGAATGCTTGAGCTGCTCAATCTTCAAATGGTCCGGAAAGTACTACGATCAAATCAGAGGGTTGGCAATGGGACAACGACTGGCTCCAAGCCTTGCCATTGTATTTATGTCTAAGGTGGAAGCACCGGTGACTGATCTCGGGCCGCTACTCTACTGTAGGTATGTAGACGACTGCTTTGTCCTTTGCTCAACACAAGAGGAAATGGACAAATACTTCGAGTTGTTGAACGAACAGTTAGAGTATATCAAGTTCACCCGAGAGAAACCGAAAGAAAACTGGACATCCTGAACGTCCAAATTCACCTATCAGAAAATGGCTACATTACAAAGTGGTACCGAAAGCCAAGTGGTAAAAACATTTTGGTTCATTACCTCTTCTCTCACACGAAAAGGGCGCTTATAAGAAATATGTTTCGAACAGCAACCAACGTGTGCACGGGAAGAGAGCAGAGAGAGGAGGCTTCATTATCACGCGTGATATTGGGCAGGACTGTTATTCTGATGGGATGAGCACACTACGCTTCCATGTGAATTCTGTGCGGTTGGTCTTCACGCGATACTAAGCGGAAGACTCATACAAGGCAATGAGTGTGCAAAGCTGTGTTCAATGTGACTGAAATCTTGGTTTAGCGTTTTGTTTGGTTGGCTATGGAGGTGTTTGGCCGAATAGATTGCTGTCAACGTGACCTTTCCAGGCTCTGAGGAAGGCCAAATCTGTCGAAACATCAGCTTATTCGTGAATAAAGAATAAAAATAACACCTCGCGTTTGCTCAACAAGAATACGAGGAATTACTTGATAAACGATGGTTCCGCGAAGGACGGCACTGCCAGTTCACCTTCTTCAATCGTACTGTGCTTCACTTCACTCTCATGAACACTTTGTGGTTGCATAACCAAGAATATGCTCTGAATAACTGCCCATTAATACACACTGGACTCGAACTAACGCGACTTTGAAGATCGACGGCGATGTCATGGAAAGTGAGGTGTAACAAAAATTTCTTTGTCGTTTTCCTGCAAGTTTTCTTTTCCCAAGGCTTAAAGGGAATTGATGTTTAAGAAATTTGCCTTAACTTAAATGGTGCTCCTTGATAAAGAATCAAGCAGGCCCAAGAAGAACAACGACTTTATTGATATCTTATTGGTTGGGCAAAATTTTCTTTTCTTGGTGTTTCTATATTGTTGTGCTTTTCGTTATCCTTGCCAGAGCCTCTCGGCAGCAGTCGTAGCCAGGTGGAACTTTCGAACTGCTTTTTTGCTTGAGACTCTGCTTAGAGCATGGGCCCCTCGTAATGCATCGTAGTCGGACATACAGGAACATCACAAGCCATTATGAAGCAGAAGATCATTTGGAAGAGAGCACTTAGCGCAAAAGAACATTCAGAGACTCGAGAAATTGACGTTACCTTAGGTGGCTAAGTCCGTTGTGAGCGGCCGCCACTCTACCAATTCCATTCACGAGACCAGCAAGCACACACCACTCGTAACATCTGAATGGGATACTTCAGCAAAACAAAACTCGCGACAATGTAGCAAAAACTAGTGCTTATGCGGAGAGATCTCACATTATTGACTGCTCTGGTTCTAACTTTCAACACTATATCAGATGGAAAATCTAATTAATTAAGCTGGTTTGTTATATGCTCGTTCGAGTTCTGAGAAATTAACGGTTTTATTTCTGAGAAATTTCAATGAGAAGAATCATTCTCGTTGCTGTCATGTAGAAATTTCAGACTGAATAAGAAAGGTAAATGAGATTTTATAAAAACGAATCAATATTAGACTAGAACTCGTGCCAGGAAAATGGACGAGTTGTCCGTTTGTGTAAGCGAGCCGTTAATTTGCCGAGAAGTCCGTTTCATGGATAAGAATAAAGTATACGGTGTTAATTTCCGACGACGTTCCAAGGTACGCTTATTCCCCAATACGTCGCAAAGCACGAATGTAACAAGAATGAAGAGGACTGTCATTATTGTTTTTAACGGCATTCTAATGCACCACATACGATGGCGGATATATTTAAAAAATAGCAATCAGTAACCCTTACTAGGTATTAATAAAGTTCTCTAACGGCTCGTACCTATAAAAATGCTCATCAATCCAGTCAGGTAGATCTGGATGCTCATCGACAAGACTCCTCACCCACTGTGCGACCACTTCCTTCACCGAAATGTCTTCTTCGCTGAATAAGACTTTCCAGATGTTTCGCCTTTTTTTTACTTATTCAAAGATTTTTCTTCTCAAACTGTGAATTGAACAGGTTCGTAAAAGAGAGAATCGACAGATATTTTATGTTTTCCAAATCTTCCGCCAATTAAACATTTACTGTACTGAAAAAAACGGAACCTGACTGTAAACACAGAGCATTTGCCGCAAAGCCGAGATTATTCTGTGTCATTTCATTCATTTTCACTCATATCCGTATTGTATTCAGTCGTTCAAACAATTCGCTTTAGATGAAAACATAAATGAAATAGGAACTACATGATTTTCATGCGACAAGTTTCTTGCATAAGCCGCATAACCTCATTTTGACATTTGCAAATGTACTTCCTAACTCACTTGGATACTTGGATGTCCCGTCTTCACTGGTTGTGCAGGCTCCAGCATAATCTCCATTTTTTCGGAGTTTTGCTGGTTTAGCAACTGCGGTTCTCTTGAGGTCAGTCTGGCCAAGTCTGGCCCAGGTGGTCACCACCACAGGCAGTCGCCGCCCTTGTGAATTAGAGGGAAATTTGCCACCGTGAGACTGGTTTGGTACTAGGACTGTGGTGGATCTTGGTATTGGTCTACTCTCAGCTGAGCTTCCTGATGAAAACGCCGCATTCATTCTAAGCTCGGGCGACACTATCGGGGGTATGAATCTCGCCGCTATACATTACAGCCCGACACCCAGGAACGCCTCCCAGCCACGACGTGGCATACTGCTGGGAGAGTACTTTCTAGCACTGAATATAAAAAATTTTGTCGGACCAAATTCCTTTCCGCTGTCTAGGAAACACTCTACGAACACTTTTCCACAAACGGTAGTCCTTCCTGTCGAGAAGATGCCCCAGTTAGTTCTGATAATTTATAAAGCACACGATCCTCTCAGAGGTGCACTGTATCCCTCCTCTTCTTCCTGCTCATTGATGTCACCTTGATTTTTACTTCTTTAATTTCTGCTAAGCGATTTGATATCCATTTTAATCACGCAACAAACACACTACTTGAAGTTTCACCGCTTTGCAAAGTACATAAATACAACAGATTGGATCTTACAATTAACTCAGTGCACTAACTTAAATAATTGACAAGGACAAACCTCACAAAAATCATTCCCATTCTCGATACGGTAGCCGGTGAGGCGAACTGCAATGAATCGGTCTCGAACAAGAAGTTCACGTTATTATCGAATTGGATTCGTTCACCGGAAGGCATCGTCAACTAAAATTAAAGCCAACGTTGAACATTCACAAACCCTATTCCCAAAAAGTTCTTATTCTACTTTTCTTCTTCCTAAAGGATTTTCTAACTATCGAACCATCATTGTCGTTGTCCCTGTTTTTGATGTTGTTGGTCGATGGCTGACGTTTCGGCGACTTCGCCTTCCTCAGAGTCTGAACGCATTTTATATTAGAGGATTTTTATTATTCGGTGGAAAAAGGCAAAGTATTAATAAAGATGAAACTTCCAAATAGACGCCATGATTAATTACCCAAGTTTAATTGTCCAAGTTTGAGGTACTTTAATAACCCAATTGTCAATTGAGGTCCGATAAATTTTGGAACACACTCACCAATGGGGTGAGTGGCCTTTCTGTTCAATATGGTGTCTATTTGAAAGCTTGACCTTCATTAATACCTTGACTTTTTTTACACCGAGTAATAAAAATATTCTAATATAAAATACTTCCAGGCTCTGAGGAAGGCGAAGTCGCCGAAACGTCAGCTATCGATCAACAACATCAAAGACAACGATGACGACAACGAAGACCTGTACCAACCTCGCGTCAGCTTAAGAAGATCAGTTTATAAGATCATATAAATAAATATATCAACTATCCATGCCGAGGTTTATAGAAAGTCGGTCTTTCGAGTTATTATCGAACCATCACTTCCGTTATCACAATATCAGAAAAAGCAGAAGAAATTCGTCGTTCGCCAGATAACGTAAATCACTTTCATAAGTTTATGATTTAAAAGGGATGTGCTCCCCTATTGCAACGAACTAGGAAAGCGTGCAAGAAGTCCTGACAGCAATAACTTTTCCTCACCTGAGCAATAATCTCGAAGACTCCTTTAATACCTAGAGTACATTCTATCTACTTTGAAACGGTATCTATAGCCCTCCTGCTATTTGTGTACTTTTATTAATTTGTATTTGTGTCATTTTTATTTTTTATTTTATTTGGTCCACCTTCATGTCTACCGTGCGGATCCCACCACTTCTCCACATTCGATTCGCTTCCTCGCATCCACATTAACCACGAAGGCCTTCCAACTTTTACGTGTGGCTTCGGTTGCTGCCTGAGGATTTCCATTTCAGCTTGAATACTATTGAATGCTGATCGAGCAATTCTCCCCAGAGTCCTAAGATAACCGGGCTGAAACGTTCCCAACTGGATTGCAGAGTATTTTTTTCCAGACAAGTCCACTACAAATTTTCCGACCCTAAAGATATGAGGGACTTGGTTGGCTCGGAGCGGAATCGAAAGAGCACCATGTTCGTGATGACTACCACTGTGCTATTCGTCCCACTTATTATTTCTGTATAGTCGCACAGAATTTAAAAAAATAACAGATTCACTTCCTTCCTTTATAGTCTATACTTCTCTTCGCATTTCCAACTAAGCTAGCTTGGAAATCACAATGCATAACTTTTGTCCACTGCACAGTGTTTTTCTTTGACGGGCTATTATGTGAAACACAACCACTAAGATATTCGCAAAACTTGGACATCAGGTCAAGTCGAACCGCGACTACCCTTTCCGGGTGCTCAAGTGTTACGCAAGACACCGCTGAGGCCCTCGTTCTTCCTTTCTCTCAACCGGTCTTTTTACGCTAATGGTAGCATTAGCAATCAACTATCCACTGGAATAATCTGGAGAGCACGAATCGGCGTTAAACCCAGTTAAGCTGAGGCTGCAGTCGAAATCGCAATGTATCACCTCTATTTAGTTCCCAATACGCATAAGTTTTCGTCATTATGACATCTTAAAAACCATTTACTCATGAAGAAACGAGAAAATCGGTGATCATACCAGCCGATTGTCGTCTAGCACCGAATTCAATGCCTCTATCCATTCAGGGTCCACGTCGCCGTCGAAAATAATCCATGTATGAACGCTCGTATCTTTGATCACCTAAAAATGTTCTGTATAAACTTTTCACACGGATAATAAAGAGTCCCAGGTCAACCCTTTAGAGATGAGCTATGCATCGACTTCATTTCTAGCGCCACAGAGGTGATGGGATGCAAAATTGATCTCTAAATCAGTGGCGGGATCCTCGCGATGTATCAATGCAATGTTTTTATCACAGCAGGCAAGTCTGGTTCTCAGTCTTAGAAAGGTGACGCACCTGATTAGGCTGAAAGTATGAGGTCGAACCAACTACTAAGCGCAAACGACAATGGCAAAATATAGAGTACGGTACAACCTTAAACATCTCTAACAGTAATTATAGAGTGATTCAAGCTGGCGCCAGCTTACTATCCATTCGTCAATTGCTCGCCAAGGAGGCCCAGTGGTCCGCTTCTACAACGCTCACCCGGGAGTGGTCACGAATTGAAAACACATTTTTTTGTACGGGATTCTCAATTTTTACCATTTTTCATGACAACGTTGCTGGCGATCTCGTGCTGTGATTAGTATTTCAATGAAAAAAGCATTTTCTAGCCACGATAAGATGGCAAAATATTCTAATGAAGAAGGTGATTGAGATGTATTTTAAAAGTGAGAATAGCCTCTATGCCATGGTCGTCTATGAAATTCTAAGCTGTAACTTCTTGTCGCATATTCTCATGTTCTATACAATACTGTCTACTGCCCATACCATGTTCATCACTTTTACTTAGAGTAAACGATGGTACCTCTCTGGCAGCCATTGTTAGAATACCATCAGACCACTCTCTGGTGTCGATATCCATGTGGCCAAGAAGCTGGAAGCATGTCGAATTTGACGAAAAAAGATTTTAAACTTGAGAATTGATGAGCGGTCGATGACAACGGAAAAATTTTGCCATGGATAAAAAAATGCTATAAAAAACTGTCGAACCTTCATTCTGTTCATCGCTTTCGGGTTGAACGACACGGTACGAAGCGCTACACCAGCCGCCAACTGCGCCTTCTTCAGCAGACGCCAGATTGTCGACTTACCGGTGCCAGTCGGACCGACCACCACCACGCCGATTCGTTGGCGTAGCTGTTCGTATAGTTGGAATACTTTTTGCAACTGAAATAAGCCAATTATATCGATTATTGGAGATCAAGTCTGATTAGTTGAGAACTATTCCTTTTCTTATCAGAATGATCAAACCATGAAAATAAACAGGGATAAGAAAACGATTTGGAATCCAAAGGTTCATTAGAAGCTAGAGAAGCCAGAGAATGATATAAGAAATAACCCGTTTTGTGACTATTCAAGAAAATCCATGAAAGATAGAAAGAATAAAGCACACTGCGCCAATCAATCCTTTATAAACGCGTCATTTAATTCTACTTATTTGAGAATCATAGAGGTGACTCATTTGACTATATATTGGCACACTGAACTGGCAGGAGCCTACTGCCTCACACTGTATCAAGTTAATGATACTGAGATGTTTGCAAAACTCCGGCTTGTAGGTATCTGCAATGGGGAACGAATGCTCTACTACCCCTTCCAGTGCTAACGCGTTTATCACCACACCATGCGGGTTCTTCGTTTCGCCTGTCTCTTAGCTCTATCAACAATAAAAAGCAAACATTGTGAATCTCAGTTATAACCTCAGTTTAACCGGGTTCAATGCCGATTTGGACTCCCCAGATGAACCCCGTCGACTGGTGATTGCTGATGGCAGTGATCGAGAACTAGCTGAGAGACAGGCGAAACGAAGGACCCGCGTGGTGTGGTGGTGAACGTGAACGCGTTAGCCCCGATAAGGTTAATAGCGCGTTCGTTCTCCACTGCAAACACCTGCAGTCCGGATGCAAATATCTCAACATCATCGTGGTTGTTTAACAAATAATACCGTGCCGTGAAAACTTGTAAAAGACAGTAAATAAAAAGTCGACACTATCAAGTTAATGTTTTTATTTTCCTGACCATGTCTGGTACCAGTTAGCTACAAGGGATAGAGGGCTTCGTGAACCTACGGCGCTTGATCAAACTAACGACGATGTGTGTGTTGCAGATACTTCAAACCACTGCGTTGCACGTATTATACGTACGCTACGAAACTTTACAATGTTTCTAGAACATCTAGAGACACCTCTTTTACATATAAAGACAAAACTATTTTATATAAGTTACAAATTTCCTATAATTTTTGACTATCCGTAAGCAGAGCATGCTAATTCCTACAAAGAAGGCGATGCAGTCTCTATCAAAGTATACCTGCTTATCCGTCAGCTCGATATTCATCTCATTTGAGGCAGATTTAAGCGGTTCGATGAGATCACCAAACTAAAAGCAATCGTTATTTTTCAACTTCAAGAATATTATCGACGTATCGATGCAACGTCTTCCTACCGTAGCCAGTTCCTTGTTAACCGATGAGAACACGTCGTTGATCAGCACACTGAATCGCTTTGAATCAGAAAATGTCAGCTTTGAAAGTGTGTTGAGTAGCAGAGCCTGCAATCGCGGCCAAAAATTGCTTTGAGAGTAAAACACTTAATATTTCTAAACAAGAAATTACAAAATATGTCCACAAAACAATATAGTAGTAGGAATTGAAAGAATATAATATAAGGCTGGAAACTGGTTGATCAGCAAAAATGATCAATATGTATCATTTCCATGAGGAAGAAATAATTCATTAACCTAGGAACTTATACAACAATGGTCATACATTACGTCAGCACAAGCCAAAACATCTCTTTTAAAAGCAGACCTGAACAACTGTCTCAGTCTCGTCCGCATTGGGTTTGGCGGCACGGAGATCACTGCAACCACGGAGTACCACCTGAATTTCGTAGGTTTTAGTTCCCAGCTAAATAAAATCCTACGGGGTCGATGACAGAATCAGTGGAACATGAGGTGGTGAATTGAGGTGATGTGCAATTGAGCGGACAACGGGCATGAGACCGTGAACTTCGTACTCAGTAGACCAATAAATAAATAGATCTATTTTATTCCTCCACGGTTCAATGCCATAAGGTATGTCCCATTAACGAGATAAGATAGAATTCACACGAAAGAAGGAGTTATTTAGACTGGAAAGAATTCGTTCATTCCACGGTAGTCTAGATATGAAACAACGTCAGGAATTCCGACCTTCATGATAAAACTCGATCATAAAACAGCAAGTCTTCCTTAGATCGATCTCCCATACCTTTAATGACGACCAAGGAAATCCGACCAGGTCAGAATTCGTAGAAACTTCCTAATCAGTAGGGTGTCAGTTGAATGATTATAAAGCTAACCCTTTCAAATAACTAAGCAAAAACTGTACCTTAAGTGCTCTCAAACCCCAATCGTAATGCTGTTGAACGGATAGCATCTCTCTAAAAAAGCACGCTATCTTCTAGTGATTGCAGAAGTTAGCAAAAAGCAAAAACACCTTTAGTCATACAGTGGTAAATTATGATCCTCACTAGAGCAATCATTTAATCAATTATTCATCAATATCAATTCCAACCTATCTGTGTACTAACTTGCTAAGTTTAAAAACGGTGACGATTTTTCGTGCCAAATTTCGTGCATCAGTGAAACCTTCCGAATATAGTATTGTCTCGGCTATGACTTCATTATCTGGCACGGACATTACTACGGGTCGAAAAAGTTGTTTCAAGTTATCCGGCATCTTCTGTCGACCACCATAACCCTTTCCGGCTGGATTTAATGTGATGAATATGGCAGCATTCGGATTCACTCTGACCTGGAAAAGAAAACTAGATGAAAACACATTTTTAAAAAAGCGGTAGTTAAGAAGTTACTGCACAATGAGCTGATAAAAAAATCTTAGTACATAACTTTGGAAGAAACTTCTTGCCATTGCAGAACAATACTCAGGCATGCTAAATTTTGGCTACGCAGTGGTCATTCTAAAAAGCTTCCCAGCTACTTTATAAGTGAATAAAGGACAAAGAATAATGCCTTCGGCGTTGAACTACACTTCATTATGTCATTCCTTCAAACTAACTCTTTCCATTGTAAACGTGGCTGAATGAACATGTTTGATGACTAGCGGTGGATTAGCGATTTATAGAGTCAGTTGCAAATCCCAGGATCGCCTTCCTACTAGTATCGGCATTGATCAATAAATTAATATTTTCCTCTTTAGCAGACAAGGAATTGTCAGAAACAGAATTTATTCAATACTCCCTGACCCTTCGACCGTCTCGCCTTTCTTCAGAGTCTGGAAAGGTCACATCGACATGCCAACACATCAATTCCATTCGCCTAGTAAACAACTTCTTTTAAACACTCACCTTTTCGTTCTTCGTAAGCTTCCCAGTTATTCTTGGAGACTGGCCACATAGTCTTATATAGGTGACGAATGCGCCGGGATCAAGTCAAAAAATTAGCCTTCAGTATAGGACGATGTCATGAGGGATCACGAGTCACTCCTTTCTGCGACTGATTTTTGGGATGTGTCCAAAACACTTGAAGAGGTTTGCGCGTAGATATTTTAGATTCCTATGCGAGGATAATCACTGTTACTTCGAAGCATTTTCCCTTACATCACTGTACCCTACGTGTGCCTAGTGGCGTATTGCAAATTCCTCTCCCATGTAAGACGCTGTGCAACTAGTCTCCATCAATAGCAGCAAAACTTAAAAGGAACAAAACGATGGGTATTTCCTAATATTACTAAGCTACCACGAGGTTGATATAAAAGTTTTAGTCGGCTAAGGTTCGATGTCTTCGCCTTCTTCAGGGTCGACTGATTGATACGAGTCGACTGCCCACAGGTGGTCACCCTCGCCATGCGCGTGTTCGTTGTAGCATTGAGTGGAATCTAGTGAAGTGGAGCAGTGCTCTAATCAAGAATTTCACTCAATGATACCCTTTTAGAATACCATAAACGTTTAGAGAAAGATCGTTACCATGCGATTGAAATTTACGTATTGGATTTCCTCCGTCGATGTTACGAAAATGTTTGGGTGCGTAGATCGCGTGTCACTTTGATTTTTAGAAGCTCTGAAGACTTGTTGAGCCGGCGGAAGGAGCGAACCAGCACCGTTATGGTGATCGGCAAGACGACCACTGCGATGCAAACCCCATTTAGTGTTGTGCAAAGCACTTATTAACACCTTCTTCCTTGTCCAAGAAAAAAGATTAAATTAGGAATTAAGTATTTTAATCCTTCCCGATTAGTGAAGTAATTCATCGATCTTCGGAGAAATAATTCGGGCTACGCATGGTGTCGAAACAGAGACAGATCGAGTGTAACCTGCAGAGCGTCTTTAACTAAATATTTTTTCCGACATCTGTATAGACGATACGTATGGATGTCCATGCAAAGATGACAAAAAGAAGCCGACGAAGAAAATGAACGATCACTAAATCACAGCAGTCATCTACTAGTACAGTCTGATCCTCCAAAAGAACAATCTCGTCTTCGATGTTTCTCTTCAATAAGCAGACACGAGGTTGTTATTATAGAATTTATTAGGATACAATAGCTGACGTTCCGGCGGTTTCACCTTCTTCAGAGCCTGGAATGGTCAAATTGAGATGCGATCTACACAGCCAAACACCTTCATAACCCTAGCAGATAAAACTTAACAAAAAATTTGTATTCGCATAAGGAACAGCTTCATTTAAACACCTACCGTTTGTCAAAATTCAAAAATGAACCGTAAGGAGAAGTGTCTTGTCATCACGCGTGACCTAGCGCCATACCTCGGGCTAATCCAGTGACCTGGCACAGACACAGTTATCGCCCATGTATTACTCTGTGCGGGTGCTGCTATCCACCAACTAACTTAAACACTTACAACAAATAAACGGTAGGTGTTTAAATGAGGCTGTTTCTTATGCGAATACAAATTCATTTGTTACGTTTTATCTGCTGGGGTTGTGAAAGTGTTTGGCTGAGTAGATTGCATTTCAATTTGACTTTTCTAGACTCTGAAAAAGGCGAAACCGTCGAAACGTCAGCTACTGTATCGTAATAAATTCTATAATAACAACCTCGTGTCTGCTTATTGAAGAAAAACATCGAATTATCAATCAATGCCGAGGTTAACAGAAAGTCGGTCGCTCATGGGAATCTCGTCTTCGTCACCAACAACAATCGCATACTGAGCAGAATTTTGCCGCACTTCTGAACCCTGATTCATTGGTTCTCTTACTTTGCCCTCTTCCAAGAAACAAGCCTCAAAAATCGCATATTTCGGAGATTTTTCCGATGACGACGAGCTGCAGCACCAGTTGGAAACAGATCCAGGTAAACTGACAAAACCACTCAATTGTCACCAATCTTCCATCATAGAGCACATTTACACCGCATTCGGCTGCCGTAAGTGATTTCCCACTAGTCTTCACATCGGTCAACGCAAATCAGACAGCTGGTAGATGCGACGATGTGATTGGAGGAAAAAATTCTTGAAGCGCATGGTGGCACGAAGTGATAGCTCGGTTTACATTATGCCAATAAGCAAAGAATCTTTAAAGTGCGGTAGAAAGCACAGCCATCTGTTTATCTCAGACCAAGTTCTGTTTTCGTATTATTGAAACTGATGGAGCGCACGAGTGCTGTCGAAGAACACGTGGGTGTTTACATAGGCTAACTCATGACTTCTGCGGATGAAAAAGCACTGGCGATGAGCACGGGTTTGTCTCCTCCACGAAAGCGCTTAACGATAAGACAGTTCATTTGGCAACTGGGGAGTATCCATATTCTACGCATAGCTCCTCTCCTGCACTTTCTGATCGTCCTTTCTGCAGTTCCGTAAAACTGCTTCATTGGCACTTATCCAATTCCAATGATATCAAACTGGGATTAAAACAAGCTATAGTTCCTGGTGGAAACAATCATTCTTTGGCAATCGATTACTCCTATGATTACATAGTTAAGGATAAAGCACTGGATGTTGGTCAATTCATGACAGATATAACGTGCATTGAAATTCATTAAATAACACAGAGGTGATTGAAGGAAGGAATGACTTACAGAGTGGGTTGCGGTGGTCTACCGATGTATCAAATCAGTGTTTTGTGCTTTCAGACAATACTGGTTGGCGCGGAACCCCTCTAACTACAGCGCTATATGCGTCCTTGATTGCATCGCACATTGGAACAAAGAAAGTTAAAATAAATCCTAAGAATAATGGCACCCGGTACACATGGAATTCATTGGAAGAGTTGGGATCGACGATGGCTAGGCGAGTGGATGAGAATGTTCAGCAAGGGGAGCAAGTTTTCCACAAAACAAAATGCCGTCGTGTTTTCACCGTTTTTCCCTTTTAACTTCATAGGATTCTAGTTGCCCATAGTGTCAAAGACTAAGTGAGTTACTGAAAATAGATATATTCAAATCATTTTCTCTATTACTCACTGTCTTCCCGCCCAAAACGCATGCGTCGCTTTTCGACTTGATCACATCCTGAATCGTCTGTATCTGCATTGAAACTGCAGATAAGACAGTCTGTAATCAGCAAACTTAAAAAGTCTCATTCTTTATTGGCGTAGTTAAACAAATTAGGACCAATTCCTTTCTTAAGAAACACTCTTATTCGAAAAGCGTTCTCTATCCATACCTGATCAAGGCGGTTAAATTCATCAAAACATCCCCATGCGCCACATTGTACTATTCCAATGAAGATTCGACTGAAAAACTACTAGTTCATCAAAGAAAACCCTTCTCTTAGTTGCTGTTGCTGTCCAGTTACGACGTCCCGTTTGAAAATTCGTGGAATACTTTCGAGAACGGAAGCCAAAAAACGACTCATAGCGTAAGAAATCGTTGTCGGCTTGTCGAAATTTCTTCATAATTACCTCTTCGATCTCTAAGAGTAAGCTGAGTAAAATTCTTATTGCCATTGCTAGCGCTATATTAGTAAAACCATTCCCATTATGATGTAGCACTGATACTTTTGATATTTGAATTTTTACTGTATATGTTATTGTTTCCCAGGGCCCGACTTTGGACAAGCCGACCTCGAGTTCCCAGGGAATCACAATGGCTCAACCGGCAAGCCTGCAAAAAAATGGAGATTGTAGTGGCGCAGGCACAACTAGTGAAGACGGGTAGCCCAAGTATCCAAGCTATTGTTTTATTTACGACCCTCACTAGCTGCTTACCGATTTCTTGGGAAGAGAGACAAAATCAGGCCATGAGTACCAACACAATTTGAAAGACTCATTATTTCAAAGCACCGTAATCCATTCTACTCTTCGTAAGTTTTCCTTTGGGTCAAAGTAATCTGTTCAGATATCTCTATCGATTTTCACAGGTTTACTTTCTGTTTCGCAGTATTCATGAGGAAACAGCTAGAACCTCTTTTGCTGAGTATTTTGCTGTTGTCATTTATATCGAATTTTTGATAGCTGACGAAGAAGAAAAATATTCGTTTGAAGAGTAATTGGGCAAAAAACAATAAACCTCATTGAATGGACGTCGATTCCTTCATCACAATTGAAAACGAGCACCTGTCGGCCGAACAACGACGCTAGCGCCTAGGATGGTTTAATTTCAATGAGAGTACGGTAAATGTGAATCATCTTAGGGATGCCTCCGCTTCATTCACCTTTACGGATTCGGTCTTGCCAGTACCAGCCGGTCCATACGGATTTCCTCCCAAGCCCATGTACATAGCTTAATATAAGAAAGTTTACTCTATGGAAGTCCTTGAGAAGTGTAGATAAAACCTGATTCTATTACAGGGTAACCCTGTATTAACAAAAAACATGTTATCCATGTCATATAAGACGGTTTCATTAAGAAGCAACAGAGAAGACGTTAATGACCGTTCGCAACAAATATCCTGAATCTACAGTTATGGGGCCAAAACGTAATTCAAAAGACTGTTTGCAAAAAAAAAGGGGTAAAGGATCCATGAAGATTCAGACCAATTGGTGAGGTTGCAGAACACTGACGAAAAAGATGAAATAATCGGGGTTGTCCTCGAGAAATTGACGATGATTTTGTAGAAGGCAAACGAATAAATTCCTCATAAAATTGTTTAGAAGGAGAAATGTGGAATCAGGTAAATAGGAAAAATACACTGACAAAAACTTCACCACAAAAGTGTTCTAAGTGATTTCAGTAACTTTCTGCCGATTCTTCAATGAAACTCCAACACTGGTATCCGATTTTCTAGTCATAACAGTTGTTTTGTGATTACGTAGCCAAACGCTTCAAAATTTTTTCTTTACTCCGTTGAACTATACTCCATTATAACCAGCTCATGATCCAAAAACTAAAATGCTGCTTAAAAATACATGATCTTTCAAAATCATTCAGAAATTCATGGATACATCACTGACCCTGAGTGAGTGTCAGATAGCATTTATCCGTCAACGGCGTGTGCACAAGCTTCGGTGTGTTGCCCTAAAGAAACACTGTTTGAGAAAAAGTCTAGAAACTTCTAAAGAAATAACGATCAACGAACGGTGACCTGAAATCTAAACCGAGTGAAAAAGTCATATGTGGTGAGCCTCATAGGAGACTTCAATTCATGAGATTCTTTCAGTCAAATTGTTTCTTTAGTTCTACATTCTTTTCTTCAGCTGTTTTCGAGGAGATTTCGTAGTGAACAATCATAAAAATGGTTCTCTCTAATTTTCAATAAAAATCAATTATCCATCAATTCAACCATTTATTAAGTTAAAAAAGAATTTCTTATCTCATTCGACTCAGTTGTAATCGACCAGTCGAGCAAAAATTTTCTGAGGAACCACTGTTATCGCAAAGATTGCAAAGACAAGGCAGCAAACACTCCTCTTATTCATGAGGGCCGGAAGCTTCCTGTTTAGCAGTTTAGGCAACATCCAGAAATTTAAAATTACAGTGAGAACAGGACATCAGTAAGCCAGATGCAAATCCACAAACGAACACCACCTGCATGAAAACGGTGGCAAGAGAATGAAAAGAATGAAAGAAGTGCTGAGACTCGCATAAGATGAATTCAATACAGCTTAATGCTATTTAAATATGTCTCCAGAAGGGGCTATATCTTCCATGTTTTTAAGTCACTGCCGTTCCAGTAGATAAACAAAAGGAGTGGGCAGAAGTGAGAAGGCTGACGCCTCAGTGGTGCAGTGTGTAACACGCGAGCCCCTGGAAGGATAATCGTAGTGCGATCTTTTGGCACGCGAAAAGTTGCAGTATGCAATAAATAAAAGGTTAGCTCCTATGAAATGCCGAGATATTTGCAAAACTCCGGACCACAGGTGTATGCAGTGGGGAACGAACACGCGCTGTTGTCCTTACCGGGGAGCAGCGCACTTCACCACTACACCATCCGGGTCCTTCACCTTGCATGTCTCTCAGCTAGTTCTATCGATCTTTTTGCCATCAGCAATCACCAGTCAACGGGATTGATTTGGGGAGCCAATATCGGCATTGAACCCAGTTAAGCTGAGGCTTAGTTATAATCACAATCTTAACTCTTTTATTATCACTTGCCGTTAAGAAGAAAAAGGCAGTAAATAAAAGAGTTAAAAGGTTAGCATTGCGGCTTCAAGGATCGTCCTGTTTGTACTCTAGGGAATACCGGGTGAGGTTTGATCATCTCTCCGCAGCAAAAACGGTCCGATACAAGGTAATGCTGACATCACATTATTCGTTAAGTGCTTCACTCCAGTGGATTATCGAAGTGACAGCTACGAAGGCTGATACTGCAAGAAAAAACAACTGTTGTAGACACTTGACTCCAGTCACCATGGCTATGAAGCAGGCGATACTATCGACATCTTAGCGAAAATTGTATAGGCTAGTCAGCAAACCAAGACTGAAAATTGTGCACTGTTTGTCAGCATTGAGTGAAAAGTTGGAGATTCCACGTTCCAGGAAACAAGGTTGGAAAACTAGATTTGTGTTGAAACGTCCCATTAATAAAAATAAAGCAGGTATTTTAGAACGACTGCAACCATTTGACACTCTACAAGGTTTTGCTACACACAATCAGCTCACATAAGCCAGAAGAATGAAATGAATTTCTTCAATTTCACAAGAACTACTAATGAAAAATTACTCACCTGATACTTACTTAAATGACCCGTCCTCGTTAGTTGTGCGAGCCCAAGCATAATCTCCAATTTTCGGAGATTTGCTGGTTAAGCCACTGTGGCTCCTTGGAATAACGAGGTCGGCCTGGCCAAAGACTGCCCCAGGTCTTCACCACCGCATGCTGTGGCAGCCCTCGTGGATCAGGGGGAGATTTGCTTCGACTCTGATACCAGGACGATGGTGGATTGTGGTATTGGTTTACTTTTAGCTAGACTTCCTGATGGAAACGCCGGACTTCTTCTCAGCTTGGGAGATCCTGCTGGGGGGACGAATCCCCGCTGTACATCGTAGCCCGAAAGACAGAAACACCTCCTAGCCACGATGAGCCGGTAAACCGTTGGGAGGATTAAAGTGATAAAAAAATACCAATAAGAAATAGTTATCTAGGTACTATTTGTAGAATTATAGTCAGATTTTTAAGCACCATTTGTAATTTTGTCAAATTTTACCTGATACTCATAAGTGTAGTCAAATTCGCTATTCACTTGCCGGGCTACAACTTTATCCCCTACTAAATAGAAGCGCAATTGTCGTTGCCACGTCCAACACTGAGAAGAGCTGAAAAGTAGTAAGGTAATTGTCCTTTTTGCTTACAAGAAACTAAGGCCAGGAAAAAAGAATGAAAAACTGCGAATAATCTTCTTTTACACAACGATTTTCGTTAGGTTCTTTCATAATTCTATTCTGATAGAAAAACGCTGACCTACCTTGCCTTATTGTTGATAAGTTGATCCGTGATATCAATATGATGGATAATATCGAGGATCAGTGCTTTCAGTTTAAGATCAAGCACTACGTCGTCGACTTTCGTGCTTGCATAAACTTTGAGCTGCTCCTGTAGAGCAGCTTTCAGGTTGGCCAGATCTTTTGAACCATCCAGAGCCTGAGTAGGGAAGAATTCTCGTGTGATCTAGCCGAGTTTGAGAATTATGGGTTAAATAACCGATGAAGCCACCTGTCTGCTGCTGATTGTTCAGTAATTCCATGATGGACAATGGTGGTAAGGTAGGAGTTTCGCAGCAATCACAAAATCAGACCAAAGAATGCCCCTTTTATGCTGCGGTGCTAATGAGTAAAACAAATTCTAAAACATTTTTCTTTGCGTCTAGTTCTTTCTTTTCTAAATTTTCATCCGGAAACTTAAGTATTAGTAAAAGAATGCCATAAATCGCCGATTTCCTTGTGGTGACATAGTTAACATACAAAAATCTACACCCGATCCATAGGGACCGTTGGCTTCTCCTGGTGAAAAGTTAACAGAAGGACCTACCGCGGATATCTCCACACTCTACGGAATTAAAAAATCCTTGCTTAGTAAGTTAAATGGGAATTGTGATGGAGCCAACACAACTCATTGTGAAAACGGCCCATTCGAGTAGGCATGTTCTCTTCTGAGTTAATTCTGCATTTCCGTACAATAGTACAACTCAACACTTTTTTAAAATTATACGACTCGTCTTCACATATTGTGCGAATCGCGACACTTGCACTCAGTCCATTGTCGTGTATCAGTCATTCATAAAGATCTTCGGGCACAGTCTTACTCTCTTTGGAATACCGGGATAACTGAGCCTGTGCCTCCAGGTTTTCACCAAAGGCACTTGGCACCACCAGCGTTTGTGAATTGTAGAGAACGGGGCGATCCCAACGAATTTAAATGCCAATTTTCCCACCGAAGAGGAATGGAGGGCTGGGTATTTCGGGAGCCTATCGAACCAACTCTTAATGCTCTACGAAGCAAATTTTAAAAAACTGGAAGGTTCCTACATTCCCAAGAAATGTTAAGTTTGGCTGCACAATGTTTGAGATATATTAGTCGGTAATAATCACTTATTTATAGTTTTTTCATGAGCTGGAAAAGCTCCCAAATTTTACAGCATAGCACCAATCTACAAAAAGCCGGAAAGAAAGCCAATAGACAAACCTGCTCACAGACACGACAGAAGCGAACATGTTCGGCCAGACAGAGCACTTGTGAAGGAAATCTGTGAAAATTTCTATTAGAAATTGTTGGAACTCACGTACCTCTAAAAAGCTTAGAACATGTATCAATAGTTCATGAGCAAAGGCTTATGTTATGAATCAGCTAGTTTGAAGTAAAAAAAATAAGAGAAATTTCAGCTTAAAAGAAGAGAGAACAACATTTCTGCGATTCACTAAACCTTGCTGGATCGAGATGATCATCACCAATCGCCTCCACTGACATTTTCCTTAGTGTTGATCGCATCTCATCAGAAAGATCTTGCAACCAAACCTGAAGTAAGCAGTGATTATTCCTTTGACTGCTTTTAAATTTCTTTAGAGTGTTGTCTTATAGATAACACTGACGACGATAAAATAACCTCGTGTCGCTACTGAAGGCACGATGTTCACCATTTTGTGGTGGTGTTCGGTCATTATTACCACCATCTACAGGCGCTCTAGATAACGTATAACTTTGAACTCACCTCGACTTGTGAGACAACTCGTACGGGCCGGCTGAGATGTACGTGCTCACCCTGCGTGGACACAATGGCCGAGATGGTACCGTTGTTCGAACCGAAAACCACTTTGTCAATTCCCTAAACAAAAACTTAATACAACAGCTTTATTGTTCTGTGTTTCTAAAATAACACTGGGTTAGAAAGGTACGACAGTTGAGGCAAGCTATTCTGTTTCAGATCCTCTTCGTGCTAAACCATAAAAGTTTACTAGATTTTGCGACTAATGCGACTAAAGCCTTTACCAACATAGAAAAGTCTACATTTTTCACAATGGCAATAAACTGCCTATAGTGGAAATACTCGCGATAGAATGACCACCTTGAAAATCCTTTCAAAAAATAGTCCCAATCAAAAAATAACCCAGATCCAGTACACAGAAGTCTACAACATGTACTGTGATACACCTACTGATGAATACTAATCAAATATTGGATAGCGACCGATGTTGCGGCATTAAACAGAGGAAATACGTCCGCAACATATTCCACCGAGAGTACAAAAATAGCAAAATTATCCGATCTTGCATTGATCGTCACTACACAGTTCTCGAACCTGTGGGTTACATCGGAATCCCAAAAATCGACAGAAAATTGACAAAAATTAACATATCCAGTCTTTAGAGATCTCAAGAAGACGTAAGTATCGTCAAGGGTGACCACCCATAATTATATTTGCGGTTGTCGCGTTAATATGTATTACTAGTCAAGATGACTATCTACGAAACAGAACACATTTGTGAACGATCGTCGCCAATGAACAAGGCAAAATACAAGCTGATATGATATCTACAAAATTCGATACTTGGATACTTGATGGCCCGTCCTCACTAGTTGTGCGGACTCCAACATAATCTCCACTTTTTTGGAGTTTTGGTGGTTTAGCCATTGTGGTTCCTCGGAGTCCTAAGGTTAGCCATGCCAAAGTGTGCCCCTGATTTTCACCACCACAGGCAGTCGCCGCGCTTGTGGATGAGAGCGAGATTTAACACCATGTGACTAATTTGCTACCATAGCCGTGATGGATCCTGGTATTGGTTTACTCTTACCTGTGCTTCCTAATGGAAGCACTGGACTCCTACTCAACTTGGGAGACCCTGCCTGGGGGATGAATTTCCCCTCACCAAATCGCAGCCTCACACCCAAGAATACCTCCGCGCCGCGATGAGGCGATAAACCGTTAGGAGGAAAATATTATATATGGTATTCTAAACCAAGATTATCTCAAGGGTGATGTAAAGAGCGTTAATATAAAACAAATAAACTCGGAAAAAAACAGGCTAGTGTGAAATCACTAAAGCAAGTCATACAACAATGTTTTCCGCACGGGATGCTCCATTTTTCATATAGTGCCCTTTCGTGGCTATCAAGAATCACTTCGATCAGTATACTTCACCTTGAAACCAACAACAATTTAATGACATTGCTTGGCACGAAAATCATCGATACCTGAAATAGCTTTTTCAAATGAGACTGAATAACCGATGGATTGGTAGACTGTCCGAGAATTTCAAGTAAATCATCATCGCCAAGGAAATAGAACCGCGGAAAAGCAGAGCGTTTCTCCTGAAATTGTAAGCGATCAAACGGTCGACGCTAACATTACGATAGTGCAGTGATTTAAATCTTTCGTATGAACAATCACTGAGTGTGCTGACCTCAAGAAATTGGTTGAGGGCCTTCTGGCATCTGTTCAACTGATCGATAATTTGTTCGAGACTTTTTCGAAGTGATTGCCGACTACACAACGACACCAGACGAGCGTCACGAACAATGTCTGTGAAAAAAAAGATGAAATTAAGTTACGAAATATAACTTCTATAATGCTGAGATATTTGCAAAACTCCGGACCGCAGGTGTCTGCGGTGGGGAACGAACGCGGTATTGCCCTTTCCGGGGAGTAACGCGTTCACCACCACACCATGCGAGTCCTTCGTTTCGCCTTTCTTTCGGCTATTACTATCGTTCGTGACATCAGCAATCACCCTTCAACGGGACTGATCTGGAGAGCCCAAATCGGCATTGAACCTAGTTAAGCTGAGGCTATAGTTATAATCACAATCTTAACCTTTTTTAACACATTTCTTTACGTCTAAAAAGAATAGGCAGTAAATAAAATGGTTAAAATTAAGTTACTTAAATGTAACAATCTAATTGCTGGCGTTTGTAATGTTGTTTTTGTCGTTGCTACTGCAGTTGGTGTTGGTATTGACGTTGTTGCTGTTATTGCAGTTTTTCACCATTGTTGTTGTTCAAGAAGATAGATCCCCATCCACAAAGCTTGCCCTCTGCCGTTTAAGTATTTTTTTAGAGACTTTCCTTGAATCTCGGTATCACTAATCAATATGTATTCTTTCTTTGATGAGCTTACACGAGGTTTATAATGATGTTTATTTTCGGCTAACTTATCAACGTCTTCGTCTTCCTCAGAGCCGATGATCCGAGTCGATGGTCCACGCTTGTTATTCGTCTCGACGTGGCAGCTTCGCCTTCCTGTCGAGTCAGGTCTTCTTCTTCCAGCGTTTCCATCAGTTTTTTTTATTGGATAGTAGAGAGTAAAAGTAACAGCTAGCACTAAACTGACACCAGTGTCCTGGTGTCAAACTAGACGCTTGGTAGCAAGTCCTCCTCTGATCCACAAGGCTGGTGTCTGCCTGTGGTGGTTACGACCTTGGACAAACTTTGGCGACGTTGACGTCGGGACGCTAGTGAACCACAATAGCTAAGCCAGCAAAAAGACTTACCTTTGCAAAACTATATAAATAAATTTTTACACTTACCTAAATTCATATAAAAAAAGAAGAAAATTAACCAATAACTTCATTCATACTAGAACCCAATAAAAGCACAAATTATTTTGCTACCTTAATGGCCTCCGAGCAAAACTCCGAAACAATGGAAAATATGCTAGGGCCGGCACAACAAAGTTAAGACGGGCCATCCAAGTATACAAGTGTTAGTGAGTGAAATTGTACAACTTAGTGTCCGGATGAAAATGTACTACTTCTCAACTTGCGTAACCTTGCTGAAGGATAAACCGCAGGATGTTCTTCTTGAACAGACTCGATATTGTTAATACCAAAATTTATTCAATATTAGTGATGATTTGGTGGTTTCGCCTTCTTCGGAGTCTAGTAAGGTCAAATTGACGAGCAATCTACTCTGTCAAATACGTTCATAACCTCGGCAGAAAAAAAAACTTGATCCACAAATTTTCTATCACCATAATAAACAGCTTCTCTTAAACGATCACCGCCTTGTTCGTTTTTAGTGCTCCAGTTATTTTAATGGAGAGCAATCGCACAAAGTCTTACATTGGCGGAGAATGTGCCTAGCTCAGGTTAAAAAATTAGCCTGAAGTATGGCGCGAAGTCATGCTTGACCACAAGTCACTCCTCCTTGAGGTATATTTTTAGACCTCTGGAATCTATTCAAATCGCTTCAAGTATTTCACGGGCTGATGTTCTAGATTCCTGTGAGAGGATAGTGAATTTATCCTCAAATTTTAATGAGTGCCTATTCTTTTTCATGGCATGGTATGATGCGAAATACACCACATGGATGCTGAGATACGAGGAAAACTCGAAATCACTGGTAGACTCAACGTAACTCGGAGCGTCATGGGCCAATGAATCGAGAAGCCATACATGTTTCCTGCTCCTTCGCGTTGCATAAGGAGCTCTTGGATGACTTGTATTGCGAAATTAGAGAGCACCTAGTTGGAAAACTTATGATCAAACAAAATTCTTCGAAAGACAAGCATAGCACACGGAGAAATAATGAAAAGATTCTGAAGTAAAAGTGGGTTATCAAATTGTTTGGTTGAGCAGCCTACATGTCAATTTGATTGTCATTAACCCGCTTCCTGCTTAAGAACAAGAAATTTACTTATTAAGCAATGGAAAGGTCAATAGACAGCCGGTCTTTTGAAAGCTTCGAGGTTCGACAGAGAAGAACACTGCTAAATACGACTAGTTCTTAAACAACTAATGTTTTGATTACATTGCTCGCTTTTCCAAGTCTTTGTTCTATATTTGTGAAGAGTTTTCAACTTCACTACATCAGTACACAATCACCCACATTGTTCTCGTGAACAAACCCCGGATATACAATAATAGAGAGTTAGAGTTATGCATAAAGGTGTCCCTTCGTTTACCCTAGGTTTGACTTCCTATTTTAAAGTTCCTGTACATATTAGTGATTGCATTCACCGCTTAAGATAAGACGAAACTCGCTATCCACACGAGCAAATCGGCTCGCCTCGGCCGGTAAAGCACCTCTGCCAAAAATTGGCTCCAAATAAACCCATTTTCGTTGAATGTCATTCATTTGCGGAAGATAGACGTCAAGATCCGAGAGTCTGAAACAAGCAAATGCCATCGACATAGTAAAGATGTGTTCAGAAGTCTCTATGTGTCCTTCACTCGGTGGTTTTACTGTAACCGAACCGCTAGCAGTTGAAATAGCTAAGGTCTCGCTCGAAAGCCTTACCTTGTCTCCCATATGCTCGTTTTATCGCTGAACTGTGCATAGAATGGTGAGTTTTTCAATGATTGAAGAAGCGCCTGACTATCTTTCACCTATAAAAAACTACAGTTCTCAAACAAACTCGCGAAAAATTGAGGATTGGAATTAGTGAAATCAAGAATGATATTTTCTAACTGCCACTGATATAAGGACCAGAGCCAAGCATTCGAAACTGTACGAAGGATACGTGCAGAATTTCCCTCGACTAGCAGGACCATGGAGATGATTGAATCGCTTTTTGGTTCACGCATGACCCGTGCGGGCTACCAATTTGTCATGCAGTGGTTTTACAATACCAAATAAATCAAACAAATATTTGCAAACTCCGGAGGGTAGGAAAGTTTTGTTAACCTGGTGCGCAGGCCCGAACCAACGAATACGCGTATATTACAGAGCATCTCTAAGCCACTTTAATCTCGGACGTAATGGTATCCAGTTTTCCATCTGTGGACGATGGTCTATGGACGAGTTTTCACTGCACTAGGTCACATGTCCTTTTTTCATCAAAAAAAAGTTAGGAGCTGAAATTTGACTTGAGGCACATGGAAAAATTAGTGAATAATGCAGTACTTACAGAATTGATGGACTCTTTCCAATCACGAATCACTTTCATGGTGCTACCATTCGAATGTTTATACTCGGAAAATGAAAATTCGGCCTGAATAAAAAGTATTATACTAGCAAGTATCTATGAAAGACATCTACGGAAGACGAAAAAGAGAAGAACAAAGGCAGAAAAATTGAAAAACACCTTAACATCTAAACAAAAAAAATGTTCCTATATGACTGAGCCGACATGAGGTCGTTACAAGAGGACCATCGACTTGGATCACCACGGCTCTGAACAAGGCGAAGGGTCCGAAACGTTATCCCAGTAAATGTTTTTTATACCAGCCTCGTGTACAAACCATGGAGAAAAATATTGATTAATCTTACCAAGGTTTAACGGTCTTTTGAGATAAGGAAAGAAACTCCGGCCTAAGGCCCACATTTACCTGTGCAGCCCACATTTCCAATTCCTGGATAGCCTCACGGATGGTGATCTCGCCTTGTGCCTTGCTGTTCAGCGCTTTCAACTGCTCGACGTTGGCAATCACATTCGATGAGACCGCGATTAAATCGCCAAACCGCAACCTTTCAAGTGTCGTACCCCTTGAATTATCGTAGTAATAGAGTGATGTTCCGCTGCTAAAGACCAACCACTTCACAACCAAATAGATTATTTATAAAATTCCTATTTTTTGCTTGATAGGAGAATTCAAGCGCTCCACTTCCACTGCAGTCGATCTTGTAACACCAAAGCAATCTCTGGAGTTCTCAGCGCAGCGTTGGTTTCTACTCCGTGTTATCTCTACTATTTGTTTAACCTTTTCGTTTTTAGGATAAATGGTCACTACAGATTTTCCTCTCACCTAAAGCCGATTCAAATACATTTGAGAAAAAGATCGTGCCAATATTTGCTTTCTGCACCATTCTATGGATACTATCGTTGTAGAGACTCTCTGAGAACGAAATAAAAGGATCACCATGTCATCACTTTTATTTACTGCCTACTCTTTTTTTAACTGCAGGCCGATTTTTGCTCCCCAGACCGATCCCATTGACGGGAGATTGCTGATAACATCTTTAGGCCAATAACATGGATGAGAGAAAGGCGAAACGAAGAACACACATGGTGTGGTGGTGAATGTGTTAGCTCCCGGAAAGGGTAACTGCGCATTCGGTCCCTACCGCAGACACCAGCAATCCGGAGTTCTGTAAATATCTCAACATCGTTATACTTATATTTCACATAAAAGGATCACTGCCCAATCAACGCCGTAAAGTCTAAATTAGTGAAGTGCTGGGTAGAGATGTCGTTGTACGCTGCGAAAAACAAATGCGTAAAGAGCTCTCTTAGTGCTGCGAAATTTCCGGCGAAAAAAACTCGACTGAAGTTTCGTGTGGTTACTCACTTAGCTCGAACACCAGTGATCCACGAAGACAGTCTACCAGCCAAAAACTGTTAAAAAAGTGCCTCGTACGAAAATTATGTTCTTCCTCTGCGTCAAGTGTTTGAACAAATGGAAACTTAATTGCTATGATGATGAGAATTTGCGAAACTCCGAGCTGCAGGTGCTCGGTGATTGACAGATGGTAAATGTGACTCGAAGTTAGGAAGCTCCAAATTCAAATATTTCACACCAGTACAAAATTGGACAAAATATAAACAGACTGATTTCTCCGCCATGCTGTTTCTTTCGTGCTCCTTTTTATTCATTCCTCTAAATGTCGAGTACCTTCTACAGACTTCTAGTGATAACCGTCGTTCATTGAATATGTTCGAGAATTTTGCAGTATTTTAATAGAAAGATCTGGCTGACCTCGGCAGTTGAAGAAGTCGGAACATCTCCAGCCAATGATCGATACTGAGCACTTCTCCGCGACAGAATTTCAGACATCCACTGAACTCCTGTAATCGGCAATAATGACTTAAAATAAAAACGAATACTAAGAATATTGGGAAAATAAAGCTTTGCCATGAGATTGCTTTTGAAGGAATAACAAGAGAAACACACGGGCAATTTTTGGACACTTCCGCATGAACATCTTGCGCTGCCCAAACGGCAGAGCGTTTCATTTGTGTGCACAAAACTTTTCTAGTGTACATTTTAAAATTATTTTACTTTATTGTCAACCTCTTAAATATTCATTTTCTTGCCATATAATTGTTTTTGTCTTTAGGAGCTCAGCTCTATAAGCGCAGTCAAATCGTCAGTCTATTTCATAGGTCTGCGGAAAACGGATTGCTTACTGCAACCATTGAAAGAATGCTTAAAACCGTCCAGAAGGTCACAAGCAGTGAAAAGACGAGTAAAACGTGGAAGAAAAATCCGTACGACTTCGTACGGTGAACAAAAAGCTGGACCGCAAAATTATCAACACTACAAAAATCAAAAATGGCGACATCAGCGAGCAGGCTAGAACGCTAGGAATACCTCACTCAACTGTCCAACTGATGGTCAGTGAGCAGATTCTGAGATAATGGTCGGCCTAAATAAGACAGGTAAATGCCCAGCCAAGGTGAACCGCCTCGTGAAATATAAGGAATTGTTGAATGCCAAAAAAACGCAGCGGAGAAGCTTACTTCTCAACAGAGAAGGCGATAAAACAGTCTAAACGGAGGTTAGCCAGTCCGATCCTAAAACAATCTTGGAAGTGAAAAATTGACGCAAAATCGTTGTCTCCCAAAGCACCCATGATCATGAATGAACTCAGAAGAAAGGCGCGACTGGCATTAGCCAACAAAAACAAATAAGTTATTACAAATAGCACCTATGTCTACGAAGATGAAGTTCTGAAGAAAAACTGCTCTCTTTTGAAAAAAGAAGAACTCTAACGTGGTATTTAAACAGTTCTGGGCTTCTTCCCTCCAATAAAAATGACGATAACGTAAGTGAAGTGAAGTTCTAAGCGGTACTTCGACGCTCTGTAGAAGTCCGGCTTTAAATCTACTGGATTTCTTCGCTTGGGGTTTCATGGCTCAGGAAGTATTTATAGAAACGTCACTGATTATGGGTCTTCAGCCTAAAGTCGAGGTTATGGGCTCGTGTCGAAGGTAGGAAAAACAATTTTAACTTATTATTTTCTGCCTACTCTTTTTCAATGGCAGGGTATATTGCGAAATATAACTTCAATGAAGCTGAGATATTTGCAAAACTCCGGACCGCAGGTGTCTGCGTTGGGGAACGAACGCACTATTGTCCTTTCCGAGAAGTAATGCACTCACCACCACACTATGCGGGTCCTTCGTTTCACCTGTCTCTCAGCTAGTTCGATCGACCACTACCATCAACAATCACCCGTCAGCGGGATTGATCTGGGAGCCCAAATCGGCAACGAACCCAGTTAACCCGAGGCCGTAGTTATAATCACAATTTTAACTTATTATTTTCTATTTTTGATCAATACCGCTGACGGGTGATTGCAGTGGAAAAGATCGATAGAACTAGCTGAGAGATAGGCGAAACGAAAGACCCGCATGGTGTGGTGATGAACGCGTTACTCGCCGGAAAGAAGAACAGTGCGTTTCCCACCGCAGACACCTGCGGTCCGGAGTTTTGCAAATATCTCAGCATCATTGAAATTATAGGAAAAACAGCTTCGAGTATTTATGAAAATGCCATTTTTTGCCGTTGTTGAGTTATAAAAGCTATAAACGTCAATAAAGAATCGTATATGGAAAGAATAAAATAGAGTGCATTGGAAAGGACATGCTTTCTGACCATCTCGCTTTTTTCGTAGCTAATGAATGACAAAATCAAAAGGCGGTCCTGGAATTCCTCTAATCGGAAGACTACCAACCCTTAGTATTTCTTATTTTCGTTAATTAACATTTTTTAATTTTTAAATTTAATTTTTCCAGTTTTGAATTTTAAGTTCAATTTTTAAAAAGTCTTCTTAAAGTTTAAAGTGTTCTGCTTCTATCAAACTCGTGTGAGCTTGACAACCCATAATCTCAGATAAGTTTAAAAATTATTTCATGGCCCGATCCACCAGGCTTATAAAGCATTCTGCTTCAATACGGCCCGAAACTCATATGTAATCTAAAGCGGTGGGCTGCTATGATTGCAGTATTCTCAGACGAAGTTTTCAGCCTTTTAAATTCAGTTAATCCTTTACTTACTGGTTTAGGATGATTTCTAGTTATATATAATATTTCGCACCATAAGAAACTTTCTTTCAAACTTTCCCTTTTCACATAAAAACAACATGATTTCTTTTTTCCGCCACTTATAACATAATAAAGAGCTTGTAATATACGAAAGTGAAGAAGAGAAAAACTAGAGGAAGCTATCTTTTCCACTCTCTATTAAAGTTATGAAAAACAAATGATACCAAACCTTAAAAGAGTCGATATCCTGAAGAAGTCGAACGCCCATGTGAGTTTGCGGTGAAGTTTTCAGCTTTTCCAACCATTTTTGTAGGAATTCGTCGAACAGATAAGTTCTACTCCTGAAATTCCAAATGGAACAATTGCAGTCTTAAAGCGAAAAAGCATAATTACAGATCTCCGAACTGGTTCAATAGGACGGGATCTACTATGAGGATACTGAATAAAAAGTGAGTCGTTGAAGAACATCAACCATTGAAGTTCACCTATCTGACGTTGTCTTACAAGGAAATCTAACAGTGTAAGTGTCTTACCTTTATTCTCTATCAGTAATAACCAGGAAAAGAACTTGAAACCAGTCGTAAAAAAATGATTCCATTTTCCTAAGTACTTTCTGTATCAAAATATTCATTAATTACTTAAACCGAATTAGTTTTCACAGAAAGATTTTAATAATTTTCAAATCAAAGCGACCGTCATTTAGCCTCGGCATTAATTATTAATAGATTCCTGGATTATTAAGCTAACACGAGGTTGTTACCAAAAATTTATTTAACTACGTTTGAACATCTTCGTCTTCCTCAGAGCCGATTCGATGTCCACCAGTCTTACGTCTTCTCGATGTGGTGTATTCGCCTTCGTTTGGAGTCGAATAGACAATATAATACTGACTGTTACAAAATGAATAATCGACATGAAAAGAAATCCTTATCAGTCGATAATCACTCAACAACCGTCCCGTATAAAAGAACGCTGCAGGGTGAGACTGTGTCATTCGAGTGGTGCTCACTGAGGAAGGTCGGACTCCGCACGACGAAGAAGACGGCATTTCGAGAAGTCATACGACGGTGGACCGTCGACTTGGACCATCGGCTCCGAGAAAGGCGTCAAAAAGTTAGCCGAATAAATGTTTTTATCAACTTCCTTAATGCTTATCAAACTTAATAATGCAGGAAGAAAGATTTCAGTTTGAAATTAGCCGATTGCTCTCCGAAGAAATCATTGTTATGATTTTGGGTAAGTCATAGAAAAAATTTTTTACAATGTTCATTATTTAAACTTTCCTATTTCTTCTAACCAGTTGTTTTAATCTCAAGAAAAACGGCAACTTTATAGAATTCTAGTCCTTCTAGATGTTTTGCTTTCCTGGCCAAAACAGGAAATGAGGAAAATCTCCTTCGTAAAAAAAGGTAATGAGCAACATGATGAAATAATATTTAGAAAAATCGATAGTAGAAAAATTGAAGCTCGATGAGTTACGTCACCTGAAAACGATCCACTCTTCATCAGCAAGCGCTTGCAATTCTGTGTTGAATTCTTCGTATATGACCCAATTGTTCTTAAAAAATGACACCATTTCAAGCAGATTCGTATAAGAAAGAAAGCTTTTTTTAAAAATTTTTTGTTGCCTGCCAAGCTCCACCCCGCAAGGATCGCAAGTTTCTAGCAGATTTTCCCAGAAAAATAAGGATATCTCCGATTCAAAACGGACAACCGAAGAGTGCATGTGCTGAGCAGGTGTGAAATCTCTAGTAGGACTATTTAGTGATTTCAAGACGAATCAGGTAGACTGGCTTCCGATGATATTCATGAAGAAGAAAAATCCCTAGGCTGAAAAGGAACCCAAAGATCTAGTGAATGTTGGATGCGAGGATGCGAGGCAGTTAACAGAATGAAGGAAGTGCTGGGATCTGCTGAAAATGTGAGAACGGGCCATATAACAAGTACGTAAATACTTCAAAGACCGTAATCATTTACCATGTATCATAAGCTCATATGTAAGCACTCGGCATTTTTCTGAAAGCATTCTAGTAATTATGAACACTTAAGATTTTCGCCTGATCCACAGTTCTTCCCTCGCAGGTTTTTCACATCTCGAAATTAACGAATACCGGAACAATAAGGGTCAGGAGAATATAGCATGGGAGAGCAGTTCCAAGATCTGTCTCGAAATTCTCTCCCTATACGTCAACACTTTTAAAGTTAGTTCGACCTCATTGTGAAGATAAATGCCGTTAAGGTAACGGTCACGGCAGTACCTACTGAAAGAAGCTCACAGTGTGGTATTACTTTAAAATCCATCAATCCAAAATAAAGAACCTTATTGTCGTGAGATTCTTGTTTCAACCTTTATAGGGAAAACCGACGCCGAAAAAACCACCGAATTCACGGCTGATATAGGAGAATTAGTTTCTTATACCAAGTAAAAATTTCCTGCACAAGATCTTTTTGTGCGAAGAAAGAAGCAACGATTTACAGACGTCTTTGCCAGCCTCTTACTTCAAAGAAAACTTATGTCACATAAGTTTTTTGATATCTAGGGAAGTTAAAGAACAAACGGGTAAAAAAAGATTGCTTGACGATTACTGAAGAACACACCATGCATTCAACTTCAGCATATCTGGCTTACAAATTTATGGTGACCTACCGATGCATCAAGTCAATGCTGCTATCCTGAAAAACCTAGAGCAGTTTGCCAACATTTGAGATATGGAGGGCTAGGTGAGCCTCTGGCGTGGAATTGAATAAACGACAGGTGCGTCGCAGAGCACTTATAACCATCGCGCTTCACGTTTTCTAAGAAGGTCGAAATAACAAGTAAAGGGCGTTTGGGTGGTCCTAAATGTCGAGGTGATGTGACAATCGACATCAGGATTGAGCGTGAGCTGTACTGATTCTCGTCAGTTCCGCATGGAAATAATCAGAAGGGACGGACGGGCCATGTCGCCAAATTCAAAATACCCGCAGGGACTCCAAAAGTTGATTGTTAAACTGAATTCTTTTTTTTAAAACCAGAAGCAGCAGAATTATTTCATTATGTCTTAAAAAATGTGTTGCGTACTGAACTTCCATAAGTATCCCTTTTACAAAACGATTAAGTGCAAGAAAAAGTAAGTAAAAAATATAAGTATTTTCTATTCCTACCTCGAACTCTTGAATATCCGCACCGAGTGAATCCAGCACCAAAAATTCGGGTCGCTTCAAGTCAAATTGATCGCATTCTCTTCTAAAAAGCAAAAACACCTCAATGGCAAGTGAGGAATTCCTCCTTTTCTTCAGCTGCTTGTTCATTCGACTACTGGAGAAGATACAGTACTAGGAAGAATTGAATATGAAGATAAAAACTATTCTTTTCGGTGCGTACCAACTTGATAGTTGAGGAAGGATTGGTCTTTTAAATGAAAACTGTTTAGAACTTACTCAAGTTTCTCCCGTTGAACTACCAACTTATCGTATTCAATTCGCTTCCCCTTTATGAACTCAATCGCTTTCAGCATTGTTGGTCTGTAAATACCATGTGCTCGTTTGCCGTAAGTTTGAGAGAACCACTGTAACTTCTTAAACTCTACGGTAAGACGGGTTATTGCTCAACAATTAGAATAGCTTAAAATCTACTGAAATAGGTTAATACCGATCTCCTTGTAGTGCGCCACTTTTCGGCTTAAACTGATTCCATCTAGCAGCCAGTTTTTCGGACTCATCGTTGAGAGCAGCTACCCTTGTGGTGACGTTCGTTTTCAATACTTCTACCTAAATCGATCGATACCTTAATGATTTCTCAGGCAGTTTTATTTCTTAAGCATATGCTTTAATAAGTGCTTTCTCCTAACTATCTATTAAAATAGAAGGGTGTAGCTCAGTGGTTAGAAGTGTTCTGCATTGCACACGTAGTCATCAGTTCGATCCCGCGCCCCGAGCTCACCAAGCATCACTCCGGGGTTGGAAAATTGATACTGGGCTTTCTGCGAATATAGCAGCACTGATATCGCACACTTGTAGGCAACACTGTATACGCTAGATATGCATTCAGTCGTCTCCAATGATGTTTAATGACGTCGAACGCATGGTGCATCTTTCAGTTATTGATCAACGCCGACAGCTTTATCTTTTTCTTTTAATATTCGACACAACACAAGTCCTATTATAATCACCACTCATACAACTTATCGAACTGGTAATAGATTTGACGGCGAAGGATAAAACACTGACTTCTTCATGAAAAGGACCCAATAGTAGCCCTAAACAAAGCCGACCACACCTCTATTCGCTGCTTCTGCCTTTACAGTTTTTCAGGGCAGGGTATTATGTGTGATACAACTTCGGAGCGCATGTGTCTGCGGTGGAGAACGAATGCGTTATTATCCTCTCTGAGGGCTAAGGCGTTCACCGCGCTGGTGGCTCTACTAGATGGAAAACAAGCTGAGGGAAGGAAGAAACGAAGGACATGTATGGTGCAGTGCTGAATGCGTTAGCTCCCAGAAAGGATAATAGCGCGTTCGTTCCTCACCGCAAACACCTGTGGCCCGCAGTTCTGCAAATATCTCAGCACCATTGTGGTTGTATCGCTGAAACATCGTTTACGATTGTTGTTATGCAATTTTAAAAAATCTCTAACGTCTATAAAACTAATCGAATTGGGAAGTTCACGGATAAAGTTGCAAGTTTTGGAAATTCCAGCAACTGTAGCTAGGAAGGCCTACTAAACGTTTTATACACCATTTTTAAAGTTTTACAATAAAGATCTTTAGATCGAAATTGCCTATATCGAAGAGCGTGACGAATGGAAGTAGATGAGGAGGTATTCACTAGTCAAAAATATGATTATTGATCGAGTCGCTACCGAACCTGCTCTTTGATCATCATCTGATGATTGTCGAGCATCATTTCAAACTTCTCCCATTGCTGTGTGAGCGGCATCATTTGCTCCACTGAGCTACCGGCTGCCGATCGTAGTAAGATGTGCTGTTCGTTTAAAATCGCCCATGAGGCTTTCAGCTAGAACAGAACCGCTTATAGATGTCTCGTAAAGAAGAATACAGAATGCGTTTTTCAAGCCCATATAATCTTATTTAGAACCAAGGTTTAAATTACGAAAAGGACTTTTAGAGATGTTTGAACATATGAATTCCTTTATAAACAAACTTTAAATGAAAATTTTAATTGTAAAAATTTAAACAGTGCTGATATCCAAAAGGCTAATGTTTATATAAATAGTATAGATCTTCAACGAAATACACAATGTTTCAGTACTGTCACAGTACCTCTCTATTAGTCCTGCCGTACTCCATGTGGCGAGCATTCGCCTCAGCCACCTCATCAATTGATTGAGGTCTTGAGCTGAGAACATCAATCGCCTATAAAAATCTTTAATCTTTCTAAAAGCTAACAAACTAATCATATTAGAAAAAACGTCCCGAAGTCAATGAAAACGTAATAAACAGAGTTCCACGAAAAGATGCTCAATCCATGGATGGAAAGTACTTCCTTTACAAAAAATCTGGTATTACTTTCAGCGAAGTCAAAAAATAGGATAGAACACACAAAATGTCAAAAATTGAACTGTATGTTTTTGCAGATGTCAACAGAACATTTTCCTCTCGAGTAATCATAGGAGCATTCAGTCTCTACAATCCTTGAAAAACTGCAGTTGCACTCGTAAGCAAGCCTTCCTTCGATACACTGGAACTGCTGACTGCTTATGGTAAAGACATCGTAACTTTCTAAGAAGGCTATCTGGAGATTTCAGATGAAACTCAAGGCACAGCCGAACCCGCACACGAATCCATCAGAGGTGGTTGTAGAGACAACTAAACAAATAGAGGAAGTGCCGCTGTCCAAAGTCCAAGGTTGCTGGCAGCGCTTTATAACAAAGGTAGGATGGAACTGATTCGGATGTAGTTCTAAACTATAGCTTCCTCACATGTAGAAGTAGTAGAAAGTGGTTAGTCGTTATAAAAACAGTATTCCTCCTAACGGTTTACCGCCTCGTCGTGGCTGGAAGGTGTTCCTGGGTGCTGAGTTGCAATGTACAACGGGGGATTCATCCCCTTGGCAAGGTCTTCCAAGCTGAGGAGTCCGGCATTTCCACCAGGAAGCCCAGCTAAGGGTAAGCCAATACCAGGATCCGTCAACCGCCTTTGTGCCAAACTAGTCGCACGGCGGCAAATCTCCCCATGATCCACAAAGCGGTGACTGCCTGTGGTGGTGACAACCTGGGGCAGACTTTGGCCTGGCTGACCTCGGGGCTCCTGGGAACCATGATGACTAAAGCAGCAAAACTCCAAGAAAAAATGAAGATTATCCTAGGGGCCACACAACCAGTGAGAACGGACCGTCCAAGTATCCAAGTAAGGACAATATCAGTTAAGCGCCCGGCCCACATAAATTATGAAAACTATGAGATGCCTTTCATTCAAATTCCGTGCTGAATTACGAGCAATGCGCTGCTAGATCCCTCATAACCTCACTAAGCTTCTCAACCTCCGAGGTCGGAGAATTGGTACCGGACTTCTCTGGGATTGACTGACTGCCTCCAATCGGCGTGGGGACGTGCTTCCACAGCTACCACAGAATTCCATGGACAATCGGTTCGACTGGTATCGAACGACATTTACGATAAAGATAAAAATCCTCAAACAGCAGGCGAACCCATAGGTAAAAATTCGAAGACCTTTGTGAACGATGGATGCGAGAACAAATCGAATTCGATAAGTGCTGCAAACCGCACTACATGTGCTGTCGAAATTATTAAAAAAAGATTATCACTGTTTGAGCATGGATTCCTCTCTCGGTCATCCAAGAATAGCGGTGCTGAGGGTTCCAAGAGTCTCGTCGACCTTGTAGATTCCAAGGAATCAGAATATAGCTGGTAGTCGACAGCAATTCCACATTAAAATTGTGAGCAATATGCCTCCCGTTTAAATTACGATAGTTTCTATAGATTCTTCAAGTGGAAACGAGTTTACATCAATGTACCTGAGTAAGAAACTGTTGAATGTTCTGTAGTTTTGTGTTGATGCTGATTCGGAGGGTGTAGATGAGGGTCTCGAACACATGCTGCAGCAATTCGTCGATTGCCGTCTTTGCTCCAGTAGTGCTCACTACGATGCAATCGAGACGAATCTCACTTAACACTCACAGATCTCTTTCATAAATGATAACTCGTACTTTAGGTACTTTTTACTCGAAAGTTAAATTTGCTAGTTTTTTTTAAAGGGAAAGTGAACTAGTAAAATGGACATAAAAATCTTCTAAGAGAAATGGACCTAAAGGTTTCTATAGGAAGAACTCATTTCTCCCAAACTGTTCATTTTCTTCTGTTTACCGAGTACTTGGACATTTCGATGGGTGAAAAATGTTACTAACGTTCCTCTTTCTCCTTTCCTCACTATCTCTCCCTCTCCCATCCTTGAGCCCTCTTTCTTCCTCCTTCCCTCCCCCTCCCTCTCTCTCTCTATCTCCCCCATAAAACCCAGTCTTATATTACAGTTGCATTACATTTGCTTTGGCTCACTATATCAATAGTAAAACCTTGTAATCTTTCAGTTTAGATGCCAAACAATGCACATGTAGACACTACGACACCTTAAATGCAACAGAAACCTTGTGAAAAACTGCGAAATCACATATTTCGAACCATTTTTTACTAATCTTGGAAAACAAATCTACTAAAAGGACACTGAGCCCACTTGTTGCAAAACTGCAATAATAATACACTAAACATTATGGAATCCACTGTCGCACCTCTAGTGCTCACCGCGACTCACAAAGATTCTGCCGGATAACCAAGCAGGAGACTACTTACGTGATACTTGAATAACCCATCTTCACTGGTTGTGCGGGCCCCAGCATAATCTCCATTTTATCGGAGTTTTGCTGGTTTAACCATCGTGGTACCCTAAAGTCCCGTGGTCGACGTGGCCAAAGTCTGCCCCGAGCAGGAGATTCAGAAGCAATTTTCTTAAAAACTTAGAACTTTTTTTTTCAAAACGCCGAAGAAATGCAAAAGGCCAAAAGTAACGGTTAGTCGCAGATTTGACATTTTCGGGATAGCACAGAGGAGCGATAAATTTTTCTTGCATTCCTTCAATGGCTTTATATTCCCCTTCCAAAATATAACTTTTTTCATTTTTTATCCATCGCTAGGAAACCCCACTCACTTAGGTAACTTTGCAGCCTCACGGCCTTTCGCTTTCACAAGTTTCAGTTGTGCTTCCCAGTCGGATGCCGTTTTTAGAGTTTCTTCAATCAACAACTCTAAATCCACCTGTGCCGGGAAAAGCCAATCCTTAAAAATAACGCATAGCCAACAAATAACAACTTAATGGAATGAAGAAAAATATTCTACGTTTACCGCAAACTGTGCATCGACTTGTTCAACAGCTCTCATCAGTTGTTCGGCTTTCACGTAGACCCGTGGGAATCGATCGGCGTTGTCGGCCAACATCGTCGAAAAGAACGTGGACTGAAGTGAAATATCGGTACCATTGGCGGACTGCCACTTACAGGTAGAACACCATTCAGCTTGAGGTCCACACCGTTCCAAACTTCACATCAACTAGAACCTCACCCTTGCTAATCTAATGCGCTTCCTTAGTGGAAAATGTCTTTGTTTGGAAAGGAGAGAGAGGAACAGAAACATACAGAGAGAGGAGCGCGGAGGAGAAAAAACGAAGATACAGAGAAAAGAGAGAGAGAAATTAAATGCTCACCGTGTAAAATGTGGCCATTTTGAAAACTAGGTGAGAAAAACAAAGAGAGGAAAGAAGTGCGAAAAATGCGACAGAAAGACGAAGAGAGGAAGATGAAGAGATAGAGAGACACGGAGGCAGAGAGGGAGAAGGAGTTTGGCGTTGTTCTGCAGGTTTCTTTTGCCCAACTGATTCTTATATTATCAAGAAATATTTACTGTGTAGGAAAGGCGGTGACAAAAAGAATGTTTATGGTGGCAAATTTTCTAAGCATCAGCTAATACTATCGCCACATTGTCTTCCTAAAACACCTCTAGAAAATTCAATATTAGTCAAAAGGACCAAGCCAAAGGACTAAGTAATGCACTTCGTAGTAACATATTTTCGTACCAGTTATTGATCAATATTGATTTCCAAGGGAAAATACCTGTTCGCCCTCGAGGACACCTTTAAATTTTAGCGGTATGCTGAGAAGCTTTCGCATTTCCTTGTAGTACTTAACCCGAATTTCTTCAATCGGTGGACGGAGCTGTAATTTTTTCTGCCTAAAAAGCAGAGTAAAAAAATTCTTAGGTGATTTATTTGCTACTTGCCATATCATCCTTTTGCACAAAAATCAAAGAAATGATTGTTTCATTCGACTGAATTACTGGGATATTTTTCTACTTTCCAAAGAATTTTCACTTCTGAAAAGGATTTTACTGATGTTCTTTCCAAATTTTCCAAAGTTCCCTAGTCATGAGTTGGATTGTAATTGATAGAAAGAAAGACAGATAGACATTGATAGAAAGACAAAAGATATATTACATAGATATAAAGGGGAAAGGGATAGAGCTCTCGGCTTTGATCAATTCCTGAGGGACGCGCCATGCATTCGACTTCACTAAGCATCGTTTGGAGGTGATTGAATGCATATTTGGCCTTTTGCAATGATTTTCGATGGCCTGCCGATATATCGAGCCAGTGCTGCTATCCTCCCAGACAGGGCTGGTACCAATTTGCCAACGCTGGAGGGATGGAAGACTGGTGGGCCATGGGCGCGGGGATAGATTCCACGTGTGTTGCAGTGCGCCTCCTACCACTGCGCCACACGCGCCCTAATTCATAGAACCAAAAATATATTCCTATTAATTGAGTGAAGAAAAGCTGAAAGTGGTCAACAAATGGTTGGAGTGTTACTGCAGTGAAAAAAGATGAATGTAGTGTTTAACAAGAAAAGAAAACAAATTGGCATGGGTAAAAGACCAAAAGAAGGAAAACTAGTAAGTATCGATTAAACTCACGCAAAAACAAGTTGGGTATGAATTACGGGAATCTGTGTGTGAAGGCTTTCGATCCCCCATTTATACTGCAACTGGAGGGCCTAAAAACCGTAGCAGAGTTTTCTGATGGATATAAAAGGATAAGGGCTAAAGCTATTGGCGTTCATCAATCCCTGAGGGATGCGTCATGCATTGGACTTCATTAAGCGTCGTTGGAGGTGACTGAATGCATATCTGGCCTTCACAGTGACTCGTAATGGCCTACCAGATGTTTCGAGCCAGTCCTGCTATCCTCACAGAATGGCCTGCTAAGAATTTGCCGACTCTGGAGGAATGGAAGGCTTGGTGAACCTGCGGAGCGAGGTCAAACCAATGTGTATTGCAGGGAGTCTCAACCACTGCATTACACGTGCTCTTTCGAATGGTTATAGGCAGCGCTTCGTTAATTTTCAACTGCTTTGGGACTTTGGCTTTTTCTATGCTATACAAAATCTAGTGTGTTCAACTAGCTCCTATATGCAAAACTCTTCCCATTTTCGTTTTCGTGTTGTTTTTTTCTGCAAAAAAGAGACGGAAAATCACAATGTTAGCTGTACTATTTACTGCCTTCTAGAATTTTTCACGGCAGGGTATTATGTGTGATGCAACCACAGCGATGCTGAGATATTTGAAAACTTCGAACCGCAGGTGTCTGCGGTGTGGAACGAACGCGCTATTGTCCTTTCCGGGGAGTAACGCGTTCACCACCACACCATGCGGGTCCTTCGTTTCGCCTGTCTCTCAGCTAGTTCTATCGATCAGCGCCATCAGCAATCACCCGTCAGCGGAATTGATCTGGGGAACCAAAATCGGCAATGAAATGTTAACTCTTTGCAAATACCTCAGCAACTTTGTGATTGCATCACATGCAATACTCTGCCATAAAAAGTTGTAAAGAGCAGCAAATAAAAAGTTAACATTGTGATTTTCAACTATAGCCTCAGCTTAGCTGGGTTCATTGCCGACTTTGGCTCCCCAGATCAATCCCGTTGACGCGTGATTGCTCACGGCACTGATCAATAGAAGTAGATGGGAGACAGGCGAAACGAGGGACCCACATGGTGTGGTGGTGAACACGTTAGCCCCGGGAAAGGGTAATAATAATGACTATATTTTTGCACAAAATCTTTTACACTTCTCACGTTTTCTTCAGTTAATTTTTTTTTTGAAAAAATGCACACGCCTCTTTGCATTAAAGTCTTCCATAAAGAGTTTAAAGTGAACATCAATCGATTTCCAGTCAAATAGCTCATCTCAACGTAGGTTTGTATTCCCAGCGAACTTCTTGGATATTCGCAAACCCAAGCGTACTTTTAAAATAAAAGCCTGCCTTGTAAAGTTGCCAATTCCAGTGAATTTGCCAAGGTTTGAGATTCGCCTTCGTAGCGCCATGGAGTAACTCTTCTGTGGAAATCTATGAAAAAACTCCGTCAATACAAATTGAATTTTTTCAAACGAAAAATGTAATAGAAGCCTCATCAACGGGCAATAATCTGACCTTTGAACGAATTTGCACGAGGATCTCTTTCCATTTGTTCACTTCCTTGAGTAAATCAAGATTGACAAGCTCCATAACCAAATGAACGATCTCCGTGTGAGCGTTTCGTAGACGTCTGAAATTTACATAACCAGCTGAATTAAATGCACTAATTAAGAGTTTTGTAGAAATTAGCACAGTTAAAACTATTTAACAGCACTGCAAGAGCAATTTTGTAAGTGTATCTCTAAGGAATTCCATCGATTCAAGAAAGAGTAGCTCTTTATTTTTCTACTCCTTTTCCATTTCTCACTTTTTATCCTTTATTGAAAGCCTTTTTGAAAGAAGCAAAAGATGAGAAAAAGGTGAGATGTTAATCTTCTTAGCCCCATTAAAAACAATCTTTTCATAAGCTATCGATAGCAAAACACCTGGGATTCTAATGGCCTTATGGAATAAATCAAAAAATCGATTAATTGATCGACGTATAGAGCAAATGATAAGAAAAGAGAACCTGTTGTGATTCGAGAGTTTATCGGATGCCAGTTGAAGTTTTGCGATGAAATCCTCAAGTTGTTTCGGATCCTCCCATGTCACGTGCGAAATCGCTGATTGTTCGTTTTTCTTAGAAATCACTAGACGTTCAAACGCGATCGCTTCGTCAAGCATCAAAGCCTGAAGCAAAATTATTTCCATTCTCAAAGCTTCCGAGTTTCTTTGCTCACTCCCGTATCAATCAAGAGTTACAGTAACCAGCGCTGTAATTGCTTAACTGCGAGATACCGTAAGGCTCCGTTGAGCATGTTCGTCCCTACAGTTGCGACATTAAATTCTTTCACTATATGGAGAAGTTAACGAGGTATTAAGAAAAACTTTTATTTAATTCAGAAACTTTGCCTATGTAATAGTTAACGTTAAACCGCTGATAGATGGGTTATCGATAGATGAAATCATCTATCGATTCACGAAACGACATTAGTTGAGGGCCTACGTAGCAAGGCGGCTCAAGTTTTTCTTCGGAAAGGTAAGTAAGTATAGTAATCAATGCCTGATGGTACTATGTTTCACTCATCCACCATCTTCAAAATTCATATGAAAAAAGGCGTCGGTCAGTTTTTGAAGGATGCGCCATGCATTTGATTCCATTTGTAGCATAGTAGAGGCGACAGAATACAAATTTTCCCTGTATAAGAAAATCTGTTGGTTAACCGATGTAGAAGTCCGTCATTTTATGCTCCCGGGCAAGTGCTGAGCCAATATGCAGACTGCAGAGAGATGGAAGGATTGGTTTGCCTGGAACATGAGACCGAACCAAGGCCGTGTGTGTATTGCAGCGTACCTCTAACCACTGCGCAGCCGAAAAAAGCGTTTGGAGGACGTTTTTTAAAAAACCTTCAAATAAGGTGACTAGGCTGATTGTCAAAGACATTCAAATTTTGTTATTCAATGGGTTTTACCTAACTCCCATCCAAAATTAGATGAAGGGATTATTCCAAACACAAACAAGATCATTCTTCACTCTCTATACCTGTTTATCTGTTTGTTGCTCCATTTCTAAAAAGCGCCATGATTTGGTTCTCGAAAAAAAACTGCAGAGTGGAGTACCTGCTGACATGGTAGCATTTGCTGGTCAATGGTATTGTAGAAGTGAGCGATTTGTTTGAGCAGAACACCGAATCGGTAGAATTTTTCGCCCTGATTCGCACAGTTCACAATCTTCGACGGAATTTTCAGGCCCAAACTGGAGAGTTGTCGAACCTGAAGAATGCCTAGTGTTTTTCAAGACACCTTTTAGACATCGACAACCTACGAACGTTTTCTGGAAGATTTTAGCTGAAAGAAAAGATAGAACATGTTCGAAGGGTCTATAGTACACTAATCTTTCAAGTTAAACTGGAAAACCATAAGTAGAAAAAGGTAGAACATCACTTCATATTCGACATGATTTCTAGGTACGATGAAAAGAAAACAAAAACTAATAAAAAAAACTGAACTTGAAAAAATGGAAGATCGGTCTTGGGGACAAAAATGTTGAAGACAAAATTCGTCTGTTATTTAGCCGTTGATATACACTAAATAAATATAAGAACAGAAAATATTTGAAGAACGAGATCTGTTTTCGTTCTTCCATGTTAGGACTCGTCTTCCAAGTTATCCGTTTATTAAAAATTATGGGATCGAAATAATGGTCTTTGCTACTTCCTATCAAATTCACATTTTTGATTTTCTTTATTCTGAACGCAACCTTCCTAAAGGACATATTCATCATCCAGGGTGTTCTATCACTTTTTGGGTAAATTCTGGATATCATTTATCACAAGAGTGGTGATGTAACTCGAAGAATTTGGCGCGGATCTCTGTAGTTACCATGGCCCTCAAAGTTTCTGTTATCTAAAACCTACTTCTAACCCTCGAAATAATGGTACCCTTGTATTCCAGTCTCATGGTGTTTCGTTTAAGATAACTTAATCCAATTCCTCTATTGACATTCCAGTCAGTTTTGTGGCGAAAAGCGAAGCGTTATCCAGGAAATATTCATGGCAGTGGCAAAGAGGCTGATTTTTGTAACAGTTTTTGGTTCAGCTGAAAAAATTCATAAAACAGTATGTCTTGTCAGTCCAAGAAGATGGATTCAACCAACTGCGAACTTGGAGATCGGGTTCCAACTGATTCGATGACTCTTCGTTGACGGAAAGTCAAAATGATAGGCCAGGGTTGTTTGTATAACAGAATGAGCTTTGAGAACGTGATCTTCAGAAAGTTTATTAGTACAGCTGAAGTAGCAAAAATTTAGAGATGATCGCGAGTATGGACTGGTCGTAGTAGTATTTCGCACGTACAGTAAGACCGCACTCCAAAGAATTTCATCAAGTTAGATGAAATCCATGGCGCAGAATGCTAAGAATACAATCCAAGCCGCCTATGCTCGAGTTCATCGGTCAGCTAACTACACAGATATTACGTAACAAACTTGTGGAAGATGAATGATCTAAACAAATGTGTCGATTATTCAGGCCGGGATTAAGTGAAAGCCAGTTTCCTAAAGTGTTACTTCGTTATTGCTAGCTATTCTCATACTCATCTCATACACTACAGTGTGGATTGTCAGCATAATTGCTTGACAGTTCGCTTCGCTTGACAGTCAGTCAGCAATTGCCCTGTATAAAAGGAGCGCTGCCGAGTGAGGTTCTCATTCGAGTGGTGCTTCACTCAGAAAGACTGGACTCGATACGACTACGAAAACCCATAACGGGATAAGTAACGACCATGGACCATCGACCCGAATAATTCCGGCTCTGAAGCAAAAAAGTTTTCGAAATATTGACCCAATAAAAAGTGTGTGAAAACCTCATGTAAACTGAAAATCTAAACAGATATATTAACTACACAGATTTCTTCACCAAATACGACTTTAGGTCGAAATTGAGAAGCAGTGCAGTCAAAATAAGCCTTGGCCATCCTTTCGCTAATTTTATCAGGGCCAGATAGCGCACTAAACTTCACTGTCCATATGGACACAATGTTGCTTTCCTTACTGCTTTCTTGTTCTTATGTCCTCGCTGTAAAATGCTCCTGAACGTACACCAAAAGAGTAGAAACAAATATGAACATGGAAGAAACAAACCTGAACAAAAATCGGCAGGCGACATATGTTTTAGCTTAGTGTAATGCGTAGAAAGTGGCAACATATCCTCGAAATTCTCAATAGCAGAAAGAAATTTCGTAGCTACACATTTCAGCCACTCGTATAAAAAGGAGATTCTACCGTGTGTGTTCTTTACAACGAACAATAGATCGTACAAAAAGGATTACTACTTCACGTTTCTTCGTTCTTAAAAATATCTGGTGTTCAAAAAACAAAAGCGAAAAAAAACAAAAAAGGAGACAACAGACGCACCTCTTTTAGTAACTTTAGCAGCCGATCGCTGTAGTTCACGTTAAGCGTTCCGTTCTTCTTTTCTAACACCATGATTCTTCCTGTGGTTTCGAGCGCTATCGAATCTGTGGTGTCATCGATAGATTGAATCGTCTCGCGACACCTTAATTACAACGTTCTTGGCAATTTCAACGCATCTCTAAACGTAAGTATACATGTAAGATTTTCGACAATTATGCGACAGGACGGTTAGAGATGCTATGCAACACAGACATGCTCGCCGGTTCGAACACGAGCATAACCAACCAAAATCAACATCCCTTCGGGGACGGAAAATTTGGAACGGACATGACTGCAGAGGCTTCTTCCGGTCCATAAGAATCGCATATAACGAAAAAATCATAGCGCTCTAACAGAAAGAGTTGTTTCCATGGAGAGCCGCAGAATGATTAGAAGATTTTGAGTAGCTGCTCAACTCATAAGCAAATTCGAAGACCGCTGTAGGTGAAAATGAACCAAATGTATTAAATTGCCGATGTCCGCAAGATATGTGAGGACGGACCATATAAATAAATCAATAAAACTTTTTGAAAACACCTGTACATGGTTTGCGACTTCGTGAAGCTTATATTCCTATGGTTTACAGCTGTGCGCATGCGGAGTGGTTCCACTATGATTTATTGGTCATCTTTCAAAAAAATCAACTTTAGTTCAAGTGTTTTGTTTTATACATTTTTTATAATGCTCATTTCCGTTGAAAGGTGGTTGTTGACGACACCGCTAAGGTAAGACAATGGCTGAGTAGAAAAGCAAAGTGACTGCTTCAGTGGTGCAGTGTCAACACATGAGTTCCCGGGAAAGGTAACCGTGGGTTCGATCTGTCCTAGAGTTCGAGTTTTGCAAATACCTGGGTATCATTGCTGTTGTATTTCCCATAATGCTCTGCCACGAAGAAATAAGAGGAAGTGAAGGTTATATATTTGGTTCAAGAGTACAACATTTCCATCAGGAAGCCGAACTAAGAGTAAACTTACTTATTTGATACTTGAACGGCCCCCCCCCTCACTGGTTGTGCGGGTCCCAGCATAATGACCATTTTCGGAGATATCCTGGTTAAGTCATTGTGGTTTCCTGGAATCCCGAGGTCAGCCTGGTTAAATTCTGCTCCAGGTCGTCACCATCACAGGCAGTCGCAACCCTTGTGGATCAGAGGGATATTCGCCACCATGCGACTTTGATACCAGGGCGGTGGTGGACTCTGGCATTGGTTTACTCTTAGCTAGGCTTCCTGATGGAAACGTCGGACTTCTTGTCAGCTTGGGTGACCCTTCCGGTGGACGAGTCCCCGCGCTGTACATCGCAGTCCGACACCCAAAAACACCTCCCAGTTACGATGAGGCGGTGAACCGTTGGAAGATAAAGGTAAACGAACACGAAGAATTACAGCGGTCCTAGTAGCAAACCCATTGAAAGCTGGCAGACGCTCCGAAAATTTATAATACTCGGCGGCTGCCTCTGGCGACCACTTTGGAGCGTTCTTGCGCAATAGTAGTGTAAAACTGATCGGGTCAGTACGATCCTCTATGAGTGGGCGATGCCCAGTTTATGTTCTAATTAGAAGAAAATCAGGTTCATGAATGAAGTGCGTGAATAGTCATGTATCGCACAGAAATTCCCAAGAACGACTTTCTTTCATTAAAAATCCAAAACATAAAGATGAAGGACGAACGGAGAAGATGAAAGCTTTATAATTAAACCTTTACATTGGATTAGATTTTAGCCTAACACTGGCATATCATTCTCTTAAGGATTGTTAACCAGTTTTCAGGCAAAAAAAATTTGAGAATTCGTGTAGTGTGGTGGTAGTGATCCCTTCTATTACGCAGATAACCCAACAAACTCATGTGTCGGATCGACCCTTCATCGAGTGCACCAATTCCCTCATCTCTTCGGAGTCGGAAAATTGGTGCTAGACTTGTCAGAGACAAGCGCACTCGCTCCAATCCATATGGAAAAGTCGCAGGACGGTTATGTCAGGAATCCAGGAAAAATCGATTCGACGAATGTTCAATGAACGTTCATGAAGAAGACGTCAATCCTCAAGCACCAGCCAAACCTACACGGCGAAAGTTTGAAAGCAACCACAAATGTTGGATGCGAGGAAACGAATCGAATTCAAGAAGTGTTGGTATCCGCAAAATACGATACATGCATGGTAGGCGCATGTAGAAAACGATTGGTACATTCCTCTTCCTATGTGAAGGTTGCAGAGGTGGCCTCAGTACTGAAAAGGTGAGCATCAAAAAATGGACGACAATTTATAAAGCTGCGATTGAAATTTGGGTTTAAAATGTTGATATCATCTGAAGTGACTTCGTCTTTGCTGCTGATGTAGCACTCATTTTCGAGCAGTATATTTCTAGAACACATCACTTAAGAACTTCGATCTAGCACAGTGTCGATTAGATGGACAGGAGCGACACAGCAGCCCTTCAAGGCATGTGGTAGCTCATCTGCTTGTCTGCCAGCAGACCTCGAACAGGGAATGCATCCGTCGTGAAACCCGTCCTCCCGTGTTCGGTTAAAGAATATGTTATAAGCTGTCTTATCGACGCCTGTACAAGGCGAACGAACCTAACCACGGATGATGGCGAACAATGAATAGCATTGACCCTCTATTCAACGCAGAACTGGCACTGAATTTCAAACGATGACGTCAAAGTTCCCCAACTACAGTATCCAAGATTCAATCCAACACTTCTGAGCTTCTAGCAAGAACAGTTGGTTAAAATCCTAGCAATATGATAAGCGAATAATAACACTTTTAACGAATAATCACGAAAACTAACAATTTCACATTGACTGGCAATAAGGACCACGCTTTTTAAGTACCAATTACGATGCTCCTTAATGTTTTCAAATCGGAGCAGTAACTATTTTACAGTAACAATAAAATTTTAGATAATTATGGTGAGAAAAATTTAACAAAATAAAACAAGGATCGTCCTTATAAAAGTGATGATCGGTAATCACTTATTTTATACGGATTAAGGCAGGTATTTATAGATGAAGGATATTCGTGATGGTTATGGGAAGCACAAATGTTCTTGCTGGGGTAAAAAACGAAACAACCTCCTAAACGGAAAAAAACACTCTCCTACAACATCACATACTTTCCCAGTTGGAAATAATATTAGATGCCTCCTAACGGTTTACCGCCTCATGGTGGCTGGGAGGTGTTCCTGGGTGTCGGACTGCGATGTACAGCGGGTGGATTCGTTCCTCCGGCAAGGTCTCCCAAGCTAAGAAGGAGTCTGTCGTTTCCATCAGGAAGCCTAGCTAAGAGTAAGCCAATACCAGGATCGACCACCACCCTGGTATCAAACTAGTCGCATGGTGGAAAATCTTCCCCTAATCCACAAGGACTGCGAGTGCCTGTGGTGGAAACGACCTGAGGTAGACTTTGGTCAGGCTATCCTCGGGATTCCAGGAAACCACAATGGCCTAATCAGCAAATATCCGAAAAATGGTGATTATGCTGGGGACCGCACTAGTGATGACAGGCCGTTCAAGTATCAAGTAAGTGTAGGAAAGATGCAGCGATTTTTCTCTGAAATTCGAGTGCTAAAGAAATTTCTCCTTTGCCGGATTACTGAAAGAAGCGTTACAAAACAGAGTCTAAGCCAGTCAAAGAATGACTAATTAACTGCTTCATTGCATTTCCCTCAAAATTATTCGCGATAGATTACCGTATCTCACCATTCGTCGTAGCTTTCTTGTTCGGCCTGTTTGAGCTTATCCATGAACGATTTCATGCGGCTATTGAACGACGGATAGGAAGCGAGGTCGTCGAGCAAAACAGAACATAGCGATTGCATATTTTCTAACTGAATCAACGATAAATGAAAATATTGCTACTAAAGGTTGCTAAAGGCATTCAACAAGCAGTAATATTTTAATGGGGAAGAAAACCGAACAAGAAAAAACAATCAATAAGGTGGAAGACCCTTTATGAGATAAACGCTTTTGTGAACCATAACTAGTTCTTGGCAATACAAGAACCTTTCGATCCACAGAAGGATAGCGCAAATTAAGAAAAATCAATTTTAACCCATATAGGTTAAGAAGGTTAAAACGAATTATAACTTAACAAGGTACCTTGTTGATTTGTTGTCTGATCCAGACCACTTTGGCTGCAATCTCAGTAAGAAATCGACCGCGTTCCGAAAAAATCGTCATACGTTTGTCGATTTCCTTCTCCTTGTCTAGCAGTTTTCCAGAAAGTTGAGCTAGTAGCGTTTCTCTGCAAGATAATGATACCCCATTGTTCCAACAGAAACGTGATAGGCGACAAAATTTAGAGATTTCCTAATAAGAAACAAGTACGGAAGAGAAGTAAGGGAGATCTTCAAATGATTTAAAGAAGATCTTATCAAAGCAATTGATATAGGAGTTATTTTCTTCGTATTTTTGTTGAGCAAACGCGAGGTGTGCTCAACAAAAATACGAAGAAAATTACTTGATCAATGCCGAGGTTAATAGAAAGTCGGTCGTGGCAGATATAGGAGTTATTTCTCAACCCATTAAAAGATCTCGATTTCTTAAGCACAAAAATTTCTGTGAACTCATCACTGACCTTTCCGACTGAAGTTTTTCTTTAATCTTTGCCCGGCAAAGAAAACTCTTGTATTTCTCGAGATCGGCTGTGAGCTAAAAAAAAATCAGCATGCTAAATTTGTGTGTCCTGGTTTTGATCGTGCGATGTAGTAATCAATTCGTATTAAAGTAACTGGAATTTCAGCACCTACATGATTTCTCTCAAGTTTATCCGGTTGTAGTCGACTTTTGAGCGCTGGAATTGTCCGATCAATAATCGAATCCATAGATTTCTCGGTGACCTTGCAAAGATTTAATAAAATTAAACCGAAACTTAAGTTCAGTGGGTTTCTTTTGGTTACCAATGAGTGAAAAAACACAAGAGAGCTCTGACTTGTCTAGAGGCTTACTAGCATTCTCGATTTCCAGATATTCTCTGTGAATGGATTATAGGCCAGTACGGCTGTGTTCCTCATTGCTGTCTCGATGACTCTGTCCACTTCAGCTTCGATTCCTGGCTCGTTCAACAACAAAGCGATTTGTGGTCCAAGTTGCTTTAAGGATAGCACCTATTAAGAATAAGATTAAAGCGATAGAGTTATTTACCACCAGAGGAAAAGCTTTTAACATTGATGGACTCAAGAGAGCATCATCAGAATCTGCCGCCGAGTTCACATCACTGCCATTCTTCCATTCTTTCAAGAAACAAGACACTTTCGCTACGACGGTTCTTATACCTACTGTTGTCAGCAAGAACGCAGCCACGGTAAGCTAACGGAGCCATGCCATTTAAAATGGACTGTACCTGGCTGAGCTTCCAGCGACAATGATCAACTCCTTTTCAGCTTGGGTGACCATACTGTAAAAATGTACTCCACCTGTACATCGCAATTCGTCCCACCCAAACAGCTCATAGATGTGATGATGAGGCAAAATACTGACGATGTAAGCGAACTCAGAAACCCATTTGGACGAAAAAAGTACATAAGGAACGGAAAAGAACCTGTAATTGGTGCGCAAACGTTCATAGAAATCTGCAGTCTATCCACAGACGAGCTCTTGCTGTGACTTTGCTAGAAATCTTTTATCCATCAATTCTCGATGCTAATTCTCAAAAAAAGTAATTGCTCCTGCGTACTTCACGGCCCATATAAAAATGTTTAGCTTCTTTAAGAGGATGCTTTGTGAGAATACTGATGGCAATTTCACGATTCACAAGGACTAACGATTTCATGCTTTGAAACCAATAACGAATGCGCACAAGTTTCCAGGATTTCATGGAGAAAGGCACTCTATAAGCAGTCAACAAGTCAATAGTGAGGAAGAACGGCAGGTCGTCAAACCGTAGCCAAATCCACATTCGAGCCTGGTCACGCTCTGGATGGCACTTGAACGACAACGAGAAGCATAGTACAGGGTTACGAGGAATAGATGGGGACGCATCACCTAATGAATTAAAGAATAAATAAACTAAGAGCGAGAACAACCTAGTATTAGAAAGGCAATTAAATCTGCTTAGCATGGCTCTGCCCGGAACAACCAAATCACCCATCATTCTGTGCACTGGAACTTGACTGGAGTGTCAGACTTGCTTGGGAAGCTCGATCCGATCAACAATTCCTAGAAAACACTCTGGCACAGTTATTCAAGGGTCAGATTTCGAATAGAAAGAGTCTTCTCGATAGAATTCAATGAAATTCATAGAGAAGACGAAAGTGCCCAAGCAGTATTCCAAAGTGCACGTGAAATTCCAGAGACCCTCAGAGATATCAATGCAAGAAAACGAATCGAATACAAGTGCCGGGATCGGTATAGTATGTATGAGACAGAGTCATGTAAAACAAAGAAGAAGACGAATAAACTCTTAATAGACTATAATTTGTGAAACCTCTTCCAGTCTTTTCTTAAATCCTTGCAAATACTTCATCTGCACTGGTTCGCCTTGCCACGGTCCATCAGCTTGGCGCTTCCACGTCTGACCGGTCATCAACTGTACCGACAGTTCCCATTGGCCACAGCATGCAATTCCTAGAGGCACAACAACAAATCTTCATTTCACCAACGACCATAAAAAATGCTAAAACATGAATACACTTGTCAAGCCATTTTTTACAGGACCAACAAGCTCAGGTTTCAATTTCATTCATGCTCTCTCTGTTTCTAAGGACTATACTGTTCGTAATTTTGCTACAAGGTATTTGCTTCCTATTACAAATGACGCCGATGACATCCACTAATCCACTACCTTTTTTGTTGGATTTTTTATACTTGAAAACCATCTTTCTCTACAACAACCGCATATTTTCTTCTCGCTGAGAAACTTGAAATTCTTCGATATTTCTGGCACTAATGCCACCATTCTAGGAGGTTTTCCTGGGTGTAAAGTTGCGTTGCACAGCAGGGTGATTCATCCCCCTAGCAGGGTCTCCCAAGCTAAGAAGGAGTTCGAAGTTCCCCTCAGGAAGCCCAACTACAGGTAAACTAATGCCAGGATCGGTCCCCGTACTGGTACCAGATTAGCTACGTGGTAGTAAATCTCCCTCTGATCACCAAGTGCTGCGACTGCCTGCGATAGTGAACACCTGGGCAGACTTTGGCTAGGCTGACCTCGGGATTCCAGCGAACCACAATGGCTTAACCAGCAAATCTCCGAAAAACGGAGATTATGCTGGGGCCCGCACAGTCAGTGAGGACGGGCCATTCAAGTATCTAGTATCAGGCAAGGCCACTATCTCCAAATCAGAAAAAATAGTTTCCATCTAACGATCCGCAATGTTCTAATTTTTCAGTGCTATAACGCGTTATCTCTTTTACGGTGTTTACTTGCTATCCATGACAGTACTTGAGGTTTTGATCCATAATGAAAGTAAATAAGAAAGAGATGAAGTACAAGAGTTGTTTTTTTTCTCATCCGAAAGTATGCTGTTCCTACCCGCACTGAGTTCTTCAGTAACTTTTGCGTTTTTCCATAAACTTTCCGGATCGATTTTCAACGACAACTGCTCGCATAGGTAGGATCCTGAATATGTGGATATTTCTAGGGACGCCGATGTCCTTCTAATTGTCAAGAATAGTTCAACTTAAAATCTGCTACAACGGACAGAAAAAGTAGGTGAGAAAACCCACTGAACAGATTTATTTCAATCGAAGATTTTTACATTTCAAATTCAAATTTCAAATATTTTTCTTTTTGAAGATTTCAAATAAAATTTTTACAAAGAAATTCAGGTTCCAACTTAAGCAAATTTTAGAAAAGTCAATTCTTAAATGAATGTAAGTGCCAGTTGTTGACCTATTGAATAGTTTAGGCCGAATAAAGGAGAGAAACCAAAGTCGAGAGAACTGTAAAATGAAAGAGACAAAAGACAAGCGAAAGGAAATGTGCTACTCATAAAAGGAAGAGAGAAAGTGTAAACGTGAGAAATCATGAAAAATTCAGAAGAAAGAAGAAAGTAGAAATATATCGAGAAGCAGAACAAGTGATCAGTTGTTTTTAACTCTTGGTGATGAACAACACGAATCTGATGAACGTACCCATGCACTGGATGAGACTACGCATTCTTGTCTCAGGATAGGACGGCTGGCTGTTCCAAAGCGCATCACAGCAGTCCTCGAATGCCTCCACTAACGTGATCAACTCGTCTACAGATCGATCCTGAAAAGATTTTCCGAAGTCCACTGGAAACGAATATTTCACTCGTCTTTACAAAAATCTCAAAAATCTGTTGAGAATCTGACACAAATAAAAACGATCGCTACACTGAAATTCCGACTGCTCACGGACTGTTATGTACTCTTAAAGCGAGTGAAGCTCGAAACGATGACAGAAAACAGGAATAACTTAGATGAACCTCGGAATTCGTGAGATCTTCAGAAGATGTGGTGAAATAAGAGCTAGCACGAGTAAATGTTATCTGCTAAGTTGGTTTGATAAAATATCTCATGTCACTGGAAAGTCCTAATTGAAAGGGGTGGGGTGGTTCTTAATGGCACTCAAAAAATAAGGCTCACACATACTCTGGGAAAACTCAGCAAGTTGCTCGCATGTCTACACACACCACTTACCAAAACTAGTGGCTAATTTGTCTCCTCAACCCTTTTCAAACCTTATTGTTAGCTACTATAATGCTGAGATATTTGCAAAACTCTGGAGATCGAACGCCCTATTGTCCTTTCCGAGGAGTAACGCGTTCACCACAACACCATGCTGGCCCTTCGTTTCGCCTGTCTCTCAGCTGGTTCTATCGATCGTTGACGGGTGATTGCTGATGGGAAAAGATCGATAGAACTAGCTGAGAGACAGGCGAAACGAGGTACTCGCATGGTGTGGTGGTGAACACGTTACTCCCCGGAAAGGACAATAGCGCGTTCGTTCCCCACCGCAGACAATTGCGGTCCGGAGTTTTACAAATATCCTGCCATCATTATAGTTATATTTCACATAATTCTCTAGCATTAAAAAAACAATAGCGAAGAAATAAAAAGTGAGTACATTGAAATCAGGTTGTGACAAACATCAATGTCGATCTAGAAGTGCTCCGAGTCGAATTCAAAAACGCCTTTAACGAAAAGTAAATGAATAAAGCGAAAGCGACAAGCGCAAATCATAATAATAAACATATTGATTTCAACTTTCAGATATCAGATGTGAATAACGGATTTGGTTTCTCACATAAACGTCGATCATTCGGTTGACTAAACGTAGAAATCGCTTCCGTTCCGACGAATCCTTCATGCGTGACAACTAGGCTCTTTATCAAGACCGACTTTCTATTGATCTCGGCACTGATCAGCAATTTACTGTTCTCTTCAATGAGCAAACACGAAGTTGGTATTATGGTATTTATCAACACACAAAAGGGCACGTGCGGCGCAGTGGTCGGTTGGAGGCGTCCTGCAGCACACACGTGGAATCGATCCTCGCGCTCATAGCCCACCAAGCCTTTCATCCCTCCAGGGTCAGTGCACTGGTACCAAACTTGCAAAAGAGAATAGCAGTCTGACTAGATACATCGGTAGGCCTCCGTGAGTCATTGTAAAGGCCAGATATGCATTCAATCACCTCCAAACGATGTTTAGTAAAGTCGAATGCATGACACATCCCTCAGGGATTGATCGACGCCGACAGCTTTATCCTCTTTAGCTTTTATCAACGCACAATAGCTTAGGCTTCGTCGGTTTCGGGTTCTTTACAGCTTGCAAAGGTCAAATTGACGTGCAGTCTACTAAGCGGAACGCTTTCATAACACTAGCAGATAAGAGTTAACTTATAAATTTTCATTCACATAATATACAGCTTTTGTAAAACACTCACCGTTTTGTGTAAATCTTCCAGTCATTTGGTGGTGACCAGCCGCACAAAGTGATGGGCTAGGAATGTGCTAGGATCAGGTCGTAGAGTCACGCTGATGTATGGTGCTAGGGCATGTGTGATGACACGACACTCTTCCTTACAGTTCATTTTTGGATTTTTGAAGTTGATCGAAAACGATTCAAAAGTTTTACATGCTCCCTGTCTTGGATCCCTGTGCGAGGATCGTGGCGGCTTTGAAGTTCTATCTGATAAGGTTATGAAAGCGTGTGGTTGAGTAGATTGCATGTCAATCTGACCTTTCGATGCTCTGAAGAAAGCGAAACCCCTGAAACGTCAGCTGTTGTGCGCTAAAAAATTCTACAGTGCCAACGTCGTTTTTGCTCACTAAAAGAAAGCAATAAATTAGGTTCTTTCCTATTCAAAAGATTAGCGACGGCGTGTTGTGAAGGCTTTGTATCATGCATATCACGGCTATCTCAAAGCTCCGAGGAAAACCACATTTGACCAGCATTTAGAACGTGAAGACGGACGGAAGGCGACAATGAGAGGGGAAGCTGCAGCCGAACCATTCAAAAACCCGACCACCTCTATGCATGACAGCTGTGAGTGACCGAGACCAATGTACTATAGGAGGTGTCGCTTGTGATAAGCCATCTACTAACCAGCTAAATAGCGACCTTGAACTTGAATCTTAAAGAGTATATTTTTAAACAATAAACTGAACTAACATCGATTGTGTCAATGATGTGCTGTATCGGTTCAAAGGCGTCTCTGTATTGTTGAGCAGCACCGTCAGTACGTGATTTCCAAACACGAATCTCATCGAGAAGCGAGACAACCCCGCCTAAAGTAAGCAACAATTTTTCTTTCGGTATCTTTCTTAAAGTGATCTGCATACCTTCTCCTTTTTCTTTTCCCACATCAACTGTCGCTAACAGATTCTCTTCAAGCTCACTAACTAGGGAAAGTAAATGTTTATTGGTTGTTGTTTGAAGCGATTCTGAGATGTCTTTACTGAACACCTAAAAAGTCGAAGTGATTCAACGCTTTCTAAAAACTTCTTCGTGTCGCCTATCCATTAGGAATCATCAGATTTCTTCGGTGAAGACATTCGAGTTCAACGATGGATGACATATAGTACATCGGTAGCAAATTGCCCATTGGTTTTCGACCTTATTGTAGCCTGGTGGTATTACTGAGTGCTGAACTTCGACGTACTATAGAAATTTCATCAGTTAACAAGGTCTTCTACACTGAAAAAAGTTCGACGTCCGCTTTCCGAAATTCAGGGTAGAGTTAACCAGTGCTGAAAAACGCCATCATCCTGGTAGCAACACAATCGCAAAGTAGGTAAGGTGGGTAGCTATCCTCTTATACAAAAGGGGTTGTGACAACTCTAGTGACCACCTGAGTCATATAGCTATCTCGGAATCCAGGGAGAAAGAGTTGCTGTGTAGCTAGCAATTTGCTAGTAAGGTCAGTGCCTAGACCAGCATCATTCGCTGCCAATTTGCACATTCAAATAAATACTGTCAATGAAGAAGTATCGCATATTTGTTTGCTACGGGTTGTGAACCAGCAAGTCTTGCCTTATCAGTGCCTTCTAGAGTAAGTAGAAGACTTGGAGACTTACATTTTGCACACTTTTAAGAAACACCTCATTCGATGTGCCAATCATCGACATTACGTTCACGACCGATTTGTAGTTGTCAGTGGTAAGAACCATAGGGCGAGTCTTGTAAAAAACTACTCGAGGCAGATTACCGCCAGATTTCATTGTGTTCGACAGATCCACTCCTCGCTAAAATATTGATTAAATAAGATTTATGAGACAAGGAGAACTAATTTCTACACTGTGAGTCAGTGAATGCTTTAGAATTTTTAGACAGGTGTTGGACTTTCCATTGAACGACCTAAAAAGAATATCAGATTTGAATAGACGTAACCTTTTCAGTGAGTGCGATGGTGAGAAGTGTGACGTTAGTGTCACAGAAGGCGTCGATCGCTTGCAGCTGACGAAGTTTCTCTTCGACGATACTGAGGCCGAGAATATGACTGGCCACCCGCAGAAGGTAAGTCCGTCGAACATCTCGCTCGTCTTCTTTCGACATTCAGCTACTAAATGTTATGAAGAATTACATGATTTGATTTTCGATAAATGCATATACGAGGTCAGATCGTTCAAAAGTATTATTGATATGGGAAATAAAATAGAACTTATTGTCACCTGTCACCAGTTACCCGTCGTGCCTTTGACTGTCGAATGATTTGAGCGGACGGCAGTAACCATTCCAGTTCCTTTACGGCACAAAAGGGTATCCCGATGGGTTTCGCTCGCTCCAAGATTCGCTGAGGATCATCTCTTTCTTTTAGGGTCTTCGTGGAGAACTGAGATCATTGGGTCTGTCGTCTGGTTGCAGTAAGCTTGAAAATCCGAGAAATCCATTCCTTAATGGTCTTGTCCATCGGTTGTCGCTCAAACGTATTACGTGCTCGGCCCACCTTATCATCGGCAGTTTGGCGCAAAGAAAATAATCCTCAAATTTCGATCGTTGGTATATATCGGATCTCCGAATCCCGCCATTTGCACGATTAGAGACACTCGTAGCATTGTCCATTCAGTTGCGCGACCTATCTCGCACAGTAACCCTTTATTCTAGTTACGTAGCGTGGAGGTGTCCGATGCATACGTTAGGGCAAGAAGAATCATAGAGTCGAAAAGGTAGGCAACAAGTAGGGTGATCATCGTTTTGCCCTCTACATACCTAATGCTCTTAAACGCACCTCAAGCCACTCGTTTTCCCCTGTTCAACTCTGGAGTCAAGCCGTTAATCTGTTTGATTTCCCGAGCTAGATAGCCGTAACTGCAGCATTCGGAGATATCCATTCCGTTAAGCCTGAATGGAGCGTACGTAACCAATCCGCCCTTATCAACGTCGTTTTTGTGAGATTTAGTCAAAGACCAATCTTTCCACAGGCTTTATCAAAGTCGGCAAGCATACGTTCCGCTTGGCTAATGTTTGGTGTTATGAGAACGATGTCATCAGCAAAGCAAAGATGGTGTAACTGCCGACCATCGATTTTCACTCCCATATTATCCCATTCCAATGTTCGCATGACGTTTTGGAGGGTGGCGGTAAATAAATTTGGCGACATGATGTCGCCTTGTCTAAACCCTCCGTTGACGTCAATGTTAATATCGTTGTAGAATGGTGATACGTTTGTTGTGAATTTTTTTTTACAGTTCACGAAGAATCTTTATGTACTGAGTAGAGAATCATTGATTATCAAGGGCTTCCAAGACTGCTTCTATCTCAACTGAGTCAAAGGCCTTCTGTAAATCGAGGAAAATGAGACAGAGCGGTCTTTTGTACTCTCGCGATACTTCAGTGTGCCGTTTTACCGTATGGATGTGGTCCATCCTGCTAAATCCTTTCCGAAACCCTGCTTGCTAACATGGCTGCCCTTCGTTCAGTATTCTGTCAATTCCTCTTAGGATTACTCGAGTGAAAAGTTTGTAGACTACAGACAGTAAGCAGATTTGGCGATAGTTGCCCATATCGAGGAGGTCACACTTTTTGAACAATAGCACGGTCATAATGGTCTTCCAATGAATAAGAACCTAACATTGCGACAGGTGAAGTATGAAGAGACGAGCTAGTGTATTTATGGTAACTGGCGAAAGGTTCTCTAAGTGTTTCAGATCCCATCTTGTCTGCATCTCTTGTTCGATTCTTTACCTATGAAAAACCATTTCAGATTTCGGAAGGTAGAGCCAGTAGGACGAATACCCATACCCGTTTACTTCGCATGAGGCCACGAGGACGTGGCCACGGAAGCAATCCGAGTATTAATTGCAAATGATTTTTTCATTGTCTTTTCGGAAGCTCTAAGCGTTCCGTCTGGGTGTTGGAGAGTTACCAGCTTGGTCGTGTAATTGGCGAAGTTTCCATAGGTTTTGCGAATGCTTTTCTCGTCCTCTGCATCTTCGACCATAACTGCTGTTCCTCTGTCTTTAAGTTAATCTTTTATCGTTCGTCTGGATTATTTTGCAGACGTGTCTAGGCGGTTGTATGTAGCTCGTCCGATTCGATGCTAACGTATCAGCTCGAATGTTTCTCGAGGCAGATGTGCCGTGGTTGCTTTAGTTGAAACCATCATATTCTTCGTTTATGTTATCAAGCAACGGCACCTTCGCAACTGCCGATTAATAAGCTGAATGAGTCCCAATTAATGATGATCTTGGGACACCGTTTTTTGAATTCAAAGCTTTCTTCTGTTTTCTGGGGAAGTAAAATCCTGCACGAAGGAGGCGATGGCCTGGTCCGGTGTGGAATTTTGGGAGAACAGCGCCATCGGCTGGGCAAAACCTTCTATTTACTATGATATGGCCTGTCTCGTTGTGGTACTCTCTATTGGACGACTCTCACGTCTAGCGTCGAAAGATGGGCTTCTGCAATTGTGACCTACGATGAATTGCCATTGTCGTTGTGATGAATTCAGACAGCCGCTCACCGTGCTCGTTCCATTCTGATACGTTGGTCCCGATGTGACCTTTCTCAGACGTTCTTCTGGGTCCATTCTTAAAGTTAAAATCTCCAATAATGACCTTGAAGAATATATGGTCTTCTCTTCAAAACATCTCCAACTCCATACAAAACGCTTCAATTTCTACTTAGTCACAGCTTGATGTCGGTGCGTAAACGGCGAAGATTGTCAATGCTGATATTGATCCACATCTCTTCCTTCAACCGTAAGAGTCCGATTCGTTCGGGTTGCTTGCTGTTCGACTGAATCGATGTCGCTGGCCAAACTCGTGTTGACGCGAACGCCGACTCGGCCAACTTCTCTAATTTCGCACGTTCGACTCTGCCGACTTCTCTAATGACGCTTGTTCTGGGAACAGCTCTTCTCCGTGTCATAGACGGCGTTAAATGGACGGCGTCATCACGTCTCAGCCAGTCCGATAACCTCGGACCTTAGACTTCTCTGCATGATCGAGTCCTCTATGGGTGACACAGATGCAAGTAGATATAGATAGTCGCCTTAGTCCTTCGAGATTTAGGCAGCCGAGGATGGTCCTGAGATTAGCACTATCTCTGTACTCGCCCTAGCCAACGCTGCCGAATCGTGGACTCTTTCGAGTACAAAAGAATAAGGTCCATTTATTCTACTTTGCTTAGCGTTTAATATGCATGCGTGGCTTGCTCAACTTTGAACACGAGGCTATGTGTACGCAACAGTAGTTTGCCAGTCTCTCCTAGAGCAGATAGGGAGCTCACTTCTTACAGAGTACTCCTCTCATATACTTTCTTATCACTTGATTGAAGGCGTTTGTGCGAATTGAGTCGTAGAGTACACTCTGCATAAACACTAACACACCCAGACAAGGTACCATGAATATGTCTTTGTAAACAGAAAAGATATTTGCCGAATCGGCTCCGCAAAAACAGGACATCTGCTTTCCGAGTCACCTGCGTCTTAGAGAAACACAGGGTTACCTTTGGTCGTGTTTAACCCTATATCCGCCAATCCGTGATGCATCACATAGTTTCGCAACTAACCAGCCGGATTCCTTCTGCGAAGGAGATCCAAGGGACTTTCAGTGAATGAATGAAAAAGTGGAAGAGCGGCCCACGACAGCAAACCATACCCTAAGACAAATAAGGTAGAAAAGTCTCCGCATGAATACAACATTTCCATAAATGTGCAACACATAAGCAATAAGTAAGCTGCAACTCTCCAAAAAACCAAATAATCTAGCAAGTTTTTTAACCCTAAAAGTGCTATCAGCAATCACCCGTCAACGCGAATGATCTGAGGAGCACAAATCGCCATTAAACGTAGTTAAACTAAAGCTTCAGTAGAAAACGCCATGTTAAACGTTTGCCTAATGCCTATTTCTTTTTCAGAGAAATGTATTATGCTGAAGGCAACCACCACGTTGCTGAGATATTTGCGAAACTCGGACCCCAGGCCAGTAAATAACAGTTAAAGAATATAGCAGGTTTTCCAAGCAATTTTAATTACTCCTTGTAAAGTTTCTTGATTTTGAATTACAAGGCTAACTCCCACAAAAAGAAAGACTTTTCTGCTCGACCCGACTTCATCTACACGGCGGATAACAGAATCTATTGAACTAATTCGATTTTTCGCATTCATTATCCACGAAGGTTTCGAATTTGTCGCGTGTCGCTTTGGCTGCTGTTTAAGGATTGTCGTCTTCTTTATGAATGTTGTTGAATACTGATCGAGACGATACTCTCTGCAGACCTGAAGTGGCCGGGCAAGAGCGTTGCGTCTTGGATTTCAAAAAGTGGTTTATTCCCAAACAAGTCTGGCACCAATTTAGCGACCTCGGAGGGATGACAGGCCAGGTGAATTCACAACGGGATCGAACCAGGACCGTAAGTGTGATCAACACGACATTACTATCAGCACACTATCCGCCCGTGTTTACAATTTTAAAAATTAAAGTTACTAAATCCTTAGTATAGCAGCCACTTCTTACAAATGTGGAGATTCTGCCGATATATGGATATCTAAAATGTAACCACACAGGATTTCAGAGAAATTATTCCTTTCAACGATCTGTTTACATACTGCCGTGAAAAATCGTTGCTTTCAATTCAATATTTCTAACTTGACTACAGTTTCTAAACGATTAGCGGTACTTGATATGAAAGTACTGCTACAGTAAAGGTAGTAAATAGGAGAGTGGATTAAAAAGAAATATGAGAAAATGTCTACGATCTCCGGTAATAAAGCGTCCACAAGTTTTTCAGCAGAAAACAACGACGATACTAAGCTGAAGTTGTTGAGTCTAGAGTCAAATTTCTATAGAGAAAGAACGACACCAGGAATGATTCTTCGCAGTGGCAGCGTACTTCTTGTCGCCATGGATACGAGAACATGCTCTCAACGAGACGACTGTTCTGAGACCCGCATGTCAATCTGTTCCGGACTCTGCGCTCGCCGGAGTCTGAGCTAATTTAGCTTTTTCTTAAGACTTTGGATAGACATGTCGAAATAATTCTACGATTTCACTACACTAGAAGGGATGAACCCTCACTAAACCCAGATGCCATGAAAGTAGAAGGTAAATATTTGACAGAAATGAGTCCGCCCTTACTCCAGAGAAGATCTTTTTCAGTATAAATTAGCAACAGAGAATCTAGTAAACAATAATATATGATGATCCAATATCAATAGCACAAGGCAGATATTCTGGAGCACCTGTGAACCTGGTGGTGCTTCACACTTCGGCTTATCTCTCATCCGTGGGGAACAACAGCAGATCGTCTGCACAATGGTATCCAATACGCAGGAACTGAGGTGTAAAGAATGTTCTCAACAATCTTAACCTTTTTATTTACTGCCTATTCTTTTTAACGGCAGGGTATTTTGCGAAATATAACTATTGTAATGCTGAGATATTTGCAAAACTCTGGACCGCAGACACCTGCTCCACACTCCATCACTACTCCTTCAAATTCCCTTTTTTTTTCAACACAACAGAAACGCAGAAAAACAAGATGAACACAAACTGTTTGAAATGGCTTCACTTTGACATAGGCCTTCAATCTCTACTTCACGGAGTCTTTGCTGCACTACGGGCAACAGCTATCAATTTCCGACGATACTAGGTGAGTTCACAGCGTAGGTGCTCCGTATCAGTGATTTGCTTCATTATATTAAATTCTGGATCCCCAAATAGAAGAAAACAGTTGCTTCAACTGCGATGATTAATTGGGTAGTAATCCGTAGTAAAGCACTCTAGAAAACTCCACTGCAAAAGATACGTGATCGCCAATTTTGCTCCGTGGGTAGGAAAGCAATGTTGTTAAAAGGTATCCATCGGTGCTTTCGTCCTCAAGGAACTCTTCACAACCACGTATGACGGGGCAGGCAGTTATTTCGACATCTTAATGACGAGAATCAGAGGGGGCTTCTCACTAATAGTGATTCTTCCTCGGACCACCACTTCCTTGATAATCAGTGAAATTATGAGAAAAAGTTTTTCCTTCCGTTTCAGCTCCAGGTTAACCGGCTTATGACCATTTTGAGAGATGCCGTTAGACCTCTATCTAAACGATTCAATCGAAGTTGTCATAGCTAGTTCGCTATTATAGGGATTGTACATTGCACATGGATTCGATCAAAAGCGGACAACAAAATGGTTGCAAATACGTAGAAAACGGTTTATAAGTTAGACCAACGATCCATGTAAACCTAGCGGTAATTCCCAGGACTGATTTTCTGTTAACCTCGGCATTGATCAATAAGTCACTGTTTCCGTAAAAAGCATACACGAAACTAACACTGCACTATTTATTGGAAGTGGCCGACGTTTCGGCGTATTCCGCCTTCTTCAAAGCTTGGAAAGGTCAACTTGACTACAATTCAGCCAATCAGTCACCTCTATAACCTTAACAGAAAAAGCACGAAGCCTAAATTTTGATCGCATAGAAAGCAAACGGCTTCTTCACACATTCATCGTTTTCTACAAGTATGAGTGGTTGCTCGAATTCCAGCCTTAAAATACTCGAGGGATTATAAGTAAAAAAAAATAAGGATAAAGCTCTCGGCGTTGATCAATCCCTTAGGGATGCGCCACGCATTCGATTTCATGAAACATCGTTTGGAGGTGACTGAATGCATATTTGGCCTTTACAATGACTCGCGATGGCCCACCGATGTATCGAGCCATTCTGCCTCCCAGACAAGTGTGGTACCAATTTGCCGAGCGCGGAGGGATCGAAAGCATGGTGAGCCTGGCGCGGCATCGATCTCGTGTTATGTGCATGGCGCCTCTGACGACTGTGCTACACGCGTTATGGATAAAATCCAGAAATCGAAAAATAAACTGCAGTTATGAGTGCCTCGTGACCAGGCGTAACCTTGTGCCATTTCCCAAGCTCATATTTCCACGTAAGAAAGGCACGCTACCCATCCATGCGAACTCCATGAGGTTGGTCTCCACATGGAAGACTCAGCGGAAGAATCATAGAGAATGCTGAGTATGCGAAGAAGCTGTCTTGTTTCCAATACGACTGAAATCTAGGCTTCGTGGTTTTTCTCCTGAGGTTGTGGAACTATTTGTTGAACAGATTGCTGTCAACATCACCCTCCTAGGCTCCGAGTCAAGCGGCACCAGCCGAAAAGTCAGCTACTATCGACAACTAGTGCAGTATCAACCTCATGTCTGTTTATCAAAAAAACAACGACCTATTGATCTGTGTACATTCCTCCACTGATAAGCTAACACAAGGTTAATAAAAAGATCTATTCGGCTAACGTTTCGACGTTTAGTCTTCTTCAACGCCGGATTGATCCCAGTCGGTTGTCCACAACCATTCGTTCTTCCGATATGGGTCATCATGTCGGATATGGGCATCGAGTTGAACCCAGTGGAGCACTTTTACGAAAGATTCCTGTACAGTCCAGTCGTTGGCCTCAATTTGTTGACTATCTTGACTACAATCTGTGCTCAACTAGTACTCAGTAAGTGGCGATTTTGTCCGCATTAGAAGGAATTCACTATGAATGTGTATGCTCTCCTCGTTCCAGTTTAGTAACTTCCTTATTCACTGCGCTGTGTTGATGGTCAACTTTGTCGTAATAGGTATCGCCTTCTTGGATCCCCTTCCTACGAGGATGATAGTAAATAGAATGACGCTTTCGGCGCTGATCAGTCTCGAACAGATGCGCTATGCATTCGAGATCTCAGAGGTTATTCAATGCATGTCTAGCCTAAAACTTGCAGTGGCCCACCAATGTTAATGCTGCTACCCTCTCAGACAAATCTGGCACCATTCCGTCGATCGCAAAGGGATGGAAGGATTAGTGAATGTGATGGACATGATCGAACAAATGACGTATATTGCACAACACCTCTAACTAATGCGCTACGTGAGCCTACATGGAATCCACAAAAAAACAAAAGGTAGCTAAACATACTTCTTGCTCATCTTACGAACTAAGTTGTCAGGTCTCCCGTTCGATGAGCGCTATTTTGAATCTCAGAGAAGAAGTCGAATGGCTGGACACAAATGTGCTCAATAAAGGTCTGCCTACACAAAGCCACGTATTCAGATTTCAAAACTAAGACCTCCCAAATCTTGAGATGTTCTCAATTTTTGGTGTTTCTTAGAACTACCCTAATAACAACAACATGTAACATTTGGATGAAAGAAAACTGTTGGCCTATAAAGGATCTTGGATAACATCTAAACAAGGTAGCGAGCATTCCGTTATAACATCTAGTTGGACTAGAAATTCCTGTATGTGACCTTAACCAATCAAGCACCCCTTTATGGCTTTCAATAGTATTTCAAAACATATAGAGAACATTCTTCACGAATATTGGAATGTTGTCTACGTAAATCAATTATAACCCTACCAAACATTTCAAATGCTTCTCCCATAACCTTTTCTTCATGACGACCCGATAGCCGTATGTCTAACATTTCGCTGGCGCCTATCTCGTAAAATATCTGCACCTACGGTCCCAGGCTTTGAATATCGCCCTATCAGATCGCAAGGCTTGAGAAATGTTTCCAGCACCCGTCTTTCTGCCTACTGTAGCCCGACTCCGCCTACTGCAATCTGATTCCGCCCAGCGCAAAGGTATATAAACAGCTCCACGGTTAGCTAGCTCATGTCACAGCAATGCTGTCCAAGTCACCGCATTCATGCTTCACATCCATCTCATGAAGTAAAAGTCATATGCCAATCTCTTCGTTCATAAGCAGCCTGAACACCAGTGATCAGGCTGCGTCTATTCATTACCCGTATCATTGTTGCATTAATTGTAGAGTTGTATTGTTATGACTGTTGTATAATTATGATAAACGGTTTAATTACCCAAGTTTGAGGTGTCCGGCATTGTGACTGCTAATCACAAAAAGTCCCGCGTGGCATACACAGAGGCGAGCAGCTAATTCCGACCGAATTGTCCTAACTACTTGGTATTCCTATAACAACGAGCCGTTCCAACAAAACAATACGGACCACTTTTATGGATAAGCACCTCACCCACTCAGATGTGAACATGTCCATATAGAAAAATTTCGTTATAACTTGCTTTGCGGACCCACTTCCACTCTAGTGTTGGCGTCAATGATATTTCAGTGCAATGACGACCTAACAATAGGTTATCACAGTAACCTTATCGCGCGTTTTAGCCCTTTCCAATTCGGAAACGTGATAACTCAAGCCGACGGTTCGTACACACCAACTACTATTCCTTGCAATTCCTGTCTTATGGAATCGCATCGGATCGAAACCAGTAGGATGGTCTACGGCAGGAATTCGTAAATCGAAGATGAAGAGGTTGGAACCTTAGCCACAATTGAGAAATCTTAACCTCAGGTTAGATTGCCAACACAAGAAAATACTAATATATTGCAGGTTCCATTCACAGCTAATACACCTTTATATTCAACACTTCAACCGAGTTACAACACCTTCCTTCCGCAGATATTTAGGTTTAATTAGGAAAAAGGATAAAACAAATCACAATTCAAAACTTGAAGAAAAAACGAATGCTCGCGAAAATCGACACATTTTATACTTCTTCGTGCCTAGATTTCCATTCCAGCCAGTACTCGTGGCCACAAAATGGTTACTATTGAGTAATTTTACGTCAAATAGTTCATTATAGAGAGTTTATCACAGTTACGAATGCAACTCGATGCATACAAGCCTCCTTAGTCTTATAGATTCTATAGCAACAGTCGAAATATGCACACGAAGTAATCATTTACAAATAGAACCATTTGTATGCTAGTACGCGTTCCAACAGTACGGTATAGAACACTTATAAATATGTACACAGATATTTCATTAATAAGACTATGCGAGGAAAAATGATCTTCTCCAAACTCCGCAAAGAAGCAATAGAATCTCTTCATGTTATAACCACAAGCGTAAGTGAAAAGACCTGAAAGATGAAAGCTGTTGACAAGAGCGTCCAATTTGCAAAACGAGGAAGTCCTTATTAAAATAGGAAAAGATTGAAAATTAGAATTGGCAACAGCACAAACAACTCCTAACCTTAGTAATTTTGCGCTTGATACTGTACATTGTTCCATTCCGGCCGTATTTGCGAGTGTTGTTGATAAGCAGTAGTCTGTTGGACTGGGCCGTATTGTGAGTAAGTAGTTTGAGCATCCTGTTGCGTTTGAACACTCGCTACAGGAACAGTCTGCGTAGGCGGATTCGTACAAGACGTAGTGAAAACATGTTGCATTTGAGACGAAGTCGGCGGAAAATTCATAGGAGCCTGAAAGTCTGAACATTTCATTGACGCTCGTGACAAAAGGAAAAGCTTCGAGAATGGGGTATTGATCTGCCATGCAGTCGACTTGATATCTTCATATTTTCATTACGAAAATAACTCTCATCACTGTTAAGGATTCAAAAAAGCGCAAAAAATGCCATGTGACACAGAATCGCGTCAGTGACTAAGGCATGCAAAGAGTGTTTCTGTACAAATCGAGCTCCGAACCTTCTTTATTTATCCCTCCCTAGCTTTTCTTGCAAATAACGAATAAAGTTACAACAAGCAGTCATAAAATTACTGAGCAGTGAGATAAACTAAACTCAATTCCCACATTTTGAGGAACACCAGGCTGTAGAACCGGCATGCTTACAGCAGACTGTATTTGTGTGTTCTGGTATATCGATGTCTAGAAGTGCTCATTTTCATCAATCAAAGATCACCTTGCAACAACAAACAGAACAAAGAGGATTAACCAACTGTCCACCAACCTGATAATGAGCTTGCTGCACTGCTTGATCGTACAGCGCCAAAACATCTCGAATAGCCATATCTACCTAAATTTAAGTTAAATAAAAGTAAGATGCAATGAGAAGAAAAACCACATGGCAAGAAAAAAAACGAGAAGAGAGACGAACAGTTTAATAATACAAATGTAACAGCGGATCTCATCTTCAAAAAGGACCATATTTTCTAACATTCTCAACAAACCTCAGAGAGAGCATTAATTTGCGTATCAATAGCCGCCAGTCGTGCATTAATGAGTGGACCTTGTGAACGTGAGGCTTGCTCAATCTAAACAAAGAGGATCAAAAAGGGAAGACAACTGTTGCAATTTAAGCAGTAAAGAAAGAACACGATAAAGTTTACCGCGGCCAGCTCTGGTGGGTCTGGAGTTTCACCTGTTGGATCACAATCTTCCAACATTTGAATACAACGTAGAAGAACGGATTCATCAATAACTGGCACAGGAGAAGGTGGCGTAGCCGTAGTTACAACGGGCTCCTTCTGGAAAAATTGTATCAACAATCCAGATACCAGTCAAACTTCTTCGCAGATAAAATGCGATAGATTTTGGTCGAAAAAATTGGAAAGGTAAGTACAAATCCAATAACATCACTAACCTTTACTTCTGAGAGGTCAGAAGTAACAAAACTCGATGGGAAAAGGCCTTGCTGTACACCAATTCGTCCACACCACCAGTTAGGATTGCTCAAAAAACATACAGTGGAAAAGCACGGGTAGATGTTCGATGCACATGACGTTAACGAAACAATTAAAAATACAGAAGGAAGAATTTTAGTATACCTATCATCAGTTACAGTAATGAGATCACCAGTAACAAATGAAAGTTCGTTGTCTTCAGCCGCTTCGAAGTCGTAGAGTGCACGTACGGTACGTTGAGTCGTGGATCTAAAAGTTTTGTGAGGAAAACCTCGACAAAAATGGCAAACAACCACAAGGATGATGAGATATTTGCAAAACTCCGAACCCCAGGAGTTTGCAAATATCGAAGTGGGAATCGAACACGCTATCACCCTTTCCTGGGGCTAACGCGTTTGCCACCACACCACACGCGTCTTTCATTTCGCCTTCTTCCCAGTAAGTTTTGATTTAAAAGTCGGACTTTAGTCTAAAAACGGCAAATACGTAAATAATTACAAATAAGCCTCGACATGATCTTGCTTTAAAAAAACTATGCATACTTAAAAAGGATAAAGCCGTCAACGTTGATCAATTCCTGAGGGATGCGTCGTGCGTTCGACTTCATAAATTCGTTGGTAGCTGAATGTATATCTGGCCTTTACAGTGACTCGAAGTAGCCTACCGATGTACCGACCCAATGCTGCTATTCTCCCAGACAAGTCTGATACCAATTTGCCGACCCCGGAGTGATGGAGGGCTTGGTGGGCCATGGACACGGGGATCGATTCCACGTGTGTGCGGCAGGGTGATTCCGAACACTGTGCTACACGCCACCTATGCATACTTAACATATCAAGAACGCTTGATAAACAGTTGGCTTGAAGCAGAAACTGTGACATTATGGACAACTAAAAGACCACTTTAATAACAGAACAAAACATACTTATTAGTTATCCCATTTATAGGTAATGAATTATTGGAGTCCAGCAACTGATAAAGTCTACTTGTTTTCGGTGCTTCTGCTTCTTGTAATGAAAGGGCGATCGCTTTCACTAATGCTTCTTCTTCTTCCTGTAAAATTCTCACAATAAATATTAAAGACTGCTCGACTCCCTGTAAGTATGATAACCCTGAGGATAAACGAAAATAAATACAAGTTCCAAAGAATTTACCGCCTGAATATCCTTATTATCAGATTTCTTCGTTTCGTTTGATGTAAACGAGTACCCATCAGCAAGCAAATTCTTATACAACGTGCTGACAAGAGACAATGACGGATCTGACTTGCATTCATTCTCTACCCATTTCAGGATCATCATTCTTGTTTTTTCGGAGATAAGACGAGTGCTCTATAACACGTAGAATTGTGTAAAGGAATAAGGAAAAAAAGAGAAAGGAAACCTTTTCTACGAGTGCATTTCTCTTGCTAAATATGGATTTCATTGGATTGGAATTTAGTTGGAATTAACACTGGATCTAGATGGCGGATAGTACAGTGGTAGTGATGGCCGCAATCACGAACACGGTGCTATTCGAATCCGCTTCAAGGTCGGTAAATTGGTACCCTAGTTGTACGAAAACAAAACAAACACTTTCTGCAATTCAACTATGAATACTCCAACCCGGCTATCTCAAGATTCGAGTGAGAATCGACTCGAACAGATTCTATGCCATTCAAGATGGGATGAAAATCCTTAAGCAGCACCTAAAGTCACACGTAAAAGTTGGAAGACCATCGTGGATGGTGGATGCGAGGAAACGAACCAAATGTGAGAAGTGCTGACATCCGCACAGTTGATGTGAAGACGGTTGCATGAAATAAAATGAAAACAAAAAACATAGAGCTGAGATGGAGCTGTGGTGAATTCAGAAAGATAAAAAAAAGTAAGTGATAAAGTCCTCGGCATGATCAATCCCTGAGGGATACGCCATGCATTAGACCTTTTTAAGCATCGTTGGGAAACATTGAATGTGTATCTGGTCCTTACAAATGACTCGCGGTAGCATAGTGATGTATCGAGCCCGTGCTGGTATCCTTCCAGGCACGTCTGGCACCAACTCCAGAGCGATGGAAAGCTTAGTGAGCCTTAGGCGGTGTGGAGATCGACCCCATGTGCATTTCAGGGCGCTTCCAAGCATTGCGCAACACGCCAAACAATCAAGTAAAAATTCAATTAATTTTATGTACGAATCGTTATTCAACAAAGAGATCTAGGAAATGGATGGAAAAACTACTCATAAAACCTTAGTATAAAACGAATTTAACGCACAACAACTATGAAAAACGTACATGAACAGCCTTCGACTGCAATTCATTAATAAAGCTGGCAGACGAAACCTCCTTGCGAAAGGCGGGACCACAGTTACCCCAACATGAATCCAAGACGGAAAGAGCGAGTAGCACAACATGCGGATCCCGATGATTCAGTCTAAAGCAAAGCGCTGGTTAGCTTCTAATAAATGATCTGATAAAATGTACAAAGCCAACTGTTAGCATCCTACCCTATATTTTCTTGAGATTTGTACGAACCCAACGGTTCCTGCAGCTATATGTCCCTTCCTCAGATATGAGGAATCTCGAGCCGGTTAGTCGTGACACTACCTAGCGCGTCCTCAGGTGGCGGATAGGGCGCTAATCGCGGACCAAAAGCGGCCCTTGCTACCCTGAGACGAAGGTGGATCCAGGAGATGTACTCCCTGTTTCTGCTGCGCTGATTTGGCAAATACTTTCTGTACTTGCTAAGCGTATTCATGCATGCGTGTGTGGGTGCGTTCTCGCTTATGCGGATTGTATTCTCCGAGTCAATTCGACCAAAAGCCTGCAATCAAGTGACAAGGAAGTATATGGGAGGCGGTTAAAAGTCGCCTCCAACAAATTAGTTCCATGTCCACTCTGGGAGAACCTGGCAAGCTACCCGCGAGTATTCCCAGTCCCCAAATTCAGAGCCCAGCAAGGTATACGTGGGTATCAAGGTGCTAAACACAGTCTAAAAAACGGGCCTCATTCCCCTCACCCCGAAAAAGCCCCCAATTTCGCAGCGTTGGGAAGGAAGAGTATGGAGAGGCTGCTAAAATCTCAGGCCAATGGAAGCTGCCTGGATTACAAAGAACTATGGTGACGATCTGTACCTACAATGCACGTAAAGTTCCATCCGAGTCCTCGATAGAGGACTTGCTCATGCAAGCAAGAAAGCTAAGGTACGACGCCATCGGCCTGGCCGACGCGAGAAGACGCCATCCATTCAATACCATCTATGACACCGGAGAATAACTGTTCCTCTGAACATGCGGCAGTAGAGGAGTCGGCGTTCTCGTCAACACGAGGTTGATCATGAACATCGACTCATTCGAACAGCTTACAACCGGAATCGGACGTTTACGATTTAAAAAATGTAGATCAATATCGGCTTTGACAATCTCAGTCGTTTACGCTCCGACTTCAAACTATGACGAAGAAGAAGCCGAGGCATTCTATATGGACTTGGAGAGCTTCTACAGAGAAGACCATACATTATTCAAGGTCATCATTGGAGATTTCAATGCCAAGATTGGGCTAAGAAGGACGCCTGAAGAACGTCAGATTGGGAGCCATGGATTAGAATGGAACGAGCAGGGTGAGTGGCCATCTGAGTTTATCATGGCGATTAAGACCATCCATGGTAACTCGTAATTCCAGAAACCTCACCTTCAACGTTGGACGACGGAGTCGCCCAATGGAGAGCACCATAACGAAATAGACTACAGCATAGTAAATACAAGGTTTTGCCCAACCTATGTCGCTGTGGTCCCAAAATTCTACACGGGATCAGACCACCGTCTCCTTCGTGTAAGATTCTACTTCTCGTGGAAAGGAGAAAAAGCCGTTAAATTCAAAAGGCGAAATCGCTAAACCACCATAAACTGGGACTTATTCAACTCATTAGTTGGCTGTTGAGAAGATGCCGTTGTCGATAACACTGACGAAGAATACGATTGGCTCATTCAACATCTTCACGTTAGCGCTATGAAAGCTGAGAGTTTGAAAGTCACCAGAATACGCCTGTCTCCAGAAACACTCGAGCTAGTGCGGAATCGCACGAGCTACAAGCAACCGCGAACTAACGTTCGAACTTGCAAAACAATGCAGACAGGCGATAAAAGAAGATCTTAAAGAGAGACGAGCAGCAGTAATGGTCGAAGCTGCAGAGGCTGGGAAAAGCATTCACAAAGCCCACCGAAGCTTCGCCAATTACAAGACCAAGATGACTGCACTCCGACGCCCAGACGGAATAGTTGGGGCGTCCAGAAAGGCAGCGGCGACAACCATTTACGAATACTACTCAGATATCTTCGATAGCCACGTTCACCTTCCGTCATATGAAATAAAGGAGGGTGAATATGTTGCACCATCGGTTCTTCCTTCCGAAATCCGACACGCCATTTCGTCGGTGAGAAATCAAACAGCACCAGGTCCAGACAGAATAAGACCAGAACACCTGAAGAACCTTCCACCAGCCCTCGTAAGCATACTGGTTCGTCCCTTCACACGTTACCTGCCTGAATGCAAAGTCCCTACTCAGTGGAAGACCAGTAAGACCGTGTTATTGTTCGAGAAGGGTGGCCTACACGATATCGGCAACTGTCGTCCAATCTGCTTGCTGCCTGTCTTCTACAAACTTTTCACTCGAGTCATCCTAAACAGGATTGGCAGAACACTGGACGAAAGACAGCTATGTGAAAAGCAGGGTTTTGAAAATGATTTAGTACCATAGACAACATCCACACGATATCAAGACTAATTGATGTATCACGAGAGTATAAAAGACTGTTCTGTCTCACTTTCATCGATTTAGGCCTTTGATTCAATTAGGATAGGAACAGCCTTGGAAGCCCTTGATAGTAAAAGAGTTCCCACTCAGCACATAAAGATTCTTCGCGAGCAGTACAAAAATTGCGCAACCAAGATATCATTATTCTGCAACGATATTAACATCGACGTCAAAAGAGGAGTTAGGCAAAGCGATATCATCTCCAAAATTATTTACCGCCACCACCCAGAACGTCATGCGAACACTGGAATGGGATAATATGCGAGTGAAAATCGACGGTCGGCAGTTGGATCAACTTCGCTTTGCTGATGACATCAACGTATGCTTGCGGACTTTGCTAAAGCCCGTGGAAAGATTTTTGTTCGGCTAAATCTCACAAAAACCATGTTCATGAAGGACGGATTGGTTTCGCATGCCCCATTCCCGCTCAACGGAACCAATATCTTCGAATGCTCCAGTTATATCTGTGTAGGTAGGAAAATCAAAATGTTGAGCGATTTAGTTTCAGAGTTGAGCAAAAGAAAACGAGCGGCTTGGGAAGCTTTCAAAAGCATGGAAGATGTAGTGAAGAGAACAAAGAACACCCGACTCCGTGCCCACTATTTCGACTCACTAGTAAATCCTGCCCTTACGTATGCATCAGAAACCTGGTCGCTGCGCAAGGATGAAAGGTCACTCAGTTTTATCGAACGCGCATTCGAAAGGACGATGCTAAGAGTATTCCGTTTCACACAAGTAAGGGAAGGGATCCAAATCTCCAACCCGCGTCAATGATGAAAAATCAAAAGTGCTGTTCTGTACAGCAAACAGTCAAAGATAGGTGGACCGGACACGTGATGAGTGTGAAGGACAACCGATGGACAAGAGTCGCTAGTGACTAGATTCCTCGGGATGTCAAACGCACTGCAGGAAGACCACCGACCGATGATCAGAGCTCTTCACGAGGAGCCCAGAAGAAAGATATGATGCTCGACGAGTCCCTAGAGTGAGCAGAACCCACTGGGCCACTCTTACACATGACAGTGAAAAATGGAAGATTTACTGGCGCCTGTTCGAATCACTCGACGATCAACGGGACTACAGGCGATACAAGTGATATGTCATCTGGCCAAAAAAAGTTAAAAAAAAAGAAAAAATGAAACTAGTAGAAGAACAGTACGAACGCCTATGAAACAGCAGTACGTAACGAGCATCATTCATATAACTCGAAAATAACGACTTCTTTAAGCAAAAACATAATTCCTACTAAGTCCTCATCTTTTACACTGACGCTCCATCTCTTAGTGGTTAGCTCTTACTTACACGATGTCGCATATGACCAAGCATTGAAGGATAAAGCTCTCGGCGTTGATCAATCCCTGAGGGATGCGCCATGCATTCGACTTCATTAAGCATCGCTGGATGTAACTGAATGCAAATCTGAGCTTTACAATAACTCGCGGTGGCCCACCAATGCGTCGAGCAAGCGCTGCTATCCAACAAGACAAGTCTGGTGTCAATTTGCCTACTCCGGAGGAATGGAAGGCTTGGTGAGCCTAGGGCGCCGGGACCGATCCTGTGTGTATTGCAGGGAGCCTCCGAACACTACACTACACACGCACTGACCAAGGATTTCATTCATCTATTTACACTTTGCACACATTCTAATGAAACACCAATATTCGATGTTAAGACCATCACTGTGCGATACATGCTACTAGAATAAGGGTTTATTCTAGTTAATAACCTTGGGGCATACCTTGGCGTGGCTGACGTTTGGGCTCCAGAGAACCACAATGATTAACTCAACAAAACTCCGAAAAAATAGAGATTACGCCAAGGCCCGCGCAATCAGCGAGGACAGGCCATCCAAGCATCCACGTATGTAATAACCTTGTTTAACCGCGTGAATGGTAATGCTTAAAATTTAGTGTTCAGCCTAGCTACAAAACGTCGGGAACATGTTCTTTTACATTTATCTTTATTTACAGATATCCTAAAATAAGACATAAAACCGCGAGGAGATAATGATTTATACCACGACACTAGACAGGGGTTGTATGTATTGTTCTTACATAAAGGTTCACTAGTGAGTCACAGAAACTAAGCTTACAAGCTATTCAAACCCATCAAAGGTACTTTCTTTACAGAGCCCATCACCTGGTAGCAAACTTACCTATAGGACTTGAAACAATGAGTTTCACACCACAGAGATTTCATAAATAGTAGGTCAACACTTACTACCTAGCAAATATACACAAAATGAGATATGAAAAAGTATGTAACATCGCATTCCTCCCAACGGTTTACCGCCTCATCGCGGTTGAGCGGTGTTCCTGGGTGTCCAGCTGAGAGGTAGAGCTGGGATGCGAGGGGATTCATCAACCCAAGGCAGCGTCTCCCAAGTTGAGAAGGAGTTCGGCGTTTCCATCAGGAAGCCCAGCTAAGAGTAAACCAACAGCAGAATCCATCACCGTTTTAGTATCAAACCAGTCGCATGATGGTAAATCTCTCCTTGATCCACAAAGGCGGCGAATACCTGTGGTGGTGACTACCTGGGGCAAATTTTAGCCAGGCTGACTACGGGACTCCAAGGAACCACAGTGGCTTAACCTACAAAACTCCGAAAAAGTGGGGATTATGCTGGGGCCCGCACAACCAGTGAATACGGGCCATCCAAGTATTCAATCAAGTATGTGACATCGCATTCTCATAAAAACCACTAATATAGGCAATTCTATCACTTATGATTGTAACATAAGAGTTAGTGAGAAAACTAAACACAACAGACCTCTTACGAATCGAAAGCAAGGCATTCTTTGGACCTCGTGGATCGGCATTCACCTTGTCACAGACATCTAGAATCATTGCCCAATTCTCGGTGATGAGATGTTCGGCTGTGACTTTTTCAATGCATTCGTCGAACGGTGAACTCGAATCGCCAAAAATGCCCATCTGAAGCAGTGACGTCATTTTGCGGAGGACGAAAAATGAAAACGACGATGGTGCCAATGATCGATAGCCGATTTTAGTTCAGTGACCATCAAAACCTGATCAGTTAAGCGAAACAATACACCAATCACTTATATCTAACGGTGTTTGGTAAAGCTTTCCGAAATTATGACACTAGTGAGAACTAAATCAATGGTACCGGGTATTTTAAGACCAGTAAGCTATGTGCATAAGATATCTAATAAAAGAAAGTAGGCTTCATTCATATATAAGAAAGCAATACATAAATCGATGTTTTCACTCCCTATTCCAGGACTTCGGTTATTCATTTTATTGGGACCTACTCAAAGAGAAGAAAGATGCAAGCTGAAAAGGATTTATAGCAGGACGGCAGTACCAACAGAAGTTGGAGAAAAGTAGGAGTAGGACCATCGAAAATGCATAATAACTCACCAGCGAGAAATTGATGGGAAGCATTATCAGTACAAGACCGGGAAAATGTACGAGAAATCAGCGAACGGATTCGAAACATCAGTCACGACTTAAAGGACTTGGTCGCATCCGAGCACGTTATTGTCACCAAGGTGCCGAGTGAAGCTGCTTTAGAAACATACTCTTGCACCAGTTTTATTCAACCTTAAAGTACTGGAATCTCGCCTAGGATATGGACAGGCTATCGATTTAGTGCTGAGATTAGTTATAGTTACCAATTTGTAAACGTGTAATGGTCATGGTTGTATTAAACAGTGGTTCGAAGTAGAAGAAAGCCAGCTGTCTTATGACACCATTATTTTTCGAGGCAGTTTTACCTATTAAACTTATTCAGCACCTGTACTGCTTGAATTTAGGTAGGTCTATTGTTGAGTCCTTTGGAGACAAAGTTTCAGCGACGTGATATGAGGACGCATTCTTTGTCCTATGATTTTCCTCTTTCATCTCGGACTCCACTCAGGACATCGTACTTCACTTCCAGGCTTTTCATCTTCAAATTTCTATGTAGACCGGACGGATAGCACAGTGGCAGCGACATCCGTCGTCACGAGCATGGTGCTAGTTCGATTCCGCTCTAGGCCAACCAAGCCTCTCATCCCTCCGGGACCGGGAGATTGGTGTCGAGCTTGTCTGGGAAAAAAATCACTCTCTGCAATCCAATTGGGAACGCTCCAGTTCGGCTATCTCAGGACTCCAGGGTGAATCGCTCGACCGACATTGTATGACATTCAAGATGAAAGGACACATCCTCAAGCAGTATCCGAAGCCACACGTAAAAGTTGGAAGATCTTCGTGGACAATGGATGCCAGGAAACGAATTGAATGTGGAAGGCGCTGAGATCTGCACAGTAGACGTGTAGACGGGTCAAATAGAATGAAATAAAAAAAATGTCTACGTAAACAGAAAAAGAGTTTGATCTTATCCATCCAAAATCAGCAGAAGACAAGCTGTTCGGATATTTTCTAGTAGTTATGCTTCACTCGGACAATTTGTTCTACCTGGCACTCCAATAAATTTCGACTTTTGTTTGAAAAGAGATGGTGGCAAGAACGCTTGGAAACGATGGTCAATGCAATGCAAACGACGGGAGAAAAGCTATTTCTGTCAATGGCCGAGGAATGCATAGATAAATTCCCACGAGGGAGGCGAAAAATCGGTTGCTGTGACCGATTAGACCCGGGAAACATCAGCGAGGATGGATTATTTGTTCATGACTAGTGCCCGACAAGTTAGTTGAGCCTAACATTCCTGGCTTGAGCACCTATCCATGAATAAGCCAAGTAAACCCATAGTAGGAAGATCACCTATATGGAGCAGTAATTGATGCATTCTTAACAAAGCCGTTCTCTTCGACTTCGTCTCCGAGTGACAAAATATTAACTTATTACTGGACTGATATCTTCAAGTGCTGTCGTGATGAACATATCATTAGGTGTGGCGCAGTGGTTAGTGATGACCTAAGGTACAAAATGAACGGCTCGGTAGTTCAATTCCATGTCCCGCTCCCACCGAGCATTCCATCTGTCCGTTGGCGGTGGATTAGTACTAATCTTTTCTAGATGGATAAATCTAACGATATATACAGATACATAGCCATCATAAGGCAGTGTTTAGGCAAGATATACATTCAATCACTTCTACGATACTTGATGGGGTCCAATGCACGTCGCACCCCTCAGGGGTTAGTCAAAGCTGGAAAGCTCTAGCTTCATCCTCTCATCTGCGTATTGATCGTACAGCACCCTGGGAACGTTACTATAATCGTATTTTTGGACGTAAACTTCATGAAATTGCCTATCACACATAAATACGGGGCATGTCTCAGTGAAATCGACCAGAATTTTATTTTCCGTCATCGCAAAAACATCAACGCGCAAAACTCTTGAGGCGTTTTGAATAGATCTTTAAAATCCAGAGATGAACCGGAAGACGAATGCCTCACTATCACACGTGAACTGGCGCGCTATTTCAAAATGATATTTTGACTCCTGCGTGTGCTTTGCTCGCAACCCCACGTGAACAACGCGTGGGCCAGTCCCACTCGTAACATCACAGTGAGTATGCCTTTCTGATCAGTATGGCGTCTATTTAAAAGTTTGATCTTCATTAGTACTTTAACCTTCTTTTCCACCGAATAATAAAAAGTATTCTAACATAAAGTACGTCCAGGCTCTGAGGAAGGCGAAGTCGCTTCAATAACATCAAAAACAACGACAACGACAACAGAGATCTGTACCAACCTCGTGTCAGCTTAAGAGGATCAGTTTATAAGATCGCATAAATAAATATATCAACTATCCATGCCGAGGTTTATAGAAAGTCGGTCTTTCGAGTTATTTGAGTTTTTGTTATTTTCCATTCATCAGTAAAAGGATATAACTCGGAATACAAGTACATATTATAGCTATTTATTGACTTTGATAGGTGTTGTTAACCGGGAACCGAGGCTATGTGGTAGAAGGAAGCATCTGAGTCTTTTGAGAACGGATTAGCTTATTATTATAGACAGCTATCAATGAAACGCTAGGTACTGGTGTGGGCTTCCCAGTCGTTTACTAAGAAATATGAACTTTCCCGATGTAACCATAACATCGAGATTAAAATTTGTGTTGATGATGATCCAGATAGGCTGCTCAAAACACCAGTGCCGCGCTCTTTCCGTTTGATTCTAATAGGGTAATCGGCCACTACAAGCACCGAAACGATTACTTGGACCAGTTCGGATTTTATGCCTGGATAGAAGAATTTTTGTTTATGCCTTCAGGAGAACAAAAACAATCAATTTCTATTCTATCTCTTGTTTATGAGCAATATTTTATTCATCATTAAAGTTGTTTGGGCATGCTCTGAAGTGTCATGCGATGACCAAATTCCCCAGAATAAGGACAATCAGCACCGTAAGTGAACCGTTGACTAAACTTCGAAAATGCACTTTAAGTCACGTAACTTCAACCACGAACAAACTCCATGTAAAGTTCAGGCATGAGATGGTCGAAGTTGCAGACTTACTTATAGATGTGACCCGTCTTCATGGAAATTTCAGATCTGTGGGTGAATTCGATCAACACCCGACAACCTTGTTTGCTTCATGGATGTCGTTCAGTGGTGGCGAATATATTCACTTAGACTTCGTGATGGTTCTACTTGAGTGTTCCCACGTATTCACCAGAAGCAGTTGCTGGTCTTTGTTTATCTGAGGGAGTTTTGCTAGGCAAGCATGGTACCAATTTACTGATTTGGAGATATGGAAGGCTTAATTGGCCCGGTTTGGTGTTGAGCCAGCAACTATGGATTTATTAAACTAAATTGGCAGTAGCGTATAGAAGCTAAATTCTATGCAAAGCCTGTAAACAAGAGGTGATGGAGGAATGAAGCACTACAAATGTAAGGCGTCCGAGTTCTCACGAGGTTAACAAGTTGTTCGCGGGAAAAAATGTGGGAACAACAACACTAAATGCCGGTTAGTCACATTTGTGTTGCAACTATCCAGAATCTACACTACACATTTATTACCAAATTTGGCTCTTATGGTCTCCTTAAACACTTAATGACTATATTTTGCACCGGAAAGCTCCATTTAGTCTCTTGGTGCACCTTTACCACAGAAATAGTATGAAGGTTTTGGTGCGATGCCCTCTTTTCAACTCCTTCTTGGGGAAGTAGTAGGTATACAGAGCTCGCTCGAATTTGCTATGCATTTTTTATTGGAATTGGGAATGGGAATATCGAACTCCTCAGCTTAGGAAAACTCTGTTTGGGTAAGAACGTTAGCAAATCGTAGTTTGACACACAGGGAGAACACCACGTAACACCACTTACCCAAGGTGTGACATTATCCATTGAGAGAATATACTAACTACAAATGAGCTGAAATTGAAGAGCTTAATTAATAAAATTTCCAAGCGGAGTATTTACAATAACCGCCCAGCATGAAAACTAGGAAGATAATCTCATCGATTGCCTCTAATCTCGTGCTAGCGTTGATGGATGGAGAGATCAGCGGCAACAAGTAGTTCGGCGCTTAAAATCTTCAGTTTCAGATTTGTACTGACAGCGCCTTTTCATGAAGACAATGCGCCGTAGCAGTCGGTGTTAGACCAGCTAGAACATTGCCAAGTAATACTTATGTAAACCAACGCTCATTTAGCTTCGATATGAGAAATCAATATGTTGTTGCATTCAGTAGCTTACACAAGGATTTTGTCAAATTCTTCTCATCAACGAAGCAAAATATTTATTATTCATGTCGCATTTAAATATCAGCCAGTTAACTAAGGTCTGATACCAATTTTCCGACGAGGGACGGATGAGGGATTTGGTAAGCGTAGGGTTCGGGCTGAACCATTGATCATGTTCATCATAAAGCACCTTTAGCTAATGTGCATTATTATACAACCAGTCACTAAAGACTGGATTCTTATTCTTGGCAGTTGACCAAATATAAATGGTTATTTAGATATATTTCTGGAACGGTCTAAGATTAGTGCTACTTACTTGCTTAGGTCATCTGATCTATCTAGGCGTCGCT